CTTCAGGAGAAGCTGACAGAACCTACCTAAAATATGTGTCTCAGCCTCCCATTCATTTCAAAATATGCATTTTCAAGGGGGGGCAGTTGAGTGGGTGTGCTTTTGGCATTGTCGTGATGCCCATTTTATCACATTTTTCGCCGGACTGGTCGATCTGATACCCGGTTTGGGGACTTTTCGTCGACGTTTAGGCCCTCAAAACTGAGATCGTTTGCAAGGAAAAATAATAATATGAAGAAGAAGAAACCGACGAAGAACAATGGCCCGAGCCAGTTACTTCGTTACTGGCTCGGGCCAAAAATGTCCAAGCTGCCTTTGTAAATGAAGACAACTTAATTGTTCACTATCCCTGGTATTACAGCGCTAACTCTCACCAGCAGATGTCGCCATAATATTTGGATGGAGCAAAAAAGACAGCAGCAAGTTTTCATTGCAAAAAAAGGACGCCTTGAGGCTCCAGATCATGGATCTATGAAATCCACACGCAGTAGACGCCACAATGGCAATGGCATAAAAGTCCTCACAAATTCTGTTTTAAAGTAGAATAAAGGTGAGTAAGTCATATAGGCAAATAGGCTGATGATCCATTGCATAACTATTATTTGTAGCCTAAATGTTTTAAAGGCAGTTTGATTGACATTGTCATTTTTAAAGGGATCGTTTTGCTTATTTGTTTAGGTCTACAAGTCACCTGACCTGATTGTACGTGCTGCTAACTATGGACCACCGTGCACACGCACACATTAAATGCCGAAGATTCAGTATTCTGTGGAGCACTTAAAAGTTGGCTACACTGTTTTGAAACAAATCGTATTAAATGTGTACAGGCCATAATATCGGTGCATACTGCCTTTTGTAGTGGAGGGCCTGCTGCAGTCTCTAGTGAGAGATTGTGAAATTAAACAATTAGACCTAATTTATCTATAATTTATCTATCTATTGTCTGTCTCATTTTGCCATGAAAAAAAATAGATGGTAGTCAGTCCAGAAGATTGATTGATTGATTGCATAGTACACCTTGCACATAGTCTGCATTACTTTTTTGTTATGTTCCTAGTAGCACTAGGGTGCCAAGTTTATGTATGAACACAGTTCTTACTAAATTAAGATGGACAAATTCATCTAAATTTTAAAAGGTAAAGGAGAAATTCAATTTGTCAACTGAACAGTTTATTTTGGTTTCTTCATTTGTGATGAAGTGAAGCTTGGATGAGCCATGAAAACGTACTTGACCAAAATAAACTTTTATCCAGTTCACAAATTGAATTTCTCCTTTACCATGGATTCTACCTGGACAACTGAGGGATTTTACACTGATCTAAATTTCAGAAATCCAGGATCATGATGTCTTTGGACTATAGGTACCATGTATTCCAGAGTGGTTACAGTCATTGTGATGGCAGGTGCTGCCATAAGTCTTAGGCTCCAGTGACACGAAGAGGCAATTTGCCTTTAACCATAAATTACAAGTAAGTTTGTTTTCTGTTTTCCTGTTGGGGAGAGCTCTGATATTTTATAGTTGTGTGTTCTCTGTTTTGTTTTGTTTTGTTTTTTTTGTTTTTTAATCAAATGATATCACTAATTGTATTAGTTTAGGTTGGTGGTCATGTCACTGGGGCTAATATTTGCTATGATCTATGAGAACACTTTAATATGCAGTGACACAGTCACATATCTGGCACCTTCTGGAAACTAATATTTCTGTGAGTGTGGACTGTGTGACTAATAATATATAATAATAATATAATAATGCAGGAGTAGCAAGTGCGACAAGTAAGGACTGTTACACAGAAGCTGCCCTCACCGTTTACTCACAGACTCTTCCCATGAGCCGTGCTATAAAAACATTGTAATGAAGCTTTAATAGTTCCTACAGGGATACTGAAATAGAACTTCCACTATGAAATTGTGTGTAGGGCAATACAGCTGCTATTCCTGGTGCTTTTGGATGTGAAATTACTGTAATTTCTCAGTCCCCTGTACTCCAGTGGTTGTACTCCAATAATGAAGAAATTAAATGTTCAGCAGTAACATTTTACCTTTTTGGCTGTGCACAGTGGAGGTATTTGTTTTTCTGTTCGGTGGTAACTGCTCTGTCCCAACAGCTCACTGTCAAAGTAGATAGTAAGACGGAAAGCATCAGGAAACAACAGCATTAGTTGATAATTATGGCTGCCAGACTCAATTTATACAGGTGCACTTTGTAAAATATTTTGTCTAATGCAAACAATATTTCAGACTAACTAAATTGTCATTGTCCCACATGGTGGACTGAAGCTCTGGACATTTTTTGAAGTTTTGCTGAAATGTGCTATTTTACTCAACAATATTTTAAATAATCACTAATTATGAATTGTGAAACTATTTGTTTTATTTGCGATCTTATAAACATAGACATTAGCTGGGTGCACAACGTTCTATGAATGTACTGGTCATGTGAAGTGCCTGGGAAGTCCAGAATGAGAAGGCAGTTGTAAGAATGTAACTACATTTCTTTTGTATTGGTATAATGCACAGGTGTCAAACATAAGGCCCGGGGGCCAGATCCGGCCCTCCAAGACCTTTAATCTGGCCCTCGGCTGATTTTCTACAAAAATATTTTCATTAAATTTTCTATAAAAATATTGGTAATTTTCTGCACCGCTTAGCATACCAGCTTCTCCAGAGCCTCTGTGCATGGCCCCTCCCAACAGAGCTGCACAAATGAAAACTTGCCTCTTTCCAAAAGCTCTTAAAGGATGATCGTTTTGACTCTAGATCGTGACACCCTCATCAGCAAAATGACAACTAGAAAAGCACTCAGAGAGCGCAGACCTCCGCCAAGGACTACCCCCATTTTTTATATAAATTGCGATAAAATCAGTCTTCTGGATCAGATCCGGATCAGCCTTTGGAATATGAAAGAGGATCCCATTGTCCATCCCTGAGTCAAATTTCATGGGGTTTGGTCAATAATTAACCGAGATATTGAGAAACAAAATTTTTGGCCCCATTTACCACAATGTTAACTAAAATTTCAAAGTGATCCAGAATCCAGGATTTCTTCCGGATCACCCCCAAAATGAAATCAGTTCTTCCTTTTCACATTTCCAACAAATCCTGAAAATTTCATCAAAATCGGTCCATAACATTTTAAGTTATGTTGCTAACAGACAAACAAACAAACAAACAAACAAACAAACAAACAAACAGACAAACGCTGGCAAAAATATAACCTCCTTGGCGGAGGTAAAAAGCAGGATCATTTTACTTTTAGTGTGCTGCCCCCTGCTGGACACTTCTTAGACATGGTCACATCAACAACCCCAGCAATATTTTTTACTACTCCTGCGTGAAAAGTGTGAAGTGATTCACTGTAGCCACACAGCCACATTGTAATAAAGGACAATAATGAAATATGTAATTTTCTGACATGCTGAAAATTAGTATGATCAAATTATGAAAAACTTTTTATTGCTCCAAAATAACTTTACTAAATCAGGACATTGCTGATAATTGTGAACTTAAATTAAAACAAAAAATGTATATTAATGCATATTTATGAAGTAAAAAGCTAAAAAATTTAGTCTAATTTCCAGAAAAACACCAGGTTTGTTTCTGCTTTTGGTCAGAATTGCTATCTTCATTCAATTTGCTGATGCACAATCTTCAGTGTTATGCTTGTCAGTCTGTTGTCTTACTACTCTCAGCATTATTTCTTCTCTAAAATAGATTAGAGCTGGTATCTCCAGTTCCGGCCTCCATCAAGACTAATGGACGTATAAGCCACAGGCGCTCATGCAGCCTCCTTTCTCCACATTGATTCAGTGTCCATCCAACTATAAGCTAAAAGGGTTCAGAGGATAATGCACCTGTCTCCCCATTGCCATCTTTCAGTTAGCATGTTAAAAAATATCACATACAATTTTTAGAACTGTTAGATAACATAATAAAATCAGATATGAACTTGAGTTTATTCAAATGGTTTTCAGATGTTAACCTCAATCACTATTGTGATACATGTTTTCTAAAAGTTTAATGGCTGTAGTGTGAGAAATGTTTGCCTCCATGCATAAATTGCACTCAAGTAAGAGTTCTTTTACTTCAAAATAATATTATAAGTTAACTAAAATTACAAAGTGTTGCCCAGTAAATTACTCAAGTATGAGTAAAAAATACAGGGTAAGCCACTACTTAGGTAAGGATAATTGTAACAGCAACTATCCCGACATAACACCTAAATTATTATTTGAAGTCAATGTAAGGGGAAGGACATTAAATAATGCACTCAACTCTCTATTTTGAAAGGATGGGCCACAAAAAACAAAATCATATTGACGGATCTGTGCAAAAATGGAAATTGCCAATAAGAAACTTTCGTCACTTATAGACTTACTTATTGTGTGAAGAGTAACCTACATTTTCACTCAAGTAAGAATACTCACTGTAAAATATTTTACACAACAAAAATGTCTGAAAACTACTCAAGAATGTACAATATTATTGTAAAGTTACTCAAGTAAAAGTACTCTGTACCTGACTACCATCTAGACTTTTCTAAGTGAGTAGAGTTGTAGGGTCAAGTTGCTGTTTGGAGGAAATGTGATCCCAGAGGGTGGGGCAGCCCTGTGGCTCATCACTCACTCTCCTCCTCCTACGAGTGCCTGTCATGTTTCTGATATGAGCCCGTATCCAACTCAATGGCTGGATTATCAGAACTGCTTCTGTGGCTCTCCAGGACCTCAATCTACACCCTGACAGCTGACACGCTGCAACAAGGACACCACGGATCACCTTCACTCCAAAAGTTGAACTCGTGCCTATATTTATCAAAGCAAATTCCAGAATTAGAGGTCTAAAGCAAAAGCAGCCAAGGTATGCCTGAGAATGACTTGTGGAGAATTGAATGTAACTTGAGCAACATAGTCTTTGAAAAGTGACTCTGCAGATGTACCACTGTAATGGCGGTGTAGAAAACCACTTGTCAAGAGGAATTTAAGAAGACTGCTCTTGAAAAAAGAAAAAAAAAAGAAAATACTGAGTACGTGGAGATGGTGCGATCAATGCAAGGATATCTTTGATGAAATTTGGATAATTAGTCGAAGAATCTTCAGCGAGACACAAAAGTAAGTTGACATAAAGAGGTGAAGATGCTTCCTTTTAACAAAAGTGAATGTGATAGTAATATTTCATAAAGATGAGGATTTTCTGCATGGCCCAATTAAAGGATCCCTATGGATAAAGTGATCTTGTTTTAACTAATTAGCTCAGAAACTCAGGGGGATGCTACAAGAAAAGAGCCCAGATATTTCACACTGAAATTATAGGCCCGTTATATGCTTTTGTGTGAGACTGTTTATACACAATAACAGGGCAGGAAAGAGTTAAAGAGTTTGTTTAAGTGGGGCTTGTGGTTAGCCGGCCTCCTGGAATTCCTGCAGAGTGCAGTAAGTGTATCTTCAGTACACACAAATCAATACAGATGTTTAGATCCTTCATGGTTGTTTAAGAAATCTTCATATAAAATGCTTTTCAACTCACATTTATCATTTACATAGATTTTCAGAATTTAGAGGAAAGAGGCTGAACTAGCTGCAATTATGTGAACCAGTATAGAACTATGCTGTAACCTGGTCTGAGCGCATAAATGTAACTGCCAGCAGAATTAGATTGACTCTGTTAACCTTCATGTCTTGTGCCTCAGCTGTGGTGTCATGCTGAAACTATTGTTCAAAAAGCTTTCTTTTTTTGTTCTCATATGTTAGGGTGCACTATGCTTGTCTGCTGTGTCTGGAATGTTCCAGAGAATGACATTAAAACTTATCTCGTATTTATTTATTTATTTTAATAATAATAATAATATATTATATTGGCCAGCAAGGCTCCACCTTGTCTCCCTGCAGATAAATATGATTAATGCCATGCAGTGAAATATTCAGGCAAAGCAATAACATCTTCATGGGGACTACAAGGGGCTGACCATTCATCAGAAAAGTTACATAGTGTGCCTTTAATTCTAAACAGCAGTATCCAGGATGAAGTGGGAAAAGCTGAAGCCCCCTGAGCCTGACGACCCGATGTGCTGCTGTGAGTGTGATCTCTCCCAGTGCTGTGACTGTGAAGACCTGGACAAGGCTTTTAACAGGTGAAACAGTCCAAAGTGCTTTACAACTTGTGAGCTCAAATCATGTAGGCATGTAACAGAGTACACTAGCGACATCTGCTGGACTTGCTTGATACAACTGCTACACGCTGTTATAAAATTTGTATAAAATGTCTAGATTTGTATAGCAATCGATTAGTTGAACACAAAATATATTAAATGAGGGTAGGGGTAGGAATTAATAACAGAAGAAAAACGTCTCATTATTAAAACAACAACTTTAGTATTTAAGGAATGAATGATGCCTATAATAAGTTTCCTATTTTGAATTACATAGGCTATACTTCAAAATAGATTAGGAAAAGTTTTTTTTAAAACAATATTCTTGTGTATTAAACATATTATTAAGTATATAAACTGTTGCTTACTTTTGGAGATCATATGAAATAATAGCTAGACTATATTCGCTTACTACAAAGTCAAAGTGTAGTGTGACAGTATGAGGACCTAAGTTCAAAAGGGTTTTCCTTGTGTTACTTAAGTTACTCTAGTTTCCTCAGTAAACATGATGATATGATAATGGAGAAGGGCCAAGAAGTACCAACATTTTTGTATGCCAAAAGGTGTAAGACATATTCCCTTGCAATTCTCAATGGACCTGATCAGAGGCTTTTTTCTGTTTCCCTGTACAGCTGGCTGAAGAGCAAACACCTCAAATGTGGTTTCCAGTCTCCAGTTTTGCGGGCCATAATTGATAACCTCGAGATCTCCATGATCCCAGCTCTGGTATTATTGCCTCTCCTCCTCCGAATTGCAGCTCTACACTTTCTTTTGGGCGTGACTGTCCTGACTGTCCTGCCTGTCCTTGTGCTCTGGTACTATTATGCCACTCACCAAAAGAGGCGCCGCACCCTCTTCTTCCTCACGTTGGCGCTATACTCTCTGGCCTACATGTATTACCTCTTCATCACAGAGATTTTACCTCGGGGAAATGTCAGCCACATGCAGCTCTGCACCGTCACCACTGGCATGATCCTGACCATCGTCTCTCTCATCAACACCAAAAAAGGCCCAGGATTTGTCACCCCAGATCTATACGACACACAGAAATATGAAAGCACAGAAGTTAATGGAGATGTAAAGTCCCAAACAACGAAAAAGTCCAATAGAGGCAAGTGGGTGCGATGTCCTGTGTGCAAAATCATGAGACCTCCACGAGCAGGACACTGTCGAACCTGTGGGGCCTGTGTCCAACGCCTGGATCATCACTGCATCTGGTGGGTCATATGCAAGAGCTTCACTTATCAAGCTGATGCTACTTTGGGCTACTCTGAACAAGTCCCCAAAAGTACCTTTCACTGTTAGTATAACATTAGAAATACTTTACAGTATGATGTGAAGTGTGTGATAGAGTAATTATAATATGTATGAGTAAGAAAAGTAGTTGTAGGTACTTTAAATGCATTTTTTTTGTCTGACTTGATGAGATGCTGCAGGATAAACAGCTGTGTGGGACAATCCAACCACCGCAGTTTCCTGTTGACCCTGGGTCTCTTCCTGGTGACATCTGTGTATGGCATGAGCCTGGTTCTGCACAGCATCTGCCCAGGGCACTATGTGCTGACTGCTGCCTTCTACTGTCCAGGAGTCTACTCACACTACAGGTAACTGCTGGATCACTTACTATGTATGATATGTGATACAGCGGATTCTGTCAGACTGATGTGTTTGTGTAAACAGTACAGCTCTGTGCTTCACCTGTGTGTGGTACAGTGGAATCATCACAGCTGGGCTTTTTTACCTGATGGTGGTACAGCTCCTAAACATCAGCTTCAATGTAACAGAGCGTGAGGCCCAGCTGGCCCTCAGGAGCGGCACAGGGCAGTGGCGTCTATGTGGACTGGTGCTGGTCACAGGAGAGTACTCACACGGATTCACTCACAACTGGCTCGAGTTTCTCACCATGACACGGTGCTCCTCTCAGGCCACTCACACAGACTTGGTCTAGTTTACAAATGCATCGCCTGAAAAGCATAACAACACAAAACAAAGAGCAGCTCAAAAGACATAACATAGTGGCTACAAGAAACACTGATATCCAGTGTATGTAATGTAATTTTGCAAATTTTTTATAATTTCATACTTGTGCATGCAAACAATTGTTTGATGTATTAAACTGTAATAAAACATGTATGCAATAAGCAGTTATTCATGTATACATCATATATTAGAGATATATAGACCAGTGTGTAATGGCTGCAGTCCAAGCAATAATTGTGACAGAAAAGATTAAGCAATGACACCTTTGTTCAAAGTTTGGGTTTACAGTGACTGAGCTTCACTACATTTTATTGGTTAAAAAAGGAACATGTATAAGTTTTTGATGGTGGTAGATCTCCTGCATGTATGATTCCATAGAAATAGAAAGTTAAAACCATACTTCAGAATATTGTCCATTGAGATAATGAAGTTTTCTTACCATGCTGTGGAATATTACAACAATGGAAAAACATTTCCATGGAAACAAGTAGGTGAAGGCCCTCCTCTAGGCCAAATAAGACTCATTTTAGTTACGGAGATGCAAGCCCACTCTCTGGTGTTTCTATGTTCTTCAGTGCAATCTAAAATTAAAAACAAGTTTTATTTTAGTTTGGCTAAAAAGTGGCTGAAACCATTATGAAAACAATAATTAAGGTTTTCAAGCATTTCCATTGCCACACAATCAAGGATACAAGCTGTTTCTTTGGCTTTTTGATGCAAAATTAGAAGATTTGAGTCTATTGATATGTGTTTGTTAAGAGCTTCATCTTAATAAACACATATCAACCCGTTGAAATTAATCATCTAATTTTCAAGGGAGCCCTCAAGTTCAGCAATATATCAGTAGACAGCAGTGACAAAGTGAAATAATATAATACAAAAAAAAACAAAAAAATGATTTAAACATACTTAACATAAACAGACATACACACACACACAAACAAGCTCTTAAGTATCACCTTCCCACAGCATTGTTACAAAAACTGAGTTGCTCTATATATATATAATGTGTTTCTCACCTTCCACGGTGGTTGGTCTCTCTCACCCTCATCAAGCTCGGGTCCTCTACCAGAGGCCTGGGAGCCTGAGAGTTCTACGCCGTATCTTTGCTGTTCCCAGTACTGCACTTTTCTGGACTGAGATGTCTATTGTTTTTCCCGGTATCTGTTGAAGCCACTCTTCCAGTTTGGGGGTTACGGCCCCAAGTGCTCCGATCACCACAGGCACCACTGATGTCTTCACTTTCCAGGCTCTCTCCAGCTCCTCCTTGAGCTCCTGATATTTCTCTATTTTTTCTCATGTTCCTTTTTCCTGATATTCCCATCGCGTGGTATTGCGATGTCCACCACCACAGCTCTGCTCTGTTGCTTATCCACCACCACTATGTCTGGTTGGTTCGCCATCACCATCCTGCCCGCCTGTATCTGGAAGTTCCACAGGATCTTGGCTCAGTCATTCTCCACAACCTTTGGAGGTGTTTCCCACCTTGATCCTGGGGTCTCCAGCCCGTACTCTGCACAGATGTTTCTGTACACTATGCCCGCCACTTGGTTATGTTGCTCCATGTTTGCTTTCCCTGCCAACATCTGACACCCTGCAGTTATGTGCTGGACTGTCTCAGGAGCCTCTTTGCACAGTCTACACCGTGGGTCTTGTCTGGTGTGGTAGATCTGGGCCTCTATTTCTCACGTGCCCAGGGCCTGCTCTTGAGCAGCCAGGATGAGTGCCTCTGTGTGTCCTTCAGACCAGCCCTCTCAAGCCATTGCTAGGATTTCTCGATATCAGCCACTTCTGTTATGTTTCATTGGTATGCCCTGTGTAGGGGCTTGTCCTGCCATGATGGTCCTTCCAGCACCTCTTCCTCTGGACCCCACTGTCTGAGACATTCTCTGAGCACCTCATCTGCCGGGGCCTTGTCCTTGATGTACTCAAGGAGCTTGGATGTTTCATCCTGGACAGTGGTTCCCACACTCACTAGTCCTCAGCCTCCTTCCTTCCAGTGTGCATACAGTCTCAGGGTGCTGGATTTGGGATGGAACCCTCCATGCATGGTCAGGAGCTTTTGTGTCTTAACATATGTGGTCTGTATCTCCTCCTTTGGCCAGCTTACAATCCCTGCAGGGTATCTGATCACTGGCAGGGTGTAGCTGTTGATTGCCTGCACCTTGTTCTTGCCATTGAGCTGGCTTCTTAGGACTTGTCTCATCTTTGCAGGTATCTGGCCGTAGCCGCTTTCCTTGTTGCTTCTTCAAGGTTGCCATTTGCTTATGGGATACCAAGGTACTTGTAACTGTCCTCAACGTCTGCTATTGTTCCCTCTGGGAGTGCAACCCCCTCTGTGTGAACAACCTTCCCTCTCTTTGTCACCATCTTGCTACATTTCTCAAGCCCGAATGACATCCCAATGTCTGTACTGTAGATCCTTGTGGTGTGGATCAGTGAGTCGATGTCTCGCTCGCTCTTAGCGTACAGCTTGATGCCATCCATGTAGAGGAGGTGACTGATGGTGGCCCCGTTTCTGAGTCGGTTTCCATAGCCAGTGTGGTCAATGATTTGGCTGAGGGGGTTCAGACCTATGCAGAACAGCAGTGGGGACAGTGAGTCTCCTTGGTATATGCCACATTTGATGGACACATGTGCAAGTGGCTTCCCATTGGCTTCAAGGGTGGTTTTCCACAACCGCATCGAGTTTGCAATGAAAGCTCTTAGAGTCCTGTTGATATTGTACAGCTCCAAGCACTCAGTGATCCATGTGTGTGGCATTGAGTCATAGGCTTTCTTGTAATCAATCCAGGCAATGCACAGGTTGTTCTTACGGGTTCTGCAGTCGCGGGCGACTGTTCGGTCAACCAGGAGTTGGTGCTTGGCTCCCCTGGTGTTTTTGCCGGTGCCCTTCTGTGCTGCACTCATGTATTGATCCATGTGCCATTTATCTTAGCAGCGATGATGCTTGGCATGAGCTTCCATGTTGTGGAGAGACAGGTTATTGGCCGATAGTTGGATGGGACTGCACCCTTTGAGGGATCCTTCAGGATCAGGATCGTATGCCCTTGGGTTAGCCATTCAGGGTGAGTCCCATCCCTTAGCAGTTGGTTCATTTCTGCTGCCAGGCGCTTGTGGAGAGCAGTGAGCTTCTTTAGCCAGTATGCGTGGATCATGTCAGGGCCTGGTGTGGTCCAGTTTTTCATACCTGAGATGTCTGCCACTGTGATGGTGAGTGGATTCTGTTCAGGGAGGTTGCTGTGGTCTTCTCTCACATCCACCAGCCACTGTGCATCGGTGTTATGTGATGCCTCCCTCTCTCATATGCCTTTCCAGTACCTCTCAGTCTCCAGCCTTGGTGGGTCTGCTCTGGTGTTATTACCCTGCCACTGAGCGTACACTTGCGCTGTTTGTGTTGTGGACAGCCGGTTTATTCGTCTGGCTTTGTTATCTCGTGTGTACATCTTTAGGCGGCTGGCCAAGGCTTGGAGCCTTTGTTTGGCAGTTTCGAGTGCTTCAGGTATTTGCATCTGGTTGTACCTCTTGGGTACTTGCTTTTTCATTGCACCTTTCTGGGCCTCTGACATTTGGCTCACTTCTCTCTGCGCCTCCTTGATTTTAGCCTCTAACCGTCTTTTCCATGGTGGGTATCGTATCTCATGGCCCCCATGGTTGCTCTTATAGCCCTACATCTCTAACTAAACTTCTAGTTTTATCTATTACATCTTAAACTTTCAAATCTGACAATGTGAGTGCATCTAGTCTTCTGTAAAACTTTACTATCCTTTAATTCTGTACTCCTGACCTGAAAAAAAAAAAAACCTGGGATGCATTGGTGTTTGCAACTAAGATGCTAGATTATTTGATAAATAACTGCCTATTATCCAATAGATAACTTAGCTATATGATCCATGACACTATTAATAGGGGACATATATGTGCAAACACAGCTATCACAAAATATGCATGTTTGAGAGGCATTTGCTGTACTTGTTTTAACTGGCCTGGTATTTAGGCCGAAGGATGTTATAACTCTAGTAGTGATTTATTTTCTTTTCACCAAGATGATATATTGGAGATACCTGTGGAATAGGGAACTATATTTTTATACTGAAGCTTAAATCTGAAAAGATAAAATGAACTTCAACTGAACCGACAACCTTTCTGTACATAGCCTTCATTTTTAGGGTCAATTATGCTATGCACATTGGATGTCATGCCAGAACTGCTGACAGAAGCACTTGTTGGAGTCAATGAAATACACAGAAGTGAGGTCAGTTTGTGCATGATTTTATATAAGAGCCTGAGCCCTGTAAATTGTGGGTATTTTTTTTTTTTTTTTTTTGAGGCCCTAAAGACACTATCCTGTGTGAACAAGGTAATATTTAAATTTTTTAGGGGACTAAAGAGGCTTTATATATTCGAGTACTTTTTCATGAAGAAAGAAAATCCTGCACATTTAGTCCATGTCCCTCCAGAGCTCAAACCCCTGCCCCTCACCACTGTGTATCACCATGCAGCTCCCCATCATCACTTTATAACTTTTTGTTTGTACGCGTTCACAAGACTAATTACTGTATTAGAGCACTAGCGCAGGCAAATCTGAATTTTCACATTCAGTATACTTCCTTCATCACCAGGCCAGCAAATGTATCGGCCTTGCTCCATCTGCTCGCACTGGGGTTAAATTCCAGAAGCAGAGAACTGGGCAGGACTGTTGCGCTCCAGTACAACATTAAATTGGCACAATGGCAACACACATTGTGTTATTAGAGTAGGTAATAACAGGAATATATTAAACTATACATCAAAATGAAACTTGTCACTCATTATGATTGATTCCTTTGTGTCTTGTGGGATGGTACCCTGCTGTCAGGTCTACTCAAGACTGTCATGCATGGACAGATCCCAACTCCATGCTGAGTGAGCATGTCTGTTTATGCTGGAGGGAGGGAGGAAGGTGGGCTCTCTCTGCTGTATAAAAAGATGCTCTGCAGAGTCTTAAACTTTATTTGAGCTTCTCTCACTGAAAAAGACAAAACCTGCCAATATGACCTTCCTCACCACAGCACTAACTCTTGGACTAACTCTCTGCTTCTTCTGGGCATCTGCAGACATCCTGCCACAGTCAGACTTCAACATTGAGGGGGTAAGAAACATTCTAAACATTTTAATAGTTGACTGTTTGTTTTCTATATTCACACAACCTTGTCTTTTTACTCTAGTTAAAGTCCACAATTTGATTTCGGATATTGTCATATTCATATTCACTTTATTTATATAGCACATTATACAAACAAAACTGTATCCAAAGTGCTGTACAGAGATTATAAAAACAAAACAAAAAAAGGAATAATGAACAAAACAAACAATAAAATCTCAAAATCAACTCTAAAACAAACTGGAAGCCAGTGTAACAAAGCTAAAATCAAGGTTGTGTGCGTATGTTTTTTGGTTCCAGTTAAATGGCGTATGACTGAATTTTAGACCAACTGTAAGTGTATATAGCTAATGTCAGATAAAACGTGCATTCCACTAGTCTGAATAACATAAACAATGAGATAAAAGTGTACACAGCTTGGTCTAATTAGTAAAAAGATAAACAAGGTTTAATTTTGGATAAAAAACACAAATTATTTAAAAAAAAACAAAAAACAAAAACCACATTCACTTATCATCAACCGTAGTGTCACTATTGTCGGTGGTTTACTTGCTGTTTGAGAGGATTAAACTCAATGAGGGGGGTCAGTATTACAAAACACAATAGCTCAGTTTTGGCTTCATTTAGACTTTACATTAATAAGACACAGAAAGAGAGATATTACGGGGGCAGAAGCAAGTTTTTTGGGTGTCAGGGAATATATTTATAGTGAGTACTCGCTGTGGCCCAATAACATAATAACTGCAATAATGCATGGCATTAGATGCAAAAGAACAAAAATTCACTTTCAGTATATTCACATCAGTGGTCTTATATTCCACTTGCATTAACATTATGCGTCAGCTTATTTATTACATTGCAAACTTTCCAAAAATGAATTTACATGGTATCTAGTTGGAATTTCAAGAATGTGTTTATAAAAATGCAAGTGTCTGATGAAGATACTGTACTCTTGTCAGATGTCAGGAAAATGGTACCTGACTGGATTTGCAACTAACGCTCAGTGGTTCATCATACATAAGATAACCATGAGAACAGGCACGTCAACTTTCACACCAATGGATGGGGACTTAGACATGCCCTTTGAAAGTCTCAAGTAAGTAATGTTGTACAATAGAGCTCAATTAGCACAGTTCACTAATATCAGACACTAACTGTATGTGCAGCCCTGATGGCACTTGCTTCAGAATGCACAGCTTGGCCAAGAAGACTGGTGTGCCTGGAAAATTCACCTATGCTGGTGAGTGCCACTCTGTAACATTTAGATGCATTCTAAATATGACATCCAGATGGAGTTTTGTGTAAACAGTATACATTCTTTTTTGTCAGGCCATGGAAGTATGAATGACATGCGGATAGTGGACGTTAAGTATGATGAGTACGCACTGATTTACACAGTCAGGACCATTGGAGATACTTCAGATGCTGTCATCAAAGCTTACAGTAAGAATTTGTAATTTTTTGTTATTGTTTTCTATCTAAGCAAAAGCTTGATATAATTAGATTTTTTTTTTTTTTATAGGTCGTGCACAAGAGCTCAGCTCAGCTATACAGGAGAAGTTCAAGCAGTTTGCCTTGGAAAATGGGGTCCTCCCAGAAAATGTGGTCATCTTGCCCAAGAATGGTAATGTACAAGTTGTTTTCAAATTGTATTTTTATATTAACTGAACAAGCATAAATGTATTTTATTTCCCATAGGTGACTGTCCTTCTGAATAATTGCCTTGAGGACTAAACAAGACCTTCAAGTCTTTGTGTGAATTTGGGTGGTAGATGGCTACAATTAGTTAAGTTATACATTGTTCTAATGCCAATATATGTGAGCCATCCAGACTCACAGTGCCATATTGAACAGAAAAGTTCAGAAGTTTGTAGTATAGATCTAAAGTGATGTGGCACTAGCGAGCCTGTGTTAGTGTAATAGTGTGATTTTAATGTGTGTGGGTTTTGTTTTTGTTTTTTTTTTCATTTTGCATGTTCTAGTTTTATGCTTTTACTACATCATTAGTAGAGCTCCACCTCCCCAGCTGTGATACAACTGAATGAATAACAAATCCTCACACAATCAGCACATCTGAGGTGTGAGAGGAGAACAAAAGATGAGAGGGGAAACTGGCACATCATGAAAGCAAGATAGTGGACAATTATTTTCAATATTGCCAAAAAATTTTATTTCTTTTAAATCAGGAATCAGAAAGATGAGAACGGAAAGCTCCCATTTTATCCTTTTTCATTGCATTTGTTGCCAGTGTTAGTGCAGTTAATTTTGACAAGTTTTATTTTCTAAATTGACTTGCTTTATAATTTTAGCTTGTATTATTGCATTATTTTAATTTGTTCTTTTTGTAAATACTCAAAATTTTACCTGGTGAAATAAAACTTTTCTTTAATTGTAATGGTATCTTTAAAATGATGCAGTATCTACTTTACTGCTGTCTAACAGTGTGCCAGCTTTGCCATTACAGAAGATGACCAGAGAGCACAGCTTAGCCTGAAAAAATGTCAGGTAAGGGGAGAGGAGAACAGGTTTCACATCTGCCATCTACTGGTGAAAAATCAAACAAACAGATAGTATCCTAAAACTACACCCACTCCAATCTGCATATAAGGTGAATAAGGGCACGGAGAATCTTCTTTGTGGACTTCAGTTCAGCCTTCAAGCCTCCAGAGGCACCTAATGATCCAAAATTGCAACAACTCAACATCTCCACCAGACTGATCCATCTCAACCACTTCTCAACAGACAGTAGATTGTATGGTTGGGTGTGGCCATATTCTCGGCCCTCACAATAAACACTGGTGCACCACAAGGGTGTGTGCTTAGCCAATTTCTTTACACACTCTACACAAATGACAATATGAGTCCCTCCACAAACATAATATACATCAGATATTCTGATGACACTGATGTCCTTACTTTACTCAAAAATGATAATTCAGTTATGGACTACAACAAGACCCCGAGATACTTGAACTCCTCCACTTGGGGCAGGGCCTCTCCACCCACCTGGAGAGGGCAAGCCACCTTTTTCCGGTCGAGAACCATGGCCTCGGATTTGGAGGAGCTGATCTTCATCCCAGCCGCTTCACACTCGGCTGCAAACCGCCCCAGTGCACATTGTAGGTTCGATGAAGCCAACAGGACAACATCATCTGCAAACAGCAGAGATGAGATCCTGTGGTCCCCAAACCGGCCCCCCCTCCGGCCCCTGACTGCACCTAGAAATTCTGTCCATAAAAACAATGAACAGAACCGGTGACAAAGGGCAGCCCTGGCGGAGTCCAACATGCACCGGGAACAGGTCTGACTTACTGCCGGCAATGCGAACACAGCTCCTGCTCCGGTCATACAGGGACCGGACAGCCCTTAGCAAAGGGCCCCGGACCCCATACTCCCAGAGCACCCCCCACAGGACACCACGAGGGACACGGTCAAATGCCTTCTCCAGATCCACAAAACACATGTGGACTGGTTGGGTAAACTCCCATGAACCCTCGAGCACCCTATGGAGAGTGTAGAGCTGGTCCAGTGTTCCACGGCCAGGACGAAAATCACACTGCTCCTCTTGAATCCGAGGTTCGACTATCGGCCGGATTCTCCTCTCCAGTACCCTGGAATAGACCTTACCGGGAAGGCTGAGGAGTGTGATTCCCCTGTAATTGGAACACACCCTCCGGTCCCCCTTCTTATACAGAGGGACCACCACCCCGGTTTGCCAGTCCAGAGGTACTGTCCCCGACCGCCACGCGATGTTGAAGAGGCGTGTCAGCCAAGACAGCCCCACAACATCCAGAGACTTAAGGTACTCAGGACGGATCTCATCCAACCCCGGAGCCTTGCCACCAAGGAGCTTGCCAACCACCTCAGTGACTTCAGCCAGGGTGATGGACGAGTCCGCCTCTGGGTCCCCAGTCTCTGCTTCCTCCTCGGAAGACGTGGCGGTGGGATTGAGGAGATCCTCAAAGTATTCTTTCCACCGTCCGACTACATCCCCAGTCGAGGTCAACAGCTCTCCCCCCGCACTGTAAACAGTGTTGGTGAAGAACTGCTTCCCCCTCCTGAGGCGCCGGACGGTTTGCCAGAATCTCTTTGAGGCCGTCCGATAGTCCTCCTCCATGGCCTCTCCAAACTCCTCCCAGCTCCGAGTTTTTGCCTCTGTGACCGCACAAGCTGCCTCACGCTTGGCCCGTCGGTACCCATCAGCTGCCTCAGGAGTCCCCCGAGCCAACATGACCCGATAGGACTCCTTCTTCAGTTTGACGGCATCCCTTACTTCCGGTGTCCACCACCGGGTTCGGGGATTGCCGCCGCGACAGGCACCACAGACCTTACGCCCACAGCTACGGGCGGCCGCATTGACAATGGAGGTGGAGAACAGAGCCCACTCGGACTCCATATCTCCAACCTCCCCCGGAATCTGGGAGAAGCTCTCCCGGAGGTGTGAGTTGAAGATCCCTCTGACAGAGGGTTCCGCCAGACGTTCCCAACAGACCCTCACGACACGCTTGGGTCTGCCAGGTCTTTCCGGCTTCCTCCACCGCCAGCGGATCCAACTCACCACCAGGTGGTGATCGGTTGACAGCTCAGCCCCTCTCTTCACCCGAGTGTCCAAGACACGCGGCCGGAGGTCAGATGACACGACGACAAAGTCGATCATCGACCTCCGGCCTAGGGTGTCCTGGTGCCACGTGCACTTATGGACACCCTTGTGCTCGAACATGGTGTTTGTTATGGACAAACTGTGACTAGCACAGAAGTCCAATAACAGAACACCACTCGGGTTCAGATCAGGGAGGCCGTTCCTCCCAATCACCCCTCTCCAGGTGTCACTGGCGTTGCCCACGTGGGCGTTGAAGTCCCCCAGTAGAACAACGGAGTCCCCAGTTGGTGCACTATCTAGTACCCCTCCCAGGGACTCCAAGAAGGCTGGGTACTCTGCACTGCTGTTCGGCCCGTAGGCCGACACCACAGTGAGATACCTGTCCCCGACCCGAAGGCGCAGGGACGCGACCCTCTCGTTCACTGGGGTGAACTCCAACACGTGGCGGCTGAGCTGTGGGGCTATAAGCAAGCCCACACCAGCTCGCCGCCGCTCCCCGCAGGCAACACCAGAAAAATGGAGGGTCCAACCCCTCTCGAGAGGTTGGGTACCAGAGCCCAAGCTGTGCGTGGAGGTGAGGCCGACTATATCTAGCCGGTACCTCTCAACCTCCCGCACAAGCTCAGGCTCCTTCCCCCCCAGTGAGGTGACGTTCCACGTCCCTACAGCCAGGTTCTGTGTCCGTGGACTAGGTTGCTGGGATCCCTGACCCCGACCTCTGCCTAGTTCACAGCGCACCCGACCCCTATGAAACCCTCTGCGGGTGGTGAGCCCACAGGAGGGCGGGCCCACGTCGTCCCTTCGGGCTGAGCCCGGCCGGGCCCCGTGGGCAAAGGCCCGGCCACCAGGCGCTCGCTTTCGAGCCCCAACCCCAGGCCTGGCTCCAGGGTGGGGCCCCGGCTGCGCCATACCGGGCGACGTAACGTAATGACCGAAAGGACAAGATCGCGGATACAAGCGGCCGAAATGAGTTTCCTCCGCAGGGTGGCTGGGCGCTCCCTTAGAGATAGGGTGAGGAGCTCAGTCACACGGGAGGAGCTCGGAGTAGAGCCGCTGCTCCTTCACGTTGAGAGGAGCCAGTTGAGGTGGCTCGGGCATCTTTTCCGGATGCCTCCTGGACGCCTCCCTCGGGAGGTGTTCTGGGCATGTCCCACTGGGAGGAGGCCCCGGGGAAGACCCAGGACACGCTGGAGGGACTATGTTTCTCGGCTGGCCTGGGAACGCCTTGGGGTCCCCCCAGAAGAGCTGGAGGAAGTGTGTGTGGAAAGGGAGGTCTGGGAGTCCCTGCTTAGACTGCTGCCCCCGCGACCCGGCTCCGGATAAGCGGAAGAAAAATGGAATGGAATGGACTACAACAACACAACCATAAACTTCACCAAACGATATAATGCCAAACACCTCCACCTCAATGTCACAAAAACAAATTAGGCCCCAATTGTCCAAATTACACCAGTGATAAGGTTAAGTGGGCCACCAGATGATGAGAACCTGCAAGTGTCCTACAAGCATGAAGTAGTGTCCTACAGGAATATGGATTTAATGCAACTGGTTGTGATTCTGCTGCTAACTTTGTGCATTGTGGAGTGCAGATTTATTTACTACTTTCAACTTGACCAAGACAGAGCTACCTGAATTCTTCACCTTTGTTGGTAGGTGCAGCTGTGATTATACTTTCAATATTTATCACAAAATGTCCAGATTATTCTATAAAAATAGTGACCTTAAACTTATTAGCCAAAAAAAAAAAATTATAAAAAAAAAAAGACTAAATTAAAAGCATTTTTTTTCCCCTTTTAATTATTTTGGTTGAAAAACATACATCCTTATTGTGAAAAGGGTTGCATCTCCACAAACCCGACTCTTATTTGGCCTGGATGAGGGCAGCCTCCTTTTTGTTTTCATGAAAATGTTATTTGCCTATAATCTTCCATGGTATGGCATAAAACTTATCTCCATGGAAAATGTGCCGAAGTAGGATTTTAACTTTGTTTTGATGGAATCATGCAGGTGACATGCCACCTCCAGAAAGTTACATTTCTTTATTTGAACCTTTTTTTGACCTCTATTTAAACAGTACAGTATCACTGAGATTAGGAGTCCCTTTGTTAGGAGAGTCTTATCCCAGGCGGGCTAATGTACATGCTTTTAATAATAGGGGAAACTTATGCAAGCGCAGGGAGAACATGCAAACTCCACACAAAAAGGGCCTATCTGCACCACCACACCGCCCAAAAGCACTGTACCTTTACCTTTGCTTTGTTTTTCAAACATTCAAACATTAAATATTCTCTGCTTTACATCTGGGAAAATGTTTCTGGAGCATGTGTTTACAGCTTGTGAACCAATGGTCAGTCTACCAAAAGAGCTCAAGCGAAGTGCTGAGTGCAAGGATACAACAGGTGACCACTAGCAATTATCAAAATAAACAGTATAAAAAGATTTAATTTGATAGCTTTAGGGTAAACACGATATAAAAACATTTAAATATTTCACAATGTGAAGCTCACAGTACACCCAGGGAGTTATTAAATAAAAACATTTCCAAAATTATTTAAATTATACATTTTTTATAAACCATAATCTCATTTGCTTTGTTGAATTAAAACCATTTGACATTTCCTCAGCATGTCTTAAATGATGGCCTTAATCTACACTAAAACTGCTAGCATGTGAACTGTGAAACAATGAAGAGGTTCAGTTCTAAAAACACGTGTTTTTATTATTTTTAAACAAGTATGCTGTGGTACATCCATAACAACACAGTTCGGAATCCATTTCAAGTGTTTACATCTACACGCTTTGTACATGTTGTATACAAAACAATAATTTACGTCCCATAGAGGTCTAGTTACACTCAACTATACAAGTAAATGAAATAAATATATAGAGAACAAAGATGGTCACATGAGAAAACTTAAAAAGCAGAATCCCACCAGCACCAGGTTTTGAATTTGCATCTTGATGTGCATTTCATTTTTACAAAAAGTACATCAGAAAACTGCACACCCTTCTCAGTCACTGATGTTGCATTCACACTGAACACAAATGAAGCACCTTTCAAAATGATTTATATAATGTTCAATTTAAATTAAGAAAATATTTTGATAAAAACAGTTAATATGACAGCCATCTGGCTCATTGATATAAAGATTTTACTACAACAGGATTGGGCAATTGTTCTGGTCCATAAAAAATATACTGCATAATTGAAGTACATGATTAGTAAGCAGTTACAGAACTGCACCGTTCCACTGTTTCATTAGAAATTGTCAGACATAAATGTGGGCACATGCACAGTTGAACACACGCCATTACTTAACCAAGTGACCAAGTGCTACTGGAAACAATATCATAGCAACTTGTTATTGATGCAAACAATTACCACTTTGCATTTGAGGGAAATTGATGAATACAAAAGTAAAAAGTGTATCTACTACAAAGACATCTGCACAATCTGCCATGCAACTGTCACCACATGGGACATGCTGTTTCAAGTGCACGTCCAAGGGAGGGTCGGTTTCTAAAATTATGTACATGTGTATACATTTGAAGACTTACAAGCCTGGGAATGTCAAAAGTTGAAAAGAACATGAACTAAGTGCAGCACAAGCACTCTACACTGTATACAGGTGGATGTTTTCTGAATGGTGCCTGGTGGGTGTGTAGTACAATAAAACAGTTCTAAGCTGTGGCACAGCATGTGGCTGCTTTGAGTCACTCTGTGTGGACTACATCTTTGTGATGACGCATAATGTGCTGGTTTTTCTCTGAGGGCCGTCTGAAACCTTTGGAGCAAATCTCGCAGCGATGAGGATAGTCTTTTGTGTGGATGGAAATGACATGGCGTTTGAACCCTGAAGCATCCCCTGTGCTGTAGTCACAATACTGGCACTGGTAAATTCTTCTCTCCTTTTGTCCTTTGCCAATCACTACTGTGACACTGCTGGCCAGGCTGGCTGCGCTCACTCGGGCCGGAGGACCAGAGCCACTGGAGCCACTCACTGACTTTTTAGGAGAGACTGCTGAAGCGTTTGCCTCTGGCCGCTTGGGCTCAGTCTTTTCAGGAGATGCCTGTTGCTCTTTTGTGTGGACAGACAAGATATGGCGACTGAGAACAAAAGGATCTGCTATTTTAAAGTTGCAATGTCGGCACTGGTGAAGTTTCTTGCTGCGATGGGATAGGGAGTGCTTTTTTAGTTCAGATGGCCTGTGGAAGCCTTTCCCACACACCGCACATTTATGGGGATAGTCTTTTGTGTGGACAGAAATTATATGGCGTTTCAAATCACTGGAATTGGAACTCTTGTGATCGCAGTGGGCACAATGGTGGGTTTTATTCTCCTCATGAGTCAGTCCATGTTGGATTAGCTCCTCCTCCTCAGCAAAAGTCTGAAAACAGCGCTCACACTTGAATGGCATTTCTTTGCTGTGTTTGGTCTTGATGTGAGTCTTAAGGTTTGACGAATCAGCAGATTTGTAGTCGCAATAGAGACAGGAATAGGGCTTCTCACCCGTGTGTGTGCGCATGTGTTTTTTAAGTTCTGACGGGTGACGGAAGCCCTTACCACACTCCACACAGATGTGAGGGAAACTTTTACTATGCACAGCCAAGAGGTGGCGATTTAGCAGCCCCTGTTCAGCAGTTTCATAGTCACAAAACTTGCATTTGTGCAATTTGGAGGGTGGAGGTGGTGGCTGGCTTTTGGGTTCCCTTTGGTGCTGCAATCTGTGTGTGAAAAGCGCCGACTGCTGGTGGAACTCCTTCCCGCATATTTCACACTCAAATGGAGCTTTGCTGCTCAGAGCATGCACCTCCATATGGTTGTGGAGGCTGGCCTTCTTATTAGTAGTGAAATCACAGTCTGTGCACTGATACTTTTTCCTGGTCAGAACATCCTGGTGGTGATTCTTGGTGTGCCGCTTAAGGAACCCACGCGACTTGAACTTCTTTCCACACAGCATACATGGATAAACTGTTAGAGGTTGCCCATAAGGCCCGATGATGATAGCTGGAAACAATGACAAAACAAAACCATTAATTGTCTTTTACATGCATATAAACAGCAATACCAACAGTGTGGTACAGTGATATTTCATTTACCAAAAATGCAGCACGTGCAGGACTAGCATTTCAAATACAGCAAACTTCAGCACAGCAAAAGTTTATGACTCACCTGTCTGCACTTGCCGTGGCTCAGACCTCCTCTTCTTGCTCCTTTGTCTACTGAGTTCATCAGTTCTATCAGACTCATCAATGTGCAGCAGTGCACTTGCTGCCCCATTACGATTTTCACAACCCTCGCCATCATCAGCACCTGTAGAAAAAGCGGTTTATAACTATGGCAAGGGACAATGCAAGAGAAAAGTCTTGGCTTATCTTAGTTTTTAAATTAAACTCTTCAAACTAAGAGTAATGTTAGATAAATTCACAGAATGAGTGGAAATACAGTTTCACATGTGATGATATTTTTAAAGAAAACGACTAAATAGATATATTTACTTCTCATAAGCAGTGAGCAGACCTGAATGTAGGATTGCACCAGAGCTAAATTTTTACCATTACCAAGCCTGAATCAAAATTAACGCCAACCTTCTATTCAGCACACCTATAGAGAGCAGAAGGAATGAAGGTTTTTTTTTCCCCAAGACAGGACTTTATTGCTACACAGTCCACGAAGCAGAAAGATGGGATAGGAGAGATTGAAGGAAATGAAGTGAGCACTGGGACAGACCGCTCCTGTGGCTACAGGAGAGGTGAGTGCAGCTGCTTCAGCACCTAGTGTCCACCTCTGGACCTGCGCTCTTAGGTAGTGGCTTGGTTGGAGAGCGCATAAACGGCTGACATAGCAAAGGAGAAATTCAGGTGTAGTTCAAAGATGTCTTCAATCAAAAACTTTTCTCCAGTTGACAGAATTGAATTTCTCCTTTGCTATGGATCCTATGTGGGAAGCTGTGGGATTACACAAACGTAAAAGGCTGACCACCGTCTAGCTTTCCGCGATATGCGTATCTCTGCATTTAGGCAGAGGACGTTTCCTCATTACAGCAATTTTTCCATGAATATGAGGTGAATTGTAATAAAAACACAGCATTTTACAGCTTAACGTGTAAAACCACATCCATGCATTCACCATGCGTGAGCTATTTTAGGAGTATAACTTCCTCCATGCCTACTCTGCTCCTGTCCTTGTGTCATGCAAGTCAGGCGCAAACAACGGAGTGAGAGAGCATGAGAGAGAGGCAGACAGAGAGAGGGTATGCAAAGGGAAAGACGCAAACTCATAGTTCATGTTAAAATACTATTAGACTCACGTCAAATTATTTGTTAAATGCATTAGGCCTATTGGGGGAAAATAATGAATTGCAATGAACATATTTAAAAACTTGATGCCTCTGAATGTTGTGCATGTATGAGCACACACAGAGCTGAATAATGTGAATGAGCAGGCTGCTGGCTTGTTAAAGTGATAAAATTATTGTAATCAAACACATAGCACATTTAAATGGTTAATGAATCACGATTAAAATATTTCATAGCTTCCTAGACTATTTTAAACATAAGACCTTCTGTGTTCTTTGTTCACAAATTGGCAATAGCTTACCATGGTTTCCTTGATTGTGTCGAGAGTCGCCTACAGACATGTAAACCATTTTCTCTCTGAGTGGATGTCCAGAGTCAGCCAATGCCATATTCTCATTGTCACTAATGTCTACAGATTCACCTGTAGGGAAAATGTGATTTCAATGATCATGAATAATAATAATAATAAAAGCATAAAGCTTATAATTGTGTAAAATAGACCTCAAAATCAATGACAATGACAGTACACACCCATGTCGTCCTCTCCAGAATCTGCTTTAAAGATGTACACCTTGATGACTTCTTGTCCATCTTCGTCCTTCTCCACTTCATGATCCTCCACAGCTCCCTCTACTGTCACTTCTGTCCCATCTTCAGACACCATTTTACCAGCTTCATCCACTTAAAAGTAAAATTTTTTTTTAGGAAATCGTGAGAATAACCCTTGTTTTCGACAAAGACATTTTAAAAAATCTTCACTCACAAGATATCATTAAGTAGTCTCCACAGCCGTCCTGGTCCTCGTCCTGCTGTTCTGGGTCCAAGCCGTCCTCTGGGATGTCACTCATGGCTACTCCTTCCTCGTCTCCCTCTAGGGCCATCACACAGGTCTCTACAGCAACATCTTCATCTTCATCGCAGTGTACATACTCAGAAACCACATCCTCAACTGCATCCTGGATGACTAGCTCCTCTGAGGCAAACCTGTGAACCGCCATGCCTTCCCCCTCGCCTTCTGATACCAACACAGTCTCTTGAAGCTCCACAACAAACTGCCCGCCGGCACCACCCTCATCTGCAAGAAGCAGGATTACCCAGTTAGCCAGTTAACAAGCCAATAAATAACATTATGTTATTTTTTTAATACTTGTGCGGGCTTGACCAAATACAAATTACAAGTCATCTTCAATTTTACAGATTTATCCATTATATGAATCATTAACACATATCATGTCAGTTATCTGGCTAACAAAAGAATCCTGCTTCTTGAAATACCCCAAAATACAAATTGCTTAAACACAGACAGGTAAAGAAAAATGAGAAGTCCTCAATTATCTAAGTCAAAAGGTTCCCAAACGTTTCAGGACGGGACCACCCATGCAACAAGCCCAAAACCCAAACTGCTAAAGAAACTAATGTTTGTAATGCAAAACATTAAAAACCTGTATTAAATTGCATGTATTTTACCCAGTTTCACTAAATGTACCAATACTAAATATATAACTGGTTAAAATTATGTCTTCCAAGTCATCTCAGAACCCCATGTCAGTGCCTCGAGACCTGATCCCCAGTTTCAGAACCTATGATCTAAATAAACGCATAGCAAATTTATACAGATTTGTTCGGGAACTGATCAACTAAATTTTCCCTTTAATATGTCCCCTTTCTGTGAAGAGTCTAAACACGTTAATGTATGAGTTACCCGATCCGTGTAGTATTAACTTAGGCTCGCTGGATTGTATAGAAAGCCTGGTGTCATCCTCATCCATTGTCTTCGCACTGCATTTGTTACTGGAGAGCTGGAAACAAATTATGGGGAAACTTAGATTGCCATGCAACCATCATAGAACAGTTGAAATTAAGAAAACCACATAATTACAACACAGGAGTCAAATTGAAAACCAGCTTAGATATGTGTTATAAAGAATCAATGGCTGTGGTTACAATGCGCACTTAAAATGTGATAATTTTTTGAAGACTATTAAAATGACATGCAAACGGCATAATTATATGATTTCTTTCTGATCAATTTAATGTTCAGTGTTATGCCAGAAGAACGTGCAATCTGATATTTTACGTTCCCATTTAAGAGGAAAAATTGAGAAAAGCAGCGCTATACCACATAGAAATTGGAGAAAGAGGATGCAGATGTAAACAGAGGTGGCTAGTGCAGCTCGTGTTCATTCATTGATTGATTCAGTGTAAGCACCATCCCCCTTTTCAAGTGATAGAAAGGGGTTGAAAACAATTAACATTTTAGAGTATTAAGATTAAGCCTTTATGAACATGACCGGTGAAGAACCGTTGCTCTCAGCCTTGTTTATTACTCACAAAGCTCATAGGCAGCCTCACAACCGTCTGTGAAGATTCACAAGGAATTAAACATGTTTAAGATGTATTTAAGTTGTGCAGTCGTAAAGCTACTATGTCAAGAAATGTGGGAGTGCATAATGGTCTGTAAATGTATCAGTAGCATTCAGCCAGGGGGAGGAGGGCTACACATCCCTCACATTCTCTACAGCGTCTTTCAGTCAGAGCAGCATGCGCCATTTTGTTAGCCAGCTATCCAGCGAAAGCTAATTTAACAATGGCTGAAATGCGCATCTCACAGTGGGGAAACATGTGCGGTTGTATAATTTCTGTACAGTGCAGGATGCAATAAGGAATCTATAAAGTATAAACAACTACGGAGTAAATTCATGCGTGCATGCGAAGCGTTTTGGTGCAGACAAGCGAGCTAACCGGATAGGCCTACATCGCCAATTATGGCCTACGCCGAGGCCTGGGCCTGAGTTGAAAAGGCCCAACCCTCTGCGGCCTCTCAAAGAGAATAAAGAGCAAAGCTCTGCATGCATACAAAGGCAAGGCGATACAACCACACATCACTCGATATGGGCCTCGAAATAGCAAATGTGAGCGGCGTACCAGATTTCTCCTACTGCAGGGATGGCCTCTCTCCCTCGTCCTTCCCCAGGCCGCTGCTTTCCCCAGACTCGGGCACGATTCAGACGGGATTTTGTGTTATTTGGGCGGGCCGCAGAGAGGCAGAGAAGGAGGGGTTATGGGTTTCTTCTGGAGCTCTGCTGAAAGCGTCTAGAGCCAGGTCTTGTCCTGCTACAGCCCCCCGCTCCTCCAGCGCCAAGGCCGCCGTCAGCACAACACGTCACAGGAGAACAGGGCAGGAAAACGCGGAAGAACCGATGGGCACAACTGCTGGAAATACTGCACTACTACCACAGGGTATAGGCCATCACCGAGCGCCTTCAAACACTGTGCCAAACCACCCAGGGCCTAGATTATCCCCATTATTTATGGCCTATGATCGATTCGTCTCGTGTACGTGTTCGTATGATATGTGGGAGACGGGCTACTTGTGTTGTGTTTGTGACTGACTGGCCTTTTGCTTCTGACGAAAAATACAAAATCTTGCCTGCAGTGACCAAAAGCCATCTTCTAAGACTAGTGTAGTCTACCGTTGATAAACACTTAATAAGACAGGCTACTTCTGTGATTCACAGAAGAGTTTCATAGGAAGTTAAGTGAATACCCAAAAGTAGAAAAGACTAGAATCTAGATCAAGAATCTAAAGTGACACTGAAATCCCTTTGTAATCATTGCCTGTGAGTATTCGTTAAGTGGCTATAAACCAATCATCTCATCTCAGAGAACTCATCAGAGGGACACTATGTGCTGGATGTGTTGGACAAGATATGCCAACAGTGCCCTATGTTTGTCTTGCTTTGTTCAGGCTATTTTATGAAGGACCTGGAAAAGTGTTGCATGTTAATTTGTAGTGCACACACAAAAATCTTTACAGAACAAACAAACAAACATAGCCAAAATGCTTAACAAAATTCTTCATAATATTAATTGTATATATATATATATATATATATATATATATATATATGTATATATATATATATATATATATATATATATATATATATATATATATATATATAGATAGATAGATAGATAGATAGATAGATAGATAGATAGATATATATAGATATATATACATAGATATATATAGATAGATAGATAGGTATATAAATAGCTATATAGATATATAATCAGTAAATAGTATTGTTAAGACTGGTAAGAGTATATTTATATATATAGTATGTTATGACTAAGCAATGATAAAAATGAGGTTGCCTTACAAAAAATGTCTAAGCTCATGTGGAATCACAAAATAAACATATTATAATTTTACTTTTACTTTAACAGGACGGTCAGAGTCAACCAAAGGGCCATATGTGGCCCGGGAACTATACAATGCCCAGGTCTGGCCTAGATGATGCTTTAAAATGCAAATAATTGTAAGTTGCAGGTGCAGTATGTCCGTCACCCGCTTGCCTCTACAGAAGTGTTGCTTTGCCTGGTCACCTCTCATCTCTACAGATCTGACTTGTGACTTAGCTGCTTAGTTTCCATGGAGGTATGCCATAATTTTGAACATTTTGGGTAAAACAATAACATCTGCAATTATTGTAGACAATGAAGCAAAAAGAAAAGAGCACTGACAAACTAGGCCTACTTTCAATGTCAGCAGAATGCAGTGTCAACTGTTGGGAGGACATCTCACAGATACATTTACCTGTCTATAAATGAAGCATATAAAGAACAATAGCAGCAGTAAGATGTGTCTGAATTCTTTATAAAAGGGGAAATAAAGGACTGGAAGGCAGACATCAGTCTCATTTTATTAAGTCATAAAATAATTAAACATTAAAAAAATGCTTTGAGACAATAAATCAGAATATGCCTACATAACTTAACACAACAGCTTTATGGATTAGTTTGGTAATAAAAACTTATATAATCATTCAAAGTTCAAAGATTGTTTTCTTATATAATCATTTATATAGGTCATCAATACAGTGACATTTTATTTTACAGTCATTTTCACTAGGTCCTTTTTGTCTATTGCAAAAAGTCTCCAGCCCTCCTCAGAGGAAAGGTCAGCTGCTCCCCTGCGCTTGTAAAAATCAATGGACTTTGTGTTGTTTTCTGCAACAATGAAATGCATGCTGCTACAGCGGGTCTTAACAGCAATCTGGAAGAAAATTAATAATCTTATATTTGAGAAAAAGAACTCCAACCAATTTTTACTTTAATTTAAGTTTTCAAAAATATTGAACTTTACCTCACTGAGCACTTTCAAGATCTTGGAGCCAATACCAAAACCTAGAGGAAATCAAATGTCTTAAAATAGCAAGAAGAATACAGTTTGCAATGTAATATTTAAAAAAAAAAAAAAAGTAACATAATACGCAATTATAAAAGTAACTTGAACATACCTCGATAATCTTCCATGACGTAAAAGTCCTCTAAATACAGCAGTTTCCCAATCCAAGGATCATAGGTAAAGTAGTACATTGCAAAGGCTACAACACTGTAACCTGTAAAGAGAAACTCTTTGTTTATAATGTTCAGTGCACTTAAAAATAGTAGTTTTAAGGTCATTTTCAGTTTGCTACCTTGTGCGCTTTGTTCTTTAGGCACTTCAGCAACCAGGCAGTGGTAAAATGGATGATCCCCAAAGCCATCATCAAGGAGATCTGGTTATATCATACATATTACAATTGAGAACCACATTCAATTTATTAACCATAATAGAATTACAAAAAAAAAACACCTTTTTCTGTCAGCTTGACCTGCTCCTCCATTTCCTCAAATTTGGCAAGTTCCTAAAATTGGATACAAAAGAGGTAGTCACAAGTGTTTTCATGTGATTAACAAATAGACTACTTAGATAAGCAAAAAGACTAATTTAAAAAATACAATAGCTAAAACTATATGTACCAACTATACGTACCTTTATGAGTCGTAAGATATCGGTCACATCCTTGGGTTCAGCTTTCCTCAATATAAAATTGGCCATTTTCTCTTTTTCCCCTTTTTCCCTTTGCTTACTAGTCCTCTGAATGTAAACAAAAGTAGGATTTGTTTCTTCATTCGCTCCTCAGGAGATTACCCCCCGGTAAAAAATAGGAAACTATCATATACTGAAAAACTTTGGCTGCTTCACACAGAATGAGACTTAATTCCTTCTACACTTGCTATAAGCACAGGGGCTGACGACATCCCCCACGGACGTCATCAGTATCCTTATACGGTTACAACACTGTGGAATTTCCGATGTCAGCCTGTTGGTCATGTTTTTCAAGGAAACTATTAACTAGGTCTGGAACACAATGGGAATGTAAATAGTTAACATCTACTAGCCTGCGTACAGCAAAAACTGTTCAGATTGTAAGGTAAAATATATGAATTCATATACTTTCATCCATATAGACTTTGTTGTTAATAGAATCGTATGACTTATAATTGTAATAATTTAAATGAAAATAACTTTGTAAAACATAAAAACATTGTTGAGCAGACAGTTAGTGCCCCCATTATGATCATTAACCTGTAATATGCAGAATATTTGAGTTATTTACCATTCAGCTTATTCTGGATTTCCCCACTAACCAAAATGCTGAACTCATGGGTTTCAGTTTCCTGTTATATGTAACATTTTGAGGACAGTTTTCCAATTTAAAGCATTTTTTTTTTTTATTTAAATAAGTTTATCAATTATCTTTTTTCCAACATTCTGGACTCATGTATAAGTGTTCACAAAAACATCAAAACCAAGCAGTCCACCTGCTACTCTGACACTAAAATGTGGTCTTTACAATGTTTTTTTTTTTTTTTTTTTTAAGTTTATTAAAGACTAACAAACCAAAATTTCTGCTTCTTATTTTTACAGAAAATTGACAGAAAAGTGCTGTAACAATGTAGAATTATTTATAACATCTCATGAACCAAACAAATAAGTGCCTGACTAAAATGACCCCCAATTCAAGCTGAAGCTCTCTGAACCCTTTAGAGCAGGGGTCTCCAACCTGTTGCTCGGGAGCCATCAGTAGCTCTCCACCCCCTTCCAAGTAGCTCACCAAAGGATATCTGAATTATACTTATTGTGATAATAACTACAATTTGATTAATTAAATGGCTGTTACTATTTGAAATTTATCATCTTGATGCATAACTTTGTGCACTAATAAATCAATAATGGTTTATGTTTTATACACATTTAATGGTACCCCATTTAAGGCTTGCCCTCTTTCTTACACTGACTCAATTTCTTGCGACTGCTATAACTAGTAGCTCTATGGCATTTTTGTTTAGTAAAGGCAAGCATGCCTTAGAGTGTAAATAAATTAGCTTAATTCTCTTTCCAAAAGAGAATCAAGCTCTGCTTGTTACGACGTGTGCTTGGAAAATCATATTTTAAATCCTGACTTTTGAAAGCTGATGCCCAAATGACTAAAATAAGGTTTAGGGATAACTCTTGGGTTATAAAGTAAAGGCTTATCTTAACAGGCCGTTTAAGACAAACATTTTATTAGACCAAGTGTAAGGTGGAATAAGTGCAGCTTAGTTGGACTTGCCAAAATATTTTAGCTTGCCCGAAGGGTCTGGAATGATCTGTGAAGAAATTAAACAAGTAAACGTAAACACCATACAAACAAACTGACTATTAACAAAAGGCTATTATGATTATTGTTGGCATATTTTACAAAGAAAACGCCCACCACGTCTAATCTTTCGAACAATTCAAATCATTAACTCCAGATACTCACTGTGTCACTACCAGGCTTCCATCCTGCTGGGCACACTGCAGGACAATAAAAATAATTTGTTACCTTGTACCAAATAGGGTCATTGCAGAATACAATAAGTAAAGGCTCCACTCATACCTTCACCATGTTTATCAGTATACTGGAAGGCCTGAACCAAACGGAGAGTCTCGTCTACAGATCGCCCCACTGGCAGGTCATTCATCGTTATTTGCCGCAGGATGCCTTTGTCATCAATGATGAAAAGTCCCCTTGATAAGCCAAAGCAACAATTTACAACCCTTAGTCCTACTCATGTTCTTGAATGTATCCATTATATATACACCTTAATGTGTGTCCCTGGTCTTCAAGGTAAACACCATAGTCTTTGGAAATTTGGTGAGTGAGATCTGACAGCAGAGGGATCTTCATTTGTCCAAGACCTCCTTGCTTTCGAGGTGTGTTTATCCTGAAAAATAAATAAGTAAAACTGGTTATACATTTTCTGTGTACATTAAAACTGTGATCAAATCAATTATATAAGTGTACAAAGATCTATTGTAATTTTGAGTGGATCTCACCAGGCCAGATGGGTGAACTGAGAATCCACTGAACAGGCAACCACCTCTGTGTTGATGGCTTGAAACTCGTGCACGCGATCACTAAATGCAATGATCTCAGTGGGACAAACAAAAGTACTGCAAAAGAAATGATACTCACAAATACTTGTTCCAATAAAACCAAATGGTGAACTCCAGCATCGCTACTCACAAGTCCAATGGGTAGAAGAAGAAGACGAGATATTTGCCTTTGTAGTCTGACAACTTCAGCTCTTTGAATTCCCCATTGATAACAGCTGTTCCTTCCCACTGTGGGGCAGGTTTAGAAACTGTAAAATGTCAAATTAAAGACAGAATAAGTAATTTTTCAAGTGGAAGTTCCACTGTCACCTCGTCTCCCAAGAGACGTTTTTACACACTGAGACAACCTCGTGGGGCAACAAGGCCTACTTACAGATCAGATCTGGGAAGAGGTGACTACACAGTACCTATGTATGTTTTTCACTGTATTTTAGATAGGGTGTCCAGATTTTCAAAATAAAAAACTGGGACACCCCTGGTTTGAGGTGGTTTGTGCCAATAAAATTGTGAAACAAGTGTGTAATTAAAAAACTGTTCCGCACTCTGCCCATTCATGATTAACATATGATGTCATGTCACATTTTCAAGCAGCTTTTCTGTATTTTACCCAAACAAATGACAATTTATGCCTCAATTTGTTACCTGTTGGCAGGTGTCAAATTGAGGCATTTCTTGTATAAAACTGGGACAAATTAATGGTTCTAGACAAATCTGCGGGGACAGGGGATATAATGCTCAAAACTGGGACTATCCTGGGTAAATAGGGAGGTCTGGTCTGGTCACCCTAATTTTCGAGTGTGCCATTAAATAAAGGCTCAATAGTTTTCAATCACATACTGTGGAACATTCCATGTACCAAACCATACCAAATAAAAATATTCCATGAAGACAACCAGGTAGCAGACTGCCAGACAGGAAAAAGTTATATAGTACACATTACATTTAAAATATACAGGGCCTCATTATTTTTATTGTCTCTAATAACGAAAATAAAAGCACAAGTAATTAATTGCTTCTATAATAAACCCGTTGCTCTCTCTGACACTTGACTTAAATGCTGAGCTGGTCTTTCGGCTCTTGTGTGATTCTTGTGTTAGTTTATGAGCAGTGTTGGAGATGTGCCATGCAAAGTCATGTGTTAAAGGGGCGGACAAATCACCATGCTTTTCTTAAGAGTGACGTGTCCTTTAATTTAAAAATAAAACCTCGTGACAACATATAGCCTCTGTGTGTGGATTACAGTCAACGTCCACGGAGTATGGGATTTAACTACAGGTGGTGATCGTTTTCTGTACATGACTAAAACGTGGATGAGAGTGATTAGAGAGAATCAAATCTTCAAATCTAAAGATGCCTAAAGTTGATAAACGCTCAGGTAACGTGGCTCACTCTTTGCTTTGCTGAGGTGCAGAGAATGGTCGGACACGGGCACACGGAAAGCCTCCCCAGGATAGACGTGTCCTCCCGCGTAGTTGTAGCACTGGGAGTTCTTCGCGCCATCCTCCGCTGCAGAAGTGATCTTGGTGATGAAGAGCAGCAACGTGCACAAGACACAGAAAAGATCTGCCCTTAGGTTTCGCTGCAACAAAAGCTCCATTGCGGCGTTGCTCCAGGTGCACGTAGTCACAACTCGCTGGCACAGTTTGAAGTGCTTCTTCCTTAGTTTTGTCTTCCTCTCTTTTCCGTTCATCGAGTATCTGAGTAGCCCTACTGCCATCTTCTGGACTTGACAAGCTATTCCAATTGCTATGTAAAAAGTTTCAATAGTCCTCAAACTGAATTTAAAATACACAACACACACACACACAAAGCAGCACGATCCACGCCAGTCAGATACCTTAAAGAGTCTTTTATTTCCACGTTACAGATAAAACAATAACTTTCATGGAGTCATTCTTTACAAAGGCTGTTTTCCCTTGGTGTAACAGTCATTTAACAACTTTTACTTTTTTTTTCCAATACAGGTCTATCCACACTTGAATTTTAAACTGGTCTTCCCTTGCTCAATAATTCACCTTTAGGGGTTAGGAAATTTGTAAATACAATCATTGATTGTATGTGTAATGTTGACAGGCATGACGTTCATGTACATGTGTAGTTCACCATATTTGATTTACTGTTTCATATCCAAGTTGAAGAGCTTGGCACAGTTATGTATGGAAAGTTTAATTACTTGGGCTTAGTGTGGTATACAGGGGGACAGTTAAACATAAGATACAGCTATGAATGAGCCAAAATAAATCCCTTTCCTTGTGTATTAATGACAAATGAGCAGAATTATCCCTGGGCATTTATGCAACAAGGAGTGTTTAAAAAAAAAACGGGAATTCAAACAAGAAATACTTAAATAGTCCAAAGCTGTTTGTCTGTTAGAAAACAAATGGCTGTGGAAAGATACCTGTGACCAAAACCATCAGCAATATATGTGTGTGTGTGTGTGTGTGTATATATATATATATATATATTTTTTTTAAATATATATATATATATATATTTTATAATATATATATATATATATATATATATATATATACATACACACACACACACACACTACTGAAAACTGATAATAGTTACAATACCAACAATAAAAACAAGTGCTAGATATTAACAGCCCTAAATCAATAAATTATTCGGAGAATAAAATTACTGTGTCAGACAATGCCGTGACTTTCAGGGGTGTTCCACTTGAGAAGCTCGATATACTATTACATGACTTGCTGATGGTTAAGTGCCGGGTAATAGGCACAAGACATTACAACAGTATATTTGTGCGGATGTACAGCTGGGAACTCATTACAAAGACTCAATAAAGGTAACATATAGAAACAAAAAACATTTTAGCTAACAGATTTGAGCTTGGACCAAGGGTTGGTACCGCGCACCTCAATAGCTGGGTTGTTGTGATAGATGTGATTGCACAGCTCTTCCAGTGGTGGTTCAGGATCTGTGGTAGCAAACTGTGAAGCATCTTCAATTTCTTTTCTAACTTCAACATCTATTTCCTGTGGACAAAAGACATAAAATATTTAAATTTATATAAATACAATAAACTAAATGTGTATTGTATGTATATGTACAAGCATTTATCAAAATATATGGAGACAAACAGTACCTTAAGCTCCTCTACACTGGCCATATTGTTGCTCAACATGCGATCTTTCAGCAGAGAAATAGGGTCACTCTTGCTGCGGACCTCCTGGATCTCCTCACGTGTACGATAACTGTAAGCAAGCCGTCAAAGTCAAAATCAAAATCAAAATCAATGTACCATTTCAATTTATAAAAAGGCTCCACCATAAAGCCAAATGATTACAATATTTCTGAACTTCTATTAGAATTGTGCTACAAAACTGGAATTTGATGTTTGAATGAAACTGTGGTGCTGAATATTGAATGCTGATTTACCTCACACCGGGATCACTCATGCTGTGTCCATGGTAGCGGTATGTCTGTAGTTCCATAAGGATAGGACCCTAGTAACAAGTAAACAGGACATTTAAAGTATGTGACTAACCATTTACTTTTACTCTGCTTCAGCAAAGAGCCTTACCTTTCCAGATCGACAATGATCAGCTGCAAACCGTGTTGCTTCACGAACACACAGTACATCCATACCATCAACCTTAAAGCACAATACAGTATTAATTTAGTCACCACACATTGAAATAATTTGTGATATGATATATTATGATATATTTTGTATGAGGTTGTCATTTAACACATTTTAAAATGCGATAGTATATTTCTTACCCTGAGACCAGGAATGAACTCTCCTCTCTTGAAGTAGTCTGTGCTGGCAGCTGCACGCTCTACTGAAGTTCCCATACCATATCTGTTGTTTTCACAGATAAAAATGACAGGAAGTTTCCAAAGAGCAGCCATGTTGTAGGTTTCAAAAATCTGACCCTATGAAAAGTTAAAAAAAAAAAAAAAGAAAGAAAGGAAACAAAACAACTATTCATGAGTTTCAGTTTCCTGGTTATAGGCAATATTCTGAGGACAACTGCTCATTCAGATCGTTTATCACCCTGAAACCCACAGAAAATAATTCCACACCTTTCATATCAAGTCATACCTGGTTAGCAGCTCCATCACCATAGAGGCAGACACAGAGCTCATTCTTGCCCTGATACTTGCAGGCCAAAGCCACTCCTGCTCCCAAAGGAACCTATATAAATAAAGAAATGTATGTCATTACTTGACATCAGATGTTTAACAGCAGCAGTACAATAGCTTTAATGCTGCCATGATTATCGTGTTTAAATAAATACCTGAGCACCAACGATTCCATTTCCTCCATAGAAATGTTTACAGTACATGTGCATAGAACCACCTTTTCCCTTTGCAATACCTCCTCTTCTTCCTGTAAACACAAAACATAAGGGCATAAATATTTATTAGGACAAATATGTTTTATCAACTTTTTTTTTTAAACAGACCAGTGAGCTCAGCCATGATCTCCTTCACAGTTCCCCCTCGAGTATAGGTGTAACCATGGGCCCGATATGCAGTAATCAGGTGGTCAGACAAATTAATGGCTGCTTCAATACCAACTGCACAGGCCTCCTACAAACAGATGTGAAATGTCATTTAATCATGGAAATGAGGCTTAGATCATATCATAGAGAGAATGAATGATCACATACCTGGCCATCATACAAGTGACAAAATCCTCTGATGATCTTCTGTTTATACAGCTGATCAGCCTTCAGCTCCATGCGCCTCATGGTCTGCATGATGCGGTAATACTGTAACCCCTCATCTCGAGTCATCACCACCTGAGTGGCAGGGGCCTCGTCCAACTTATGTGTGTCACACTTCTACTAACACATTTTACACTTAGATACCATGTCATTTTTACAGTGTACACAATATAAAAATAACATAACCTCACCTTAATCTCAAATGTTGCTTCAGTGGTGAAGTCAGCGTAAGTGCGGGCCGACATGACCGCTGCAGCGCCCTAGAATATGAAAAAGCAAGAAATGATGGAGGACTCCTAAAACCCTCTCCTGAAATATACGACTTAGAACAAAACCGAGAGTCAAAATATACTGTCATAAGGAAACAATAAGTGTCCTCTGGGAGAAAGTACACCAGATTTTTGCGTGGTGAAATTCGGTGGAATGCATAGAGATTCCATGTTGCTAAAGGTCACACAGTGTGTATTTAATGAGATTATTAAAATAATGAAATAAATTTACTTATGAAGACATTTATCTTAGCTGCGTTAGCTAAACATGCTATCATCGGCCTACCAAGGTCAGAAAACAGCAGGAGATTTTGGAAGAAACCTGGTCTTTTTTCTCCCATAACATAATGTAAAAGCTAAGATCATATTGTTTGTTCATAGCTCTGACTTACATTTCTTTGGACGCAGGCTCTGAGCACATTGGAGATATTGGTCAGCATCTTCAGTTTAAGCCTGCTCTCTCTCCCGTCCTTTTCTGACACCACCGCACACTTCCGGTTCAGCCTTTCTCTTCTAAACTTTTCACACCAACAAACCACCATCGCCACCTACTGGTAGCGCTTCGTTTATCACAAACAAAACAATCTTACACGTGGTCATTTCACATTGCACGCATGTACTTTCTGATCTTGGAGTGTGAATAAATCAGATATAATTGAGATTATTATATGAGATTATAAGCATTGTCTGTTTATCGTTAATAATAGTCCATTGTTTCTTTCATTTTGCTGTCAGTAAGATGGTTTTGGTAAACTGCTGCTGTCACGGCTTATATTGTACATTTTCTTAGTCTTTTAACATATAGCTGAGTCTATATTCATTTTAGCACGTCTCACGTCTCACACTGGTCACAATGGTTCACAGTGCGGAGAGGTCCATATTACGCAGTAACGCTCTGTATGCACGCACAGCACAGTGGGTCGGTCGGTGGTAGTGATTTAGTGCGCAGCATCCTCCGCACCAGCCCCAGCTCTGGTCCTCTCCTCTCCATTATCGGCATCGGCCGCTCTTATTGACCTTCGCAGCATCTGGCTCATTTGTGTCTGGTTGTCGTTTGTTTCTTTCCCTTGACGCTGCGTTAGCTTTCTGCTGTGTTTTGAAACGGATAACTGCACTGGCGTCACTGCAGATTGTTGGGGGGCAGCTCATGTCTACTACAATGGCGAAAACAACTGCATCATCTGCTAACCCAGGTAAACCATATGCCTAAATTGATTCTCTGATTTTGATTGATTCTCTTTGCATAGACCCATTTTTTGTAGACATTTTAAGCAAGCCGTGGAACTGCCACTATACATGCTTAACCAGAAGCATTTTGGTAATGACAGGATTTTGGAGACTGTTGTATAGCTCATTCACAAATTGGAAAGGGAAATGCTATTTGGTGATGATTAGGCTAAATTTCACCACAACCCAAACCTGAACCAAGTCTTTCTGAATAGTGGGACTGGAGTAGGGGCATAGTTATTTAAAATTGTCTCACACCCTGACTGAGAAGAATATTTATGTGAACTAATCATAAGCAATCAGGCTATCAGCACAGTGACAAATAGAGGACTCATTGTCTATATCCTACTAGTAGCCCAACAGCAGACGATATTATACTGAAATATAACAGGATTAGAGAAAGATTACATGAGTAGAAATAGCCAATTAATCTGACTCAGAACAGCTAATTTCAGTCAGTGAACAAAGTTGCCTATTCATACAGCATCAGCTAGAATTCCAGTCCAGAATTAGTCCACATCCTAGTCAAAACATGACCACTTGATTAAACAAAGCCACTTACTTGTTTTATAAGATGTTGCTCTCCGTTTTGTTCTGAAATTATTTTCACTATAGTGAAATTTTAAACATTTTAAAAGTGCGTATTATAAATTACACCACCTATTGGATATAAAAAATATATGTATTTGTTTGGTTAGAGGAGAAGATGGCACCACCCTCAGTCTCCCTTCTTGAAAAGAAATCTCCAACAAATGGTCACAGCTCTCCAGTCCGAACTGGCAAAACTAGTAAGTAACACCCTATTTCTCCCCTCTAGTCCAGAGCTACTGAATGTAATATGTTATTGTTATTTAATGTTGTTTGGTGCCTGTACCATAGAATGTCAGTATAGACAGTATGCTGCTCTCTCTCTTATTAAGGTCTGCACCCTGGTTGTTTCTATAGCACATAGCTTAACAGCAGTGTCCTTGGCTTCGGGCTTGTTGGCATTTTACACTGTGCTGTTTAGTAACACTGAGCAGATTGCGCAGACTTCCCATTCCCCTCTGCTGGTAACAAGTCAGCACTACACTGTGATGTCAGACAGTAACATATAGATGCTGAGTCTCCTCCATAACTCACTCTTCTGGTCCTTTGTAGCTTCATCAAACATTGAGAAGAAGCCACAAATAAATGGCCATGCATCTCCTTTACATGTTCAAGTGAACAGCAGCAACAAAGCAGGTAAGTAACTCAAAATGATAATTTAAATAAACTAGATGAAATCATCTTTCATCAATTTCTGTTGTTATCTGTGTTCAGTCCTAGAGGGTTACATGAAGACTGACGACAGGGTTCGTTTAGCCAAAGAAAGGCGTGAAGAAAGAGAGAGAAGTCTTGGTAAGCCATCAACTCATCATTCTGTTTAAGACATTTGACATTCTATACCCTAACCCTAACCCTAACCCTAACCCTAACGTATCTATTGTTCACTCAGTTATTTGCCCTGGGGCAGACAAATGGAGATATGCAGCCTTGTTGCTCTTACTGAGCACAGGTTCCACTGGAGCATTCAGTCTCACACTAAAACTATTTACATTCGTACAGAAAGGAAGGTAAAGTAAAGAACCAAATACAAAAGCTGCATGTACTACTGGTATCATGGACGGCTCAAATAGTCTTCTGGAGAATGAGAATCTGGCACTGGCATATTTTCTGCATTCATATCAAATGTATACCATACCTGCATTAGAATAGTTAGTTATTTGTGGTACATAAATACACCAGTATTTGCAGAATATATACATTTAAATATACTGTAAACAAATCTCAAAACTAAGGACAGTAAAGTTCTGTATTAGATTCTTTGTTTAAATTTTAGCTCTTGTTATCTGGTGTGATTATCCTCACATACACTGTCTCCACAATGATAATGTGTCACGACAGAGTTCACTGATTTATGTTTCGCTTCAGAGGATGTAAAGACAGAAGAGTTAGCAAAAGTAGGTCTCTTGTTCCCATAACGCTGCTCTACATTTGCCCAAAGATTTCACACTTTACTGGACTTAGAGTGGCACAAATGATTTACTTTTAATCCAGACCAGATTATAGGAGAAAACCGGGTCTAAATCAGAATTTTAACTTAAGCACTAAGCAAACATTTAAACCACAAATTACACAAATCTAGACAACCAAACCAGGTCTGAAGCAGATTTAATCCAAAAGCACATTTGTGGATGTGTTTAACTATGTCTCCAAACCAATGCAGAGTTTTCCTTCTGTGTTTCAGCGGCCCGAGAGCAGATGATTAAAGAGAAAGAGCGGCGTGCACAACTGCAATATGAGCGCACATTGGAGGAGCGCTGCCGGCGTCTGGAGGAACAGAGGCTGAGGGAGGAGCAGCGCCGGGTTGCAGTGGAGGAGAAGAGGAGGCAGCAGCTCGAGGAGGAAAGGGTCAGGCACTGCACAGAGTCTATGGGACTGAGGGCTTAACAGAGTAACCAGTATTATTCGGCATATAATTATGATCCTCCTGACAACATGAAGGATGGAAAACTAGTTGGTAGCCAGTTTCTTGTTCAGTGGTGACCGCAGATAAAATAAAAGGATCATCTAAATGTAAATCTAATGAACACAATCTAATGCATGAACATAAACAGTACCTTAAACAAAGCTGTATTTAATTTTTTAAAGTTTACATTATTTTCTTTGTTATTCGGTAAATGTTCTATTATGCCATCTAGTATAAATATATATATAAACGCATTATCAGTCCATCCATAATCTGTCTGCTCTTTACATAGCTGGGTCCAGACATGCCCACACATCTTCATAAAATCGTTATGTCAAAACACACAACTGAGTAATTAATGTTATAGTTAAATTTTACCCAAGACTTGTCATATCATTTATGAATGAAAGATTTGTATTGACCCCATTTGTTTGCTTTTTTTTCTTTTAAAATGATACCTGTAAGACAGAGCTGTATGTGTCCTTTAGGAGAGACTGGAGGCACGGATGAAGAGGTCTCTGGAGCGCAGTCGTCAGCTAGAGCAGAGGAGCCGACGATGGGGCAGAGGATACCCAGGCGCAGGTAGGCCTGGCTTTGCACACAAACAACCGGAATGCCTATAACATCAGAATGCAGTTTGCCACATCCCACATCTAACACAATGTGAGGGACTGTGTCTTTCCTTTGCCTTGATTATTTTGCATGGGCTGGAATAAAGTTCAAAGAAGGCAGCTACATACAATATAATCTATTGTATGAATATCTGTGTTCAGAACAGTGTAATATTGGTTTTAAGGTATAATATAAAATAATCCTATTATTAATATCAGAATAACCCTATTATTAACATAATATATAATTATTTAAGTAAACCAATTACAACTTAATAAATATATTTTTAAATGACAGCTCAATAAATATATTTATTTCACATAAAGGCTTTTCAAACCCTAACATAAACATTGCTTTGAATGACTTACCATCCAGCTCTATAGATCTGGATGTTGATGCCTTAGATAAACTATTGATAATGCTTTGTTTGCTCTGCTCCGCCCGCTGCCTTTAGGTGACTGTGAGAATGCCTCTCTCCCCTCCGCTGCCTCCGCCTTTCCCCTTGGCATTGCCTCCCCTATTCCTGCTGTCAGCGAATCTGGTAAAGTTCTGCCCCAGTATCCTGCCCACATGTATCTCTCCATTCTGTCTTTTGCTATTCATTTGCTTGTCTGTGGGTGAGTCTTTTTCTTTTTCTTTTTTTTTTTTTTTGCTGATAATTATGTCAAAAAATATTGTACTATTCTGAAATTGTTTACTTACATCCAAACACATTTCTAGCATGCTGCATAATAAATTCACCAAGCTTAATGTGTTTTGATGGCTGTGTCTCTCTGTTAAGTGGCTGTAAACATTCTTTTTTGGTGCATGTTAAGACCCCATTGCATTTTTGATTGAGCGTGTAGGCTAAGAAATGCAATCACTTTCCACTTGCGCAGCGCTTGAGAAGAAATCGCTTTAGATTTAATTTGCCTTTATAAATCACATATCTTTGCAGCGCCCTGTAGCCCGCACAGGTCCCCGTACCGCATGGATCACAGCAGAGTAGTTCTGCAAGGAGGCTCTCAGTCCACCCCAAACACCCCTAAGGTGAGTTCACATGACAACACACACACAGAAGAAATATTATTATTATCTAATTAAGTAAAATCTTTTGTTGAATTTGCAGAAACAACGCTTGCAGAAATATAGAAATGCTTCTCCAGGTTACTCTTCCCCTTTGAGAAGGTCTGAATCTCCAGCTGCAGTCAAAAACATAGCTTCTCCTACATCTAAGTAAGACAATATTGAATTAATGCATACTTATTATGTAGATATTATTATGTTTCTTTTTAAATATTTCAATACATTTTTCAGGGTTGTGTCACAGATGCGTACTCATTCACCCAACAACTTACAGCAAAACCAAAACTCTCCAGTCAGGCAAAATGCAAATATCTCAAAGGGGGTTAAGAAAGCAGAAGAAGTGAAAGAAAAACACACCAAACTCTCTAAAAGTGAAAGTCCTCAGAAGAGTGTCCAAGCTGAAAGAAGCAGCACTGATCCCAAAACTAAAGGTGTTCCTCCTCAGGGAATTAAAGTGAACATGACTGAAAAGTTCCACTCTCCTGAAAGAAGGAACAAAGGAGCTCAGCCAAATGTCCAGGAAGCAGACAAAAACAAAGGTGCAACTTTTATTATTATTATTTTTTACACTGAAAATTGTTTAATGACATAAAAAAAAAGGATAAAGATCAATTGAAAACAAGACACAGCTGTATTGATCAGTGGAGATATCCATTGTCATTGTTGACCATCATGGGCCATTTTCTAACTTAACTGCACACCATTAACCTGCTGTCACTTTGCCTCTGCTCATCGACTAGGATTAGGTTGTAACTATCTCTGGTCTGTATGGTATGTTTATTGTACAATGTCCCAGCCAAATAAAACATATAATAATATAATACATATAAAAGGAAAGGAAAATGTGTAGGTAATAAAAAAATTACAAGCATACAATTATTTAAGCAAAAATCTAAAATTAGTAAAAACAAGCAAATACAGTTATAAAGTTTTAAAAGCATCTCTCAACAGATACCGTCTCGAGCGCATTTTCTGGGAAGGTGGCTGCAGGAACAACCAATGAGGAGGAGGCCACAAGGCTGTTAGCTGAACGTAGGCGCCTGGCTCGAGCTCTAAAAGATCAGGAGGAAAAGAAGAGAGCACAGGAGCAGGAGGAGAAGAAGAGAGCACAGGAACAGGAGGAGAAGAAGAGAGCACAGGAACAGGAGAAGAATAGAGCACAGGAACAGGAGGAGAAGAAGAGAGCACAGGAAGAGCAAGAAAGGTGGGTTATTTTAAATGACTAAGTGTTTTGAGTTATGGACTATAAACTGTACTGCTCTGCTACATAGACTGAAAAAGGAACCAGTGAAGAAGCCAATCCCTCAACAGCAGGAAGCAAAAGTTGAGGTGCAAAAAGAGGAGATTAAAAAAGTAGAAAATCTGAAAAATGAAAGTGTGAATCAGACAAATGGGGAAAATGAGCAACTGATACAAAATGGGAAAGAGGTAAACATTTATATAGTATACAGTGCATTTTTGTGTCATTTAGTATATGATGATAGTTATTATGATGTTTTGTTTGATTTTCAACAAAGGAAAAGGCCAAAATGCTGACACCTGAAGAGGCTAGACGGCAACAACAAGAGCGAGATCTTCAGAAGCAACAGGAAGAGGAGGAGAGACAGCTCCGCAAAAAGGTTCATTACACTGGAAAACAGAACAATGGATGTAACTGAAATGTCAAGGTTTTAAATGAAAAAGTAATAAATCTTTCCTTTCTACAGAGGATTGAAGAAATAATGAAGCGAACACGAAAAGGGGAAGGGGACTTGAAGGTACCGTGAGAGATGTGAACTTGTACAGTTCTTCCTTGTTCTTTTTCCTCAATGCTTTTTGTAATATATATTTTTGAATCAGATATTTATTAAATGTACTTGCTTTGCTTTTTCTATTGATTCATTAAATCTGAGGATTGCTGATCCTGTAGCTTTTGTGTGACTGTTTTCATGTTTGGAGCAGGTGGAGGAGAGTGCCTGGGCAGACACAGGTCAGTGGGTCACTTGCTCTTGGTCTTGGTCTCTGCTACCGTCCCATGCTTTTTCCACTCTACTCTTTGCCTTTAAAACATATAATTCTCACTTTTGTTATTAAGCATGTAGCAGTTACTCCAGTCTTACTTTACTGCCTTATGGAAGGTTTTGAAAAATCATGGTCATAGCATTTCTTTGGGTTCCAGTCAAGTTGAGTTTCGTTTCATATTTTCTATTATTTGCTTTTCGATTGATTTTGCACTGAGACATATGCAGTGCCTGATTAAAAATATGTATCCTCTTGGTCTTTTTATATGTAGGCATAGTAGCATGTAAGTAACTGCACACAAAAACAATAGTGCATCTTCGACAAAGATTATATGATTTCTCCTCTTATATTTAGTGATTAAAATTGTATTTATTTCCAGTATACTGAACACCTGCATTAAAATGTATTTTGTAACATATTCTGATATATGGGCCAAACATGGGCCTATTTTTCTCATTGACTATTTGGCTTGTGCAGTTTTAAGACAAAATTAAATTATCAAACACTGTAATATATTCCTTTGATTTTTAGAAAAGTAACTGTATCCTGAATACCACCAAATGAGAGAGTAACTACCGAAATACAGTTACTTAAAATTGATATCCAGAATACGTTTTCTCGATATTGTCTCACTTCCCAACACTGATTATAGTGGCTAGTTTGATTCTATATATGCAAAGATATGTAATAATAATGACAGTGAGATTGTATTAGATTTATATATATTATATTATTATTATTATTATTATTTGTTCTGAGGAAAAGCCAAGAGGATAAAGGGTTAGATCTCATTATAGAACTGGTTGTACTTCTTCCCTGCCCCGCGCATGTGCTATGGTGCTACATGCCTGGATATGGTGCAGTGTCCATAGATCTGCTGCGTTTGGACACGATTTACTATAGGGAGCTGTGCACTGGGAACTGAAGTAAAATTAGCTGCTCTTGAAAATGCCCTTGGAAGAATCTATTGAGTCTGCCTCTAGGGACCAGCTCTGCAGCATGATCCTGTCCCGCCTGCTGTTAATGCAAAACTCTATGGCCTTGAATGGGTGTTAAAGATGGTCAGGGCGAGTAAAGTGTGGCCATTTGTGTTGTTTTATTTTCTACAGGGGAAATACCAGTCAGTGTTGATGGCAAAGAGATGGCGCAAACAGACCAAAAAGTTGAGGTGCAAACTAAAAGTGAAAACAAAACAGTTGTTAACATTTCAGTGAAGCAAGAAGCACTGAACACTGATCCAAAGGAAAACCCCAAAAGAGAGACTATCCAAAAAGTGGATATTCAAAAGCCAGAAGAGACCCAGAAATCCAATGACAACAAGAACTGTACCCCGAAGAACGACGTGGATCAATGCAAGCAGAGCAATGCAAACATTAAAATGGCAAACCAAATAAACAAGGCAGTTAAAAGGGAAAGCACTGGGGAGTTGGTGAAGAGAGTGGTGAAAAGTGAGACTAATTATGTGACCACAGAGGTTAGCAGACAGCAAAGTCTTCATGTGTCAAAGGCTGATGTCACCGGGGTGACCCAGAATCAAGTAACTAAACCGTCAGTGACCCCCCTTCCTTTGGGACAGCTCACTCCCCCAGTCATCAAACTCGCACCTCTGGATGTATCCGCTGCAAGTTCTGGAGATGAGGTGCAATCAATGGAAGTCAGGTAAGTCGATGTATAGGCCCAAAATTAAAGGTGCACTATGAAACTTTATGGTGGAGAGTCTGTTTCCTTAGAGTTGTTACTACTTTCCTTGAAATGTTCCACAATATGACATAAAACTTGGTGACTTCATTGGAACAAGGAAGTGACACCTCCAGACCAAGTTTCGGATTTATTTTAATTTATTTATTAATTAATTTAATTATTAATTTTATTTATTTATTTTGTGGGGAGGGATGGGGTTTTGTTTTTGTTTTCTCTATCTTGTTTGTTTTTTGTTTTGTTAAATGTTAAAATCTAATTTTAAAACAGTACACATTTTTCTGTGTATTTTAGCAGTGTTTGAAAGAAATGCAAGGTAGACAAGTTTTATGCTATTCTGTGTAAAGTTTCAGGCAAGGCAATGACATTTCTATGGAGACATGCAGATGACAGTCTCTCCACTAGAAAGTGCATCTTTAACTATAGCCCACAGACATAGAATTCAAAAGTATTGTATTGTGTTTCAGCCCAGTGTCAAAGGAAGAACTCATCTCAATCCCAGAGTTTTCTCCAGTAATTGATGGTCCAAACAGCGGCTTGAGTAACAGCAAGGCCCTTGAAGACTTGATGGATCTAACAGGAAGTGTGAACCCACGTCTCTCCCCTCAGAACCATATTGGGGACTGTAACCAAAATCTTATCCAAGGCGTGGTCAGCCCAATATCAGATTCAAAACTGATCAGGAAGTCACCTCCATCCCCAAATAAACTCACTGTTAAATAACTGACATGCTTGCGTTCCCACTATGTGCAAGCGATTCACCTATAAACATTTGGACTCTTTGCTGCTTTCTTCTTAGGAGTTGAGCCATACTGGTTGGTGTTGAAATATCAACTGTATCTTTAAGAAAAGAATATCTTAACACTTAACTAAAAACATTAGTTCAAACATTAAAAATAGTCAGGGAAAGGACAGACTATATATCCCCTTTTTAGGAACACTTAGAATTGCCCTAAAATGCTTTCAATACAAAGAGTGAAATATGCCTGGCTGTGTTATTCACACAGCTTTATTATAAAAGCACTTAAGAAGTCATAGTTGCCTTTCAACCAAATGTATGTGCATGTATTAATAAAATGCTGTATAGTATTCGTGATAAATGTGCATGCGAGACTCCAGCTTGGATGAAAGACGTTGTGGGAGTAATGGTGGAAGTTGTTGGTTTTATTTTAAATCAGTGGACATAATCTCATGGCACAGTAAATGCTGAGCAACAACAAATACTGGTGTAACTAACATGATAAACAGCTTTTTTATTTATTTGAATAAGTGTGTTTCAGACAAGCAGGAACAATACATCTTGTGTATAGCCTATTTGATGCTCATCTAACTGGACTGTATGAAAAGAGTGGAGATTCTAAAGAGTGTAGTGGTGTAGCCATGTTTATGTTTGGTTTAGGTCACCCAGGACCCTCAGAACCCTCAGTATGTCATGACAGCCTTTTGTGCATGTTCACTACAATCACAATTACCTGAATGAATAAAATGTACAATTATATAGTTTTGTTTGGCTTTTTTTAACAGTTGTCTTATAAGCTTTGGTGCATTTATTATACTGTAGTAAGGACTCGATCACACACATGTTGGGGTTTCAGCCTTTTTGGGGACATTACATTTGATTTACATTAATAGAAATGGATCATAACCATAACTTTAGTCACTACACGCCTAACCTTAACCTAAACCTAAGGTAACCTTTAACTATTTTAACCAGTATCAACAATGGTTGTGGTTTCATGCACTCTCAAAATGATCAGTTGTTGTTTTTTAAGTTATCATATCATTAAAATGACACGAAAATAGTAGTATCGTCTGATTTCGTCCTAATCTTTGTCCTTCTGATTACTCATATCAGTGTCTGTTTTTTTTTTTCAAGTCATTTAAATAATCTTAAAGGTCCAGAAATCACACATTTTGGTGTGTATGTAACCGCAGCCACCATCTAATAGTAAATAGTGAAGAATTTATGACGCAGTTTATACTCCAGGCCGACAGGGGCGCGGTTTTCTGTAAGTGTTGGTATGTCGTGATTGCAGAGTACAGTTGCAGAGGTGTTCGACCATTCGGCAGAGCAGCAGCTGAAAGTTGGTCGTGTTGCACGTCTTTCGACAGACTTCGTTTTGGTGAGTTTTATTCTTAAATAGTTTCATAATAGCCCACTGCCACTGTGTGATCCGCAATTCAAGGCTCTATTATGCATCTGTGAGCTGAGATAGTGTTATTTTAGGATGTTAGTATCGGCTGAATGCAGTGTTAGGCCCGCCCTGTAAAATGGAGGTGCGGCCCAGTTATTAAAGATTAGGTCAGCTTTAATATGTGTCTCCTGAATACAGGCACGTATTTATCTAGTATTAAAGCTATCACACGTTGTCTTTGCTCCAAAAAAAAAAAAAAAAACAACAAAAAAACAAGCCGTTGACCGTCGCTTTCCAAAAATAGAACCGTGAGCTGCCCAAATGCGTCACAGCGCCGGGCCTTTCTCTGGGGTTATAGCGTTTGCAGCAAGATGTGTTTCATGGAAAAAACAGGGCCAATAAAAATGCTGCAGACCGATGATATTATGTACCAAGTGGCCTTGGATCGCTGAAACATTTGTTCTATTGTCACCCATCTTTGAACCTTTAGTCTTAGACTGTTGATAACGTGTGGATAAGCATCGATTGTCTATTTTTTCTCAAGTGTACAGCAAAAGTGTCATTAGCAATCACTCAAGTCCGCGTTGACCCATTTTGATATCTAATTCGATGTTTCTCTATTTTTAGCGACTCTGCACATTTTACTTTCAAAGATGGTACGTCCACATTTTGGGCCACCTCGCCTAAAGCCCAGGTAATGTTTATAAGTACATTTATGCCATTATACCATACTAATTTACTTAACGAAAATTGATTTATTGCTGTGTTTAGACCCTACAGAGACGATGGCATGGGATCATCAAGTGACAGTAATTACAGGTCAAGAAGAGATGACCATGATTTTCATGGAAAGCCCCCTCCTCTTCACTGGAAAGACTCCCGAGGTAGAGGGCGGCCCCAGATGGTAAAAAGGGTCTCGTCAGTAGGAGAGCCCCGAGAGCCACGTTTCAACAACTGGAGGTCTACAAATGAGGATTCTTATCACTCTTACCCCTCCAAAACGGAACCACATCACCAGAGGAGACCCTCTCCCTCCAGGCCAAACCGGTCGCCCCACAACCAGCATCACCCCCGCAGTCCAGCACACAGAGGCCCACCTTTCCACAGTCACCCACCCCCTGGTCACAGGTCACCGTCACCCAGGCATTTTCACAGCCATCCAGAAGACAGAAGGCCTGGCCCTCCCCCGCCGTTCAGGGGCTCGTTCAGAGGAAAGCGGCACCCAGGGTTTTCTCACCCAGAGCAGAGGAGTCGAGAACCTCCTATGAACTACAGTCCAAGAGACAGACCATATGAGCCCTCACACATGAGGCGCTGGAATGGTGCAGGAGCGTTTTCTCATAATGACAAGGGTCCCAGAGAGTTTCATGGCCGTGGTCCAGAGAGGTACACAAGTGATGCTGGGGCTTCAGCGGGGTAACAGTACTAAGTGGGCCCTCCAGTCTTGATTCTTTATAAAAAAAAATGTGTTCCCTATCTCCACTCATTATATTAAAGGGTTAATGGGAGGATCTTTGCAATAGTGGCAAATCTATGCTCCTCAAAATGTATGTGTGCTAAAGCATTGTGTCATAACATAATAAGAGGGTGGATTAACATAATGGTTAATTTTCCGGTTCCCAATAACATGGCAACGGAGCTACCAATGTAACCATGTCTGTGTTTGATGGATATGCAGGTGGGCTGAGCAAGACCCCGGGCGGCAGCGTGGACCAATGGAGAGGCAGCACAGCAGATCCCACAGTAGAGAGCGAGCACAAGACACTCATTCTCACCCACCTCCATTCAGACCCCCATCATGGAAAGGATCATCACCTCATTCACCCCCTCACGAGAGGCATATGCCAGTGCCACGCAAGAGGAGGATATCTGATGTCCACCCACACCCTTCAGACCATGCCATGGGTCATGATGACGCAAAACATCCCAGAAGAGAGAGGCCACAGCTCATGAACATGCCCAGACCTCTGGCTCCCAGGCCCTTTGGCCCCAGACCTTTTGGTCCAAGGCCTTTTGGAACAAGGCCATTTGGTCCCAGACCATTTGGGGCAAGGCCCTTTGGTCGGCCTTTGTCTCTAAGAGACAGAAGTTTCCTGATCAAGAGCAGACAAATGAGAGCGGAGTCTCTGATGAAGCTACGATTACCTCCATCGTTCAAAGCCAGAGCCAGCTTTAGCTCGGTCCTTGCTTTGAGAAAGAAGAGATTTGAATCCGGAGCAGCACCCTTGAGAAAACCAGAGCAGAGGGAGACGAGACCCAAACAGTCACCCACCAAGACTGAAGGCAATGCAAGCCAGTCCTCAGACTCAAAAGAACAGGTGGAGTCTCGCCGGTCCGTGAACTCGCACAGGTACAGTATTTCCCTATTCGCTCTGTCCACTGGGGCTTGATGATGGTTGAAAAAAAGAATGGAGATATTTGAGCTGTGTGTGCCACGATGAATCAGTCTGTGAAAGTACCTCTTATCATCGTGTTATCCATATTTGAATATTGAAGTGGAATGAGCAGACGTTAAGTTTGTGCAAAATGTTTGTAAAGAACACCAGAATTTAATGCCATTTTATGGACGGTGAGATGCAGTGCTTGGAGGAATACATTTATTCAGTGCTGCAGAAGAGGTAATATCTGTTGACATGAACTCCGTGAACAACAACGGGAAACAAAACGCACAATTTCTGGGTAAAGATGAACTTCATCATGAGCCTCTCTACTCAAATAAAACAAACTAAACAAAAGCTTATACTGCATATCAACATGAACTACACGTTACCGTGGGAACTGGCTACGAATGATAATGACTGAAAACCATATTAAATAATGAAGAAACCAGGCAAATATGGCACAGAAGAAAGACGGTTCACATACATTTATTTGATCATACTAACATTCAAAAAGATTTAAAAATTTTAGAAGCTGTGTAATTTGTCCATGTATTCAGTTAAACAACCATTTGAAAAGTATGCTTCTTTAAACGGTTGCACCGGCAATGTGTTCAATATAGAGGAAATTTGAAATGTGCTTTGGATAGCCCTGAGAAAGTGAAAGATGCACCATGTCCTGTATTGTTAAAGATGCTGCACACAGAACAAAACTAAGGCCAACATGGATGTTTGCTGGAGCATACAGAGGAGGAACCTGAAGGATGTGTTCCTTTAGCACAGAATCATGCCTGTGACCAATGGAAACCATTTAGGAGCCATATCTGTGCAACATGTTGGGGTGTGTTTTGAGGATTACGTAAGAAGAATATAAACCATAACACATTATGTTACAAAGGACTCAAAATACTAGATATATTTTTTTATCCCTTAAATGAGTTTTACATTGGGAGACAAACAAAATGATAATTTCATAAACAAGGCTGTGCGCTTTTGTAGATATGTGAAAATGGTGGCTATCTTGATATTCAGAGAAATCTAGTCCAGGCTAAAACCCTATGACCAGAGTTAAAGGTATGATGCTCTCATCTGGACTGCACAAGAAATGTCTCCACATGAACACAACACAAATCACTACCATTGTAAATGAAAAGGTCCAAAACTCATCTGCACATGGTGCTCTGTTTTTAAAATGCATCTCTTCCATGATGAATGTGAAGCTGAAGATGTTTTTGTCTGCATGGCCTGAAATCTGCATTCACAAGAAGGATTTGAAGAAGAGAAAATGAAATGCCATCATGTCAATCATTCACCACCACAACACACAACAAGTGTGGCATCATGGAGAAAACTGGTTTAAAGAAAGATTTGAAGATTTGTGGCAACATCTAGATGTGTCTTCATGTAATGATATATGCCGCTGAAGAATTACTTCTCCTATAACAAAATGTAACCGAAGAAAGCTCAGGGTCAAAATAGGATAAGGAGCAAGGACACTCCATGGTTTTGTAAGTACCCAAGTATGATGTCTTTATGCCTTCATTCTTGAAGAGTTGATGGGTGTTTTGTTACTTGATATGTTTTCTAAATTACTGTAAAACAAGAAAAACATCTTTTATCTTAAAAAAAAAAAAAAAAAAGGTTTCAAAGGTCAATCTTCTATCAGGATCTCCTTAACACTGGCATCATTGTTCTCCCTTCAGGTCATCGCCACCAAAGAAAGATGACCTTGTTGTTTTATCCCATTGGGAATCAGGAGCAGGTTCTTCTTCAAAGGACCACTCTCCTTCACGGGACCATAACCCCAAAACTGGTCAGTAAAAATATTGCAACTAGTCAGGTGAAAAACTCATTCTAATTTCAGTGCTTGTGAATTCCTTCTGTTGTAGAAAGACATTCAGGACCTGAAAGTACATCAACCAGCCGAAACGACAAACCACATTTTACAAGGTCATTTGAAGACCGTAACCGGGGCTATTCTGACTGTAGGCCGGACAAACCAGATGGATTCTTCAGAAGGCCTTTTCCTGCTGGACCAAGAAGACCTGGCCCACCAATGGTATATTTTACTGCTTCTTTGTTTTAATTGAAGTACTTGTTTAGGGACAATCATTTTGTGAGAATTCAACCGTGTTTTTTTTTTTTTTTTTTTAAATCCTTCAAGGACCGTTTTCAGAGACCAGCATTTAGAAAAAGTCTTAGTATTGTGTCCAAATATCGTAACATGAGAGTGATGCGTCAGCGTGGATCGTACAGTCGAGGTCCTGATCAGCGATGGTGAAGCCCTTGTGGGTAAGTACACAGTTAAAAAAGTTGTACATGATTTTTGCTTTCCTTATTTTGACATTGTGGATGTTTTTATCTTTTTTAGGCCCCATTAAACAAAAAAAATGACCTCTGCTGCTGTGAGCACCTTTTTCTACATTTCCTACCTGTATATAGCAGACAAGTGCTTATGTGTTTAAGTTGATCTTTTTAAAATGGCTAAGCCCTTGTTTTGACACCAAGAACTGTGCCCCTTTCCTTCACACTGCCCACTTTTAATTGATGTTTCACTAATCCTTGATTTACTAAACGTGAAGATGTCATGGGTATTTAGTGTTTAGCAATGTGTTTTTATTTGTTTGTTTAGCAGCTACAATCAAGTATCTGTCATGATTATTTTTTAACACTTAGGGCTGAGATTTGGTCATGGATGGTACAATGTATGTAAAAACAAATCTCATTATTTTGGTGTCTTTTTGATGAAACTGGAATTATTGTCTGTTTGAATAAACAGTTGTGAAGAAGTGGTTCCTTGTAAGATAATTAGTCTATTTTAAAACATATTTGTCAATCTCTTCATCATATTTATGTTCATTGTGTCAACATAAGTATTATTAATTTATTAGATTAATTTCTTAATAGGCCTATAATGAACTATAAACACAATAAGTGCCCTAGATAACACCATACTGGAGTGGCATGGCTAATGGTAGTCATTTTAAAGATGCACTATGGAACTTTTCGAGGATCTGCTACCTGCCTGTTTCTGTTGAGTCAATTAAATGTGTTTTGTTGCTATAAATTCTAGGTAAAGCAAAACTATCTACATGGAGTCAAGCAGGTAGCGGACTCTTCATCAGAAAAGTTCCGTAGTACACCTTTAAGTTTGGCATTTGAAACAAAACTGTCGCCCTTCACCCTGCTCAGACATTTGCTCGGAGGCACGGCTCTGGATGTGCTAAACTTAGCGGTGACACTCTTCGACACAGCGACAGTCGACTCTACAGTGAGCTACAATGGAAGGTGTCGAGTTTCCTCACACGGGACAGTTTCTCCACGGGAAAGCTGCAAAAACAAGGTGAGAGCCTCATCCTCAGCTCGCTGTAATCTGTTAATTGGTTTACTGAGCACTAGAGCCTGTCTGTGTCTATGTCAGTGTGTATTGGGGGACTGTAAACAAAGTAGCCCACACATTTGTTTTCTGCAACTGTCAGATACAAACAGCTGTCTTGGAAATGGCAACTAAACTTAGCTTCTTATAATCCTTAAGATTCAATTCAGTGTTCTCCATAGAAAAACAGGCCCACTGAGAGAACAGATTTATACTTTGCTGTTGTCATTTGTCTCATAGATGTAGTTTTGTTATAGCAGCGTCTACCCTTCTTGTAGTCTTCTCCTCTGTGTGTCTTTGATGGGCAACTATAGCTCAGTCCTCATTCCGGGTAAGCCTCATAACTATAACCTTTTAAGTGAAAAAACGAAACAAAAGAAAAAACATGAAAACACTGGAGAGCAAAAAACTGAACTGTTTATTTTATTTTAAAGATACTGAAGAATTTGAGTCTATTGTGGCTCTAGTGACAGAAAAACCAAATGAGCCCAGCCGTTTACTGTCCGAGCTTCAGACTCTGGGAAGTATTCCACTCATAGCTGTATATACTGTACATTTTATCATCATTAAAATGACTCAACATGTGTAACAGTGTTTACCTCCACTTAAACATTGTGTCATTTATTCATTCATTCTACAGTAACACGTGGGAGTTTTGTTTTGGCCTGTGTGTCCTTGGGATGATTTTAACTTCCTTTGGCTGACTCAGATGACCACTCATTGAAACACTAGATAACTTGGCTCTGACCTTCTACTAAACTTTCAGTATGATGAATTTAAATTTAATTCAGTGATCAGATATCTTGAAATCTTGTCTTACAGGTGAATATGGAATCAGGGAGAGGAAATGACCAATGTGTTGATGAAGATTCAAGTAAAGAAAAGTCTGACACTGTAAGTCAAACTGCACAATAGGCAGTTACTAGTTATTATCTCGGCTTGTATGGTTCAATAAATAGTAACTGGATACTTACACTACACTAATACTTTATGTTGAGTTGCATTTAAATTATACTGTAAATACACCTCATTGGATTAAAACCAGCTTTATGTTTGTTTCACTGTTTGATTTTAGAAAAATAACTACCAAAATGAAACATGGAATGAAAAAGTAACAGTACCTGAATACATTTATTCAAAGTGAGTTTTCTGAATATGTATTCTTAGTACGTGTATTCACTTACTTCCCAACACTGACTGTGACAGACCTACTGCACAACAAGTATAACTTTTTATCTGCAATAAACTTTCTTTTTATTTTCTAGTCTATATCAGCAACATCAAAAGGAGAGCCTCCAGCTTCCAGTTTGGGTGATTCCCTCTCCTCTCTGCTTCCCAAAGCCTTGTCCGCTGTTCTCCATCAGACAGTTCCCCCTGGACAAAGCAGGAGCCATCCCACCAGTGAGAACTCAACAGCAAACTCCTCACAACCGCCGAACCTGGAGCAGCTGCAGACTGAGCTGACAGTCCTGAGGGGGCAGTTTGAGCAGATGAAGGCCCAACACAAGTGAGTCAAAATAAACTAACACATACACTGTATATATTGTCTGTACTTACAAGTTATAACTATCAACTGTGCATGCATGGTGGCAGAGTGGTTAACTTACAATATTGGAATCATCTTCCATTTTTCTGTAAATTACCCAGAATAAACAAATGACAATGCTGTGACATTTAAGTTACACAGTACATTTAAATTAATGTAATGTTGACTTTTTTGACTTTTTTTTGCTTTCCCTTCCTATGCGCAACAGTATGACTTTAAAGTAGGACTAATCTATTTTGTAGGGATTCATGGTGTTTTATTGCTAAACAAATGCCTGATTAAACAGGCTTAGATGTGACCTGCAACTTGGCTTGTTGGCATCCCATATTTTTAAGCTTATACACTTATATGAACATAGACCAAACATTAAATTATTTGTTAATGAGATGAAATGATTTTGATGCAGTTTTTTTCTTTCTTCAGTAAAGAAATAAAGCAGTTAATGAACGAACTGGACGAGGAGAAGAAAATACGCTTGACTCTGCAGGTAGACTGTGCAAGGATACATACAAATTTGGCCTACGGTGTATTGTCTAAGTTAACTGCAGTAACCTTTTTTATAGATGGAGATCAAACGCATAAAGAAGCACATGCCTAAATAAGGCAGGAAACAATTGATGAATTTGTATAATTTTTCAGCATGATTTTGTTTCAGTTTTAAATATTCTTTTTTAGTTTTATCTTAAAAAAATGTTAAACCTTTTACATGGTATTTTAGACAACTAAATGTCTTGCTATCTGTTGCTGCTGTGTACATTTTTATTGATCATTATAGGCAAGATTAATGTAGAGACAGCATACATTTTTATCAGCATCTGTGTGTAGTGTCAAAAAATTGTTATTTAAGTTATTTTGTTGAATTATTAACAAACAAAATGTATTACAGGCATTGTTTATTTTTTTGGCAACAATAATGATACATCCACAAATAATACTTAATTCTTACAAATACAAACAAATACTTTAAAAATACTCTATAAAAATATATTATCTTAAATGTACATGGCATCACATTTTAATGATAAGATACTATATACTGTATGATTGGATTGTCCTGCAGTCCAATTACATTTCCTGGTTCAGACACTAAAGCCCTCCGACTGGCACACATAACCTGGAAGGCGCAGTCCTTAGAAGTTGGTATCCTCACATGGAATAGGTCTGAGTGTTTTCTTTTGGTTTTCTTCAAGAATAAAATCATATCGACACAGAGGCCTGGGAAGAGAAAAAGATGACTTCAATATTTTCAAAAAGACAAAAGTTATTTCTTTAATTTTGGTGTACCTGTCTTTGGTCTCCACGGGTGTCAGTCGTAGTGTCAGGACACGGAGTTTATAAAGGGGCTGCAAGACATTTCCAGTGGTGAAGGTGAGAGAGATCTTGTCCACCGGACCCTCAATGTATGAATCAAAATGGGCCAACATCTGAGTCTTTGTGAACTTCTTGAACTTTGTTGCTCCACTGAAACATGAAAATAAAGTTGTTAAATGTACTGAATGCAGCATTTTCTTTATAAGTTAAGTTTTTTTTCCCAAATAGTCTTCCTGTTTGTTTGGATAATCTGTAATTTTTAAATTTGTTCTGCTGCCTTTTTATAGTTTGAGTAATAAGCTTGATGGCATTCCAAAGACAAGTCCTCTTAATTTATCCAGATGAGGTTTACAGAGGCTTGTGTGTGCAATTTATTATGTTTTACAGTGAAAAGGCAGAACCAACTTACTGATCAGTGGTGGCCACTGATTCTTTGCTTCCACTGTGAAGTTTAATGGTGATATATCCAAAACGTACTTCCTGGTTCCATGTCACTATATCAACTGTGTAGGCTGTCACTGAGAAAGAACATTTAAATAAAATTAGAATAGAAATAGACATTCTTAAAATACAGTGTAAATGAACATAATTTGTACTCACTGCAGAAGGGAGATTTTGGATTTGTTTTAAAGTAAGTTTTAATTTGGCTCAGCTTCACAATGATATCCTTTCTCTCAATAACATCATAACCTGTATTGATCATAATGTTTTACTTATGTTATAGAAAAGTAAAATGAATACACCTAATGTCATAGAGTACATAGAGAATCAACAAACCAAATATGGGGCATCCAGCAGGCCCAAACTGCTCACAGTTCAAGCATTTGCCATCCAGAAAGTCTTTGTAAGAACTGCACGGGTATGTCCTAATCTTACAGTTTGGCTTTATAGACTCCATATAGAGAAACACTGACCTCTGATGGTCACATTTGAAATAGGCACCTCCTAATGAAGGAAACAGAAAAGAATACATTTATATAAAACATGCTGTATATTTAGAAAATGTATAAAATTAAAGTGTTTGTGTGCATACATACCCGAAAAGATGGTGGTTGGACAGCCAGGCTGGTCTGTGCCATCATTAGGGTAAAAGTCTATATGACCTAAAGGTTGTCTGAAGCCCAGGGCTGAAAACACAAAGACAACATGTTAAAATACTGTATTGTATTATACATTGCGATATGAATAAAAAACTGTACAATGGAGACTGACCATCGATGTCAGTGTGCAGGACATCTACAAACTGAGCGTCAGTGGGATCCAGCCTGTTTTCTGGAGAGCTGCCTGTGAAGAGGGGCCCTGCAGGGTCCAGTGCTGCCAACAAAAACAGTGATCATTCAGTATTCTTTATTATGATTATTTTATCATAATAATATCATGTTTCCATCATACCTGTTATTCTACCAATTGAACTATTAAAGTTGGCTCCAACAAAACCTGCAATATGTGCTCCTAGACTGATTCCAATGATGTGAATAGAGTCGAGAGAAACACCATAATTCTGAAAGTATAAACCACAATGAGGCAAAAGCATGTTATTATTATGTGACGACAAATGTTTGCACAACTTTACCTTCATGACTTTGATCAGAGCTGTGAGGTTTTCTCCAGCTTTCAGCGTGTTTTCTTTTGCTTTGACATAATTGACATTGGCTGCTCCTCTGTTCCAGTCCACCACAATGAGGTTCATGTCTTTTCTTTCCAGTAGCAGCTGAGTGAATTCGTTGATCCAAATAGGAGGAGAGCCGGTGGGACGGTACCCATGGATGATGAAGGTGGTCGGACGAGATACATTGAAACTAGGCGTAGCCGACAGGTCTGTGTGGGACAGCTGAAGAGCACATGAACGATTTTCTCTGGTGTAGAGGAGCAGCTTTACTCTGAGATGTGTTCCAATGAAGGCATGTTTTAAGTCTAAGTCAGTAAACTCCTCACACTTCTGCGCTGTGGAAATAAAATAAAATAATTATGTTGACTCTATAACATAATTACAATCTAGTTCAGAGGTGAAATCTGCACTATTAATTCAGCCACAAAATTGTCACTGTAACTACAAAGCATTCCCTCATTAAGGATTTAAAGGCAGACATCTTTGACAATAAATATATATAAATGCAAATTACGCCTTACATTTCACTTTTACTATTGTAATAAAAGCAGAACATCATGTTGAATTTTGCTACAAAAAACATAAATAAAAAAAATAAAAAATGCTATTATTGATTCCATGATTTCTTCATGAGAACTCCAGTGTTTCTTAATGTCACTCAGACAATTTCATGAGAATTTTCACTTCTGCAAATGCATCTTTCCAGAAACACAAAAGTTTACTGTCAAACGCTTAGTGCATGAAACCATGGTAAACTGAAACTGTGTTTAAGTCTGCGGGTGCCGTGCCTTACCTTTGCATATTTGAAGAGTTATCAGCAGCACAGGTGTCAAATATTGCCACAGGAACATGCTTCACCAACACAGAGAGAAATTTCTCTACAAATACAACACGTACAATGTAAAAGTTTACAGTACCAAATGTCAATGATGGCTACAATGGTGCAAACAGTGTTCCCTAAGGTCAATCAATAAATAATAGGTTACACTGTAGTTGTTTCATTTTGTATTATGCCACAACCCTGGTCAAGCCTTTAACAAATATGTGCTTTATACGTGCCAACTGGCTGATAAAATTGCTTTAATAAGATAAGCTAAACAATAAAAAGATGTAGGCTAAAAGACAGAAGTAATTCCAGTTTAACCTGCTATATTCAACTGTATATATATATTACTAATAATATAAAACCCATTTGTTATATGGGAGCAAGTAACACACCTGCTCCCCTTTTGTATCTTTTACTTAAGTTGTAAAGAAATTTTAAATAATGACTAAATTATATCTGATATTAATACAATATACACGAGAATCAAAACAAGACATAACTCTTGTATCTTTTGACAAATCACAACTAAACAATTCCAAATGATGTCTTTTTAGCTTTTAAAAAAATCTACATTACTGCCCTTTTTCTGTTGTTTCTTTTATTTCTCAAAGCAAAACTGAACTGTAAAAGTCTTAACCTTTGCTCCTTGCTCAGCCTTGAGTTTCTATTGCCACCGGAGCCCTATGTAACCCACTCCCAGCCCTCGGATGAGACTAGACAACGTCAACAACAACAACAACAACAATGTGGAACATTTCTCTTACCAGTGTTTCCTGGCTGCTCACCGTGTAAGTCAGAGCTGAGTGTGTAGTGTCTTCATATTTTGCCAGCAGTTCTTTCTTGAGGAGAGAGAAAGAAGTCTGATGTAGTATTCCCGCCCTGCATGTCCTCACAGAGAAGGCCCCACCCCTTTGTCAAAGTGCTCTCACAGGTGATCTCAGCCAAGTGATATTGCCTCAAACCGGTCAGGCCACTGCAGAGCATGTTGGTGCGTTTCTCTGGTATGACTGAAAATCACAGCGAAAGTAACAGATTAATGTAATTTGCATAATCACAAAGTGTACACTGGTTAAACAATAATCAGATTCAAACAATATTAACCTTGTGCCAGTAGTTGTAGCAATGAAATAATAAAACAAAAAAGCACAATGTGATAGAATCTAAGTACAGATAGTTTCTGTGGGTGTTGACATGATTTGTAATCGTAAATCATTGCCAAAAAATAGAAACGTGATTTAAAGGTGTGTGAAAAGGCTCTCCTACCATAAGATATATGGATAAGATCTAAATAGATGAGAAAAAGTTAAGTTAAAAAATAGTTTAGATACTGAAAAATGATTCTGTAATTACCACAGTAATAATTATAATTAAAAAACAAAAAAAAACAAAAAAAACAATAGACTTTAATTTTCAGCACAAAATGATAGGATTTCCTTTAGAACATGAAACAATGTATTCTCATGATATTTCTGATAAAGCTCCAGAAGTTTTTAAAACTGTTCAGGAAAGGTCAAACTTTGTCCTATTTATTGATTTGCTTTAGTTCTAGTTTCAATTCTGGTTTTAGTATCAGTTAGTATCTGATTTTTAATGCTCCTGACAACCTTATTTCACGGTGTAATAATTTGGTGGAAATCTGTGTCTCTGTGTAAAAAAGTCTCATTAAAATCTTGGGTCACAAGTCTGTCCCAAGCATCAGAAACTGTGGGTTTGTGTTTTAATGTCAGATAGTCATTTTACAATGAGCAAAATTACATAGAAAACAAAACTGGGCGATTTGTTGTTGTGAAGGGAGAAGCCAGCTATTTAATATATTGCGTCACAAGAGCAAGGCCTCAAGGTGCAGTTTCATTCATTGACCAAACAGGCCTGTTTTAAAAATAGTAAAGGGACACCAGAAAGTAGTGACTCCACCCAGAAAATCCATTAGCAGTCTGGTCCAGCGAAAACAATTTCTATGGATTTTTTCTGACTATTCAATATTTGAAGTCTGATACTTTTTAAAATATTTTCACTTCTAACTTAACTGTCACATTTTTATTTTGTCTTTTCTATTGATACTCTTCTGTGTAGTAAGTAAAAACAGACAATGGGTTCATGACCAACATTTAAGCATTTAGCAATATATATTGTAAATATCTTTTTTTACATGAAGTAATAACAGCAAGGATGTAAAATGTTCTGACTTGTTCTTTCCTTTACATGTGGTGCAAATAAAATTGTATTAGGGGCAGCAGTAATGTTTAAAATATATTAATGATGAAAACTATATAAAGAATAGAAGTAAACTATACATAAAGAATAGAAGTAAACTATTCTATATATAGAAGTATACTATAAAAGTAAATACTTGCTACATAGCACAGAGACAGTGTAAACAAAGTTACTGATAGTATCGGTTCTCATTATATAACAGCTGGTACAACCCTCTGTACACCATGTAAATTTAAAATGCTCAGAGTAGATCATACTGTTTGGTTCCAAAGGCTGTTGAAGGGGATGTAATATGTCATATAATATGTGTAACTTCACTTAGACCGTCCTCCAAATTTCAAACTTTTAGATTAAAAACAAATCTATTCACACTGTTTTGAAACAAGTTTCCAGTTGGCCTGTTTGTTGTGTTTAGATTCTTCCGGCCACATTGCTTTCTCAGGAAATATTGGAAAGTCTCCACTCACCGCACTATTGATTATCTATGCCTCTGGAGTGAACTTTGCCCACTACATTCACTCGTCACCAGGGTCAGGCCAGCATGCAGTAGGCTGTGCACTTAAACAGGGAGTCACCAATCTCACTGTACTGGACATTCACCAGCTGAGACCATGGCAGGGAGGAGACGAGGTCGAAATAACAATGGCCATCAGCAGCAACAGGCCACTCAAAACCAGAGGAGAGTCCCACGAAAGGTAAGTAATAATACAAATAGATACAAACCTTGTAGAAATGTAACATTAAAATAAGACGCAGAATATAACTTAGAGAGCATGTTGTAATTCATTACACTTAAGTCTGTAACTGTAATTGAAGATAGCAGTCATAAGGAATCCCAGTCATTATGTAGATAGAGTCTGGATTAAGTTTGGATAAAGAATGAAGACAACGAGGGCATTTGGCATAAAACAGTCCAGTCAAAATGCTAATCACTGCACACAAGAAGCAATATAATCTTTTGGTGCAAAGCATAATCAAGTTAATTGTACAGTGTAGGTAAATATTTTTATGTTCGCCATGTCATTGTTTAGAACTAGTGTAGCATTTTACAGTTTAAAGTACAGTTTATCTCTTCACTGCAGATAAAGAATGAGTCTATGGATAATAGATATCTGCAGAAAACACAAAGTCCAGAACAAAATCGTATGATAATTGCTTTACGACTATTATTTATCTAATTTTGATAAAATGCCAAGTGAGTGCTTTGCTTGCAGTTAATTATGTTGTGAAGATATGAGCCAAATATATTTAATGATAATGTAGGATGGATGTTGTCATGTTACATTCTTTTACAGAATACAAGTCCACACATGTTCAGAGAAGGGATGCACTTAGGGGGTGGAAATACCCTTAGGTGTTATTGGAAATGTTAACATTTTGAAAAACAGTGTCCTTTCTGAGGAACTCAAGAGCAATCACAGGTTTCATTTGCATTTTCAGGCGCTCAGAGAACCAGCTCCTTTTGCAAAGCCGACAGGCTCTGAAGCTGAGACTGAAAAACTGACAATCACCCAAGCGCGGAGGGGCACTCCAGGTACACAAAATATTCATTCAAATGTAGACAGGCAGTTTGTGTAAGGTGTGTTCAAAATGAGTGAATAAAAGAGATAATATGCTATGTTATGACTATGAAAAATAAAATATCACATACTTTGTTGTAGCACATCGTCCTGTACGGGTTTACGCTGATGGCATTTTTGACCTTTTTCATTCGGGACATGCTCGAGCCCTGATGCAGGCCAAGAATTTGTTTCCCAACACCCACCTGATAGTAGGAGGTACTTTTAAATTCCCAAATCTTTGTTTAAATTATTTATAAATAAGTTCAATAGTATTTGATTTTGTCATTAGTTTGCAGTGATGAACTCACCCACAAATATAAAGGGTTTACTGTGATGTCAGAAGATGAACGGTATGATGCCCTCACACACTGTCGGTATGTGGATGAAGTTGTCCGGGACGCTCCCTGGACTCTCACCACTGACTTCCTCAAATTACATAAGGTTAAAATGATGCCCTAATCAAAATAAAACATAAAGGGTACTCATGCAGGTGAGCTTCATCTATGCATTATATTAATAGATTGACTTTGTCGCCCATGATGACATCCCCTACACCTCTGCTGGATCAGAAGATGTATATAAGCACATCAAGGAGGCAGGTGAAGAAACACTGTTTCGTAAATAATTATATATTTTTTAAACACAAAATGAACCAAGCCATTAATATGTTTGTTTTTACATGACAGGTATGTTTGTGGCTACTGAGCGAACAGAGGGCATCTCCACATCTGATCTCATCACAAGGATAGTTAGAAATTATGACATATATGTCCGGCGTAACCTGCAAAGAGGCTACACAGCAAGAGAGCTCAATGTTGGCTTCATTAATGTGAGAACAATTTGTTTTAGAGAGATGTTTTTGTAGGATAGCATCTTTTCAGTTAGTGATGAGTACCATGTCTCTTAAACAGGAGAATAAATATCGACTTCAGAACCAGGTGGACAAAGTAAAAGAGACGGTCCGCACTGTGGAGGAGAAGTCCAAAAGCTTTGTGTACAAAGTGGAGGAGAAGAGCCATGATCTGATTCACAAGTGGGAAGAAAAATCACGAGAATTCATTGGAAACTTTCTGGAGCTTTTTGGTCCTGATGGAGCTTGGGTAAGGTTAAATTTCATGACAACTTTGGAAATAGTTCGGAAATAGTTTAACACCATAACACATAACACCACAGTAAGTATTTGTTGTTTGTTTGTTTATTTTCATTTTGGATTTGTTTATAGCTCAAAAAAATATGTGCTGTTACTCTGAGTTGGGTTGCATCTCCACAAACATTTCTCCAGCTCCATGGAGTTTCCATGGAAACTTACACAATGTACCTTTAATGGAGTTATGAATATAGCTTACTAATACAAACAAAACCTGCATTTGCTGTATTTTTAGTGAGGTTTGCATAGCTGGTGCACAAAGTTATATCCAAGTGTGTAAATGTGAAGCCAATCATTAGTAAGATTAGACCATGCTTTGACTCTATCTCTACTATTGTCTTTGTTTAGCATGCTATCCAGGAGAGGAGTGGACGTATGCTGCAGGCACTTTCACCTTACTCGTCGCCACGGGGATCTCCCAGCAGCAGTCCTACCAGACGACGCTCCATATCTCCAGACTCCTCCCCATCATTGTCTCCCTCCTCCTCTGTCAGTCCACCTTCCTCTCCATCAGCATCTTCTCAGAAAAGGGGCTCAAGATCTTCAGTTAAATCTGCCTCCACCTATGCCAGACATGCGCAATAAGCATCCAATATCTGGAACAAAAAACTAAATTTGTTGTGTTTGTTAAATTCATTTTAATCATAAAATAACATCATAGATAGAGTGACTGCATGGTGCTTTCTGCCATACCACTCCTACATAGCACCTTGAACACATGAGAATTTTGTCTTTGTATTTCAATGTCCTATCTCTATTTGAATGATTCTGCTCTCAGAGTGTGAAGACAATAAAAAGTAAAATAAGTAATAATTTCCCTGTCTTTTGGGGGAAAACAAAACAACTGAACTATTACCTGATTTTTCACTTATAATATTAATATTGTCAAATATCACTGTTTCTTCTTATCATACAGTCTATGGCCTGGCACTTGCAATTTTAATTAATAGTCACATCACGGTACCTCTCACTTCAACTCATAGACGGTATATAAATTCATGTAAATCTGTAATCTAAATCTCATCAAGATCATACTTGGTGACAAACAACTAGGACATGCTTTGGACATAAAGACTAATTCAAAACTGGATGTAAATTATCTAAATAATTTACTGAATATCAAAAGATCCTTACTACCGCCTGAATCTCGTGTACAAGAGGCGACCCGGCCCCGTACCACAGTTTTAGAACCACTGCGAAACGTGCACTTTGTTTACGGACACAAGCAAAACTGCGCATGCTCCATATACCGACCAATCCTGGGAGTTGTAGTTTTGACTGTAAAATCATCTCATGACGGTTACGCAGCTAACTGTCCTGCAGATTAAAGATGGCGCCCTCTCACGCGCTAAGGTGCTGTAAACGGGCTTTAAACTGGGTACCTGTTCTGTTTATTAACCTTGTCATCGGCTGGTCTTATTATGCCTATGTCATAGAGCTGTGTGTCTGTAAGTAGACTTGTTTTCTACTCTTATTTTGTTTACAGTGTTGTATGTTTAATGATCGATAACAACTTTGTCAAGCTGCTGCTGAATGGGAGGATTTTAATGTAAACTCTACTAGATTCCTCCTTTAGGATGGGAATGAAAATCACCTTTAACCCTTAAGCAGTATAATTTTTTTTTTTTTTTTACATGTTTATGACAAAGCAAAACTGTATTATACACATGTAAAACCGAGGTTAAACTTTGTACAACAGTGTCAGCATGGCACAATCTGTTTATTCATCATCAGTCATTACAAATATACTTAAGCTAATACAGTTACTGTGGACCTGATAAGATATTATTTGATAGCAGGTATAAATATAATAATATTATCAGTACTAGGCAGTAGGCAATGTTATGTTATAGTAAATCATCATAATGGAAAAAAATGTACTGGTGCTACTTGTATTTATTTTGTTACTTTGTAGATACACATATGGGACTTTAATTTTTTTAAAAAGTAATTAGATATAATTTTATTGTCTGTAAATGCCCAGCACTATTCCATTTCCCAAGTGACTATGAGGCACAGTGTCTAATGTATGTTGTACATTATAGTTCTGTATAAGTGCAGGAACACAAAGCTCACTATTGTGAATGGGTCAATGCTGGTCGTACCAGGCTGCTGCCACATGGAGGAGTGGCGTGAGACTATGGGGGATGTGTAGAAACAAGATGAATACAGTTCATTCAATTCAATATTTATTTTATAAAATTAAAGATATCTAATGTAATGTGTGCATAGGGCTGGTTGAGATGCTATATACCATATAAAGTACAGAATTTTAATAATTGCAATAGAACATAAAAAATAGCTAAAGTTCTTCTTTGAAAGTCTGAACTCTGCTGATGCTTTTACATACAGAGGATTGGTTGTAGACCTTTGATTTAAAAAAGCTACCATATCATTGACAATTAGACATGTCTTAGTCCCGATTAAAATTAGATTAATTGCCCTGCCCCACATAGAATTTACTTAGTGTCTAATTTAGTATTGATTTTTCTTTATTTCCTTTTATCCAGATACAATCCCAAATAATACAGAGAGAAGTAAGTTGTACACAATGTTACACTTTTTGGATTTACCTTTGTTGCCTGAAAAATTAATTTGCACAACATCCTGGTTAAACTTTTATTCTTCTTTGTACAGTCAGTTATTTGGTCATCTTCCATATTTGCCTCATCATGTTCATCTGGTCATACTGGAAAACCATTTGGGTAACACCAGCTGAACCTTCTAAAGCAGTAAGTAGGTTTTTGAGTTAGATCTTCATAGTTTTATTGTGTTTTGAGCTTATTTAACTGTCCTTCTATATTCCTAACAGTTTAGTTTGCCCAGAGCAGAGAAAGACCAGTTTGAAAAAGAGGAAAGAGCAGAAGTACAACAGGAGATTTTGAATAAAGTGGTTCGAAATTTACCTGTGTACACCCGCACTGCTGTAGGAGGTAAACCATGACACTACTGAACAAAATTAGCTCTAAAATACTGTAAGCACTTACTATTAAAGTTCATGAATACACTTTATTTTTTATTTGAACCTGTGAATACAATCAAACAGGATAACATAATGTACCTTGTATGTGACATAAGTTGTTTATTTGTTTCTGTCAGTGACTCATGCATCCGGGGTTTCCAAAAGGCTCAGGTGCCGGTTATAACATTTCCTGTGGGACCCTGGTTCATTTAGGCTCATTTTCACTGTCACATACTGACTCTCATCTAAACAATTTAAATATATTGACTCATAATGTCTTCGCTGGAGCAAAAGGGGTCAGTGTATAGAATAAATCCATTTAAAAAATATATGCCATTTGCAACTCTACACATTTGACATGCAAAATTAAACCAGGCTCAAACATTTTCCCTTATCTTTGTAGATGTAATTTATTACTAAGTATATTAAGTAGGGCTGGCCTGGATAAATTTTGATTTTTTTTTTTTACTGTAAACAATAGACTGATAAACTATTTAAATGAACATCAAGTTAAACAGCATCCTCACTATACAGTTTAAAGTTGATTAAACGCACAATTCGTAATCTTTAAGTAAGAAGAAGTAATTGTTCTTTTAAAATTTTTTTGTCAATAGCAGTTCCATACTGTAATTCTTGCCAAGTTATCAAACCTGACCGCTGCCATCACTGCTCCACGTGCGAGAGGTGAGTGGTTTTCCTGCACATTTCAGTCTAAATAGAAGTCCACTATACATATACAAAGAAATATTATACATATATATATAGTTACTATGACTTAGGCGATGCTCTCATAAATGATGGTTTGTGTCTCGTGTCTGCTTTCCCTCTGCAGATGTGTGCTGAAAATGGACCACCACTGCCCCTGGTAAACTATTGTGTCCTCATATATTGTTCTTTTAACAATTATATCAGTTGTATGGGCACATATTACACTGTCCATGTTCATTTTGTCTTTGTTTTTTTCAGGGTCAATAATTGTGTTGGATTCTCAAACTATAAATTCTTCATTCTATTTCTGGGTTATGCTTCACTTTACTGCATCGTCATTTGTGCCACAGTAATACAATATTTCATCAAGTTTTGGAAGGTAGGTAACGGACTTCTTCTTTTCAATTTGACACTGACACAGCAGTTTTACACAACAAATGTGTTCAAAATAAGATCAAAACATGAACCAAAAACCACAAACTACTACAAGTGTCATGGGGCACGTTATCTGGTGCTACTGTTCACACTGTACACACTGTTCACACACTGACTGTCACACGATCCAATAGTGGAAAGCTTGTTGTTGTGCTAAGGGACCACTTAAAAACGACTGCAAATCATATTTTAAATATATACTCTGCAACAATCATTAGTTGTTTTATAAAATTTTCTTTTTTATTCACTTTTTTATGGAATTTTTACACAAATACTGAATAAGATGTACTAGGTAGTAAGAGCATGTTTTATTTAGTTTTAAAGAAATGTTTATCTATTGTATTAGTTGCTATTGCTTTTTTTGTTTGTTTTGTTATTCCACAACTGTATTGTGTCTGATTTCAGAAACTGCTTCCTGAAACTCACGCAAAGTTCCACATCTTATTCTTGTTCTTTGTGGCGGCTTTGTTTTTCATCAGCATTGTTTCACTGCTCAGCTATCACCTGTGGCTTGTTGGGAAGAACCGCACCACTATAGGTACCTTTACTCACCAATTGCTCTTATGAAATTGCTTAATTGTCTCTTAATTGATATTTGCATGTTTAGAGGCTTTCAGGGCCCCTGTCTTTACTAGTGGACCAGACAAAAATGGCTTCTCTTTAGGCTTCAGAAGAAATGTTGCAGAGGTCTTTGGTGATCAGGCAAAGTACTGGTTCTTCCCTGTTTTCTCCAGGTCAGCACATTTTTTCAACATTTATTTTTAAAAGCATTGCAAAACATTAATTTGGGTGATTGTTTTGTCAGCCTTGGAGATGGACATTCATTTGTTACCAGGCTGGTTCATATAGATCGTGAACATGCCAACAGCATTCTTCAGCAAAATGGAAAGAGGTCAGGCCCTTTACTAAAATACCCAAATGTTGATATATGTTAAAGTATTTCATGGTTAAAATAATGTGTATGGATTTTAGTTGCAACCTTGTGGATGGTGCAACAAACCTGTGTCACCCTGCAAATAATGTAGAGCATACACTGGACAAAACAGGTATGTTTTTCTTTTTCTTTACAGTAATTATGAAAATTGGAACCATAGGGGTATATTATAAAATTTTAATTTTGTTTTGTTTTAAAGGACAAGCAGACTCTGTGGTGATAGAGAATGAGTCATAGTGAGTAAGTGTCTCTGCTGCTTCACTGTTTACATGTTTTCTTTTCTCATTAATTGTTGTTTTGTTCAGGTCTGAGATTTCAAGCTAAAACTGAATATGTGATGCCTTAACCATCCTCTGTGATTCCTCCGTGCCCCTCCCCTGGTGCAGTATTCTGTACAAATTGCCTGCAAACTTCACAATAGAGATCAAATGCACAAATATAAAACAAAAAGGCCAGAAGATTTCAATACAGGGTTTTTATTTTATTATGTCATTAGCCAGTTTAGGAAAACCTGTGAAACTGTTGGGAGAATGAAGGATTAAATAATGATACTGATAAATTAATGATGAATGATCAGATGTTGAAACTTCCTTTTACTCTAACATAACCCATGTGTATCCTGTCATATACTAAAATATGATTGGTCCTTGTCACCAAGATGAGTTGTTGCCATAATTTTAATATAATTTTGTAAAAAAAAGAAAACATGTAACATTTGTAGTACTACTTTGTACAGTATGGTTTCATGTGTGGGTGGAGAGTCCTTGCCTCAAGTGGAGGAGTTCAAGTATCTTGGGGTCTTGTTCACGAGTGAGGGGAAGACGGAACGTGAGATTGACAGACGGATCGGTGCAGCTTCGGCAATGGTGTGGTCGCTGTATCGGACCGTTGTGGTGAAGAGGGAACCGAGTCGAAAGGCGAGGCTCTCGATTTACCGGTCAGTCTTCGTTTCTACTCTCACCTATGGTCATGAGCTCTGGGTAGTGACCGAAAGGACGAGATCGCAGATACAAGTGCTCGAAATGAGTTTCCTCCGCAGGGTGGCTGGGCGCTCCCTTAGAGATAGGGTGAGGAGTTCAGTCACACGGGAGGAGCTCGGAGTAGAGCCGCTGCTCCTCCACGACGAGAGGAGCCAGTTGAGGTGGCTCGGGCATCAGTTCTGGATGCCTCCTGGGCGCCTTCCTCAGGAGGTGTTCCGGGCATGTCCCACCGGGAGGAGGCCCCAGGGAAGACCCAGGACACGCTGGAGGGACTATGTCTCTCGGCTGGCCTGGGAACACCTCGGGGTCCCCCCGGAGGAGCTGGAGGACGTGTCTGGGGTAAAGGAAGTCTGGGAGTCCCTGCTCAGGCTGCTGCCCCCGCGACCCAGCCCCGGATAAGCGGACGAAAATGGATGGATGGGTTTCATGTGTTAAACTGAATGTTTTGTACAAAGCCACTCAAGAAATTGTTTCATAATGGACCAGTATTACTATGACTGTATAATATGTTAAGCAACAGTTTCCTAGATAAGGATGTCAGTTTGAAGAATGTGTTTACATGTATATATATATATTTTTTTTTCATGTTCTTCAGCCACTTTATATTTTACTCCAAAAACAAAACCCTTGACCAAATTGTTGCACTGTAATATGATGAAATTAATATTATTTTTTTATATATATGTTTTAAAGTTGTATTTATCTGTGTTTTGTTGAATAATGCAATGGTTTCAACCAAGGAAAGACTGGCAATTTGTTAAAGATAATGCTTTAATTTTATATTTATTTAAGTGAAATTATGTATTTTGTGTAACATAAATGCCCTCACTTCCATTGATCAAACTTTTGCTATTGAGTGAGAACTAATTATGTGCTTTAAGTAATTAGTTTTGTATAAGACAGCTTTTTACTGAGAACTTGTTGAAGGATTTCTGTTTCTTAACTGTTAAAATAAACTGTATGTATTTATATTGGTAGTGTTATTCTTAGTGTTCTTATTTTAACACATATTATTATCTCAAATGCGTGATGTAAGGTGACTGGCACAGTGACTGACTGACTGATGGTTATTACTTTATCTCAAAAATGTTTTGTTCCTCACTTGTTTGGGGTCATAAAATCTGTCCAGTAGGCTAATCCTTGTGATGGTGATAGTGACGGTGAATACATGCAGCACATTATGGCTGTCTACAGCTCAAACAGGCTCCCATTGAAAAAAGCACCAAAAGCAGTGGACAAATTTCCCTAAAAATATAGAATAACTCCAAAAAGAATTAAACATTTGTGGGGTTTTTTTCATTTTATTTTGATACTCCTTACTAAGCATTTTTGTGTGCAAGTAGAAAATTTATTATTTATTAAGTTACAGTACACTAGACAGGAGTCCTAATAAGTAATGACTTCACTTCATGCTGTACACTATAGTTGTATCATTACTTTAAATGTCATTTTGTTCTAAAAGATAAAGGCCTCCTCAGCTAAGGGTGAATGACCTGGGAGTTACTGATCTTCAGCACTCAAGCCCTGACTAAAAGCTTCTTAAGAAACCACCCTCATTAATGACTTTAATAGTTAAACCAGACACTTTACAACCTTTGAACTTAGAAGTTATTTGAACACTTGATTGGTTTATTATGTGCATGAAGTAACTTTACAATATTATAGTTTTTATTTGTTCTTCTGGCAAAGGAAATGGCACGCCTTGTCAAAGTTCATCTTGAGTGACACACTGGTGTAGGTCAGTGACCTGTGTGTCTTCAGTGTTATAGCCCAACACCATGGATGAATTAGTTACTTGGATGGTTTGTGCTGAAAGCAGCTGTCATTCCTTCACTCTACTGGTGGAACAGTGCAGATTACAGACTTCTGACCATTTTGTGATTTAGACTTTTTAAAATATAGCATGGACAACTTGGAGGAGACGCTAAATAGTACAATTCATCCATCATGTTTACAGGAGCCTCCACTGGCCATTGATGTGATAAGAGGTGAGAAATTACTATTGTACTACTAATGTACTATTCATGTTTTTGTACAATTAAAGAAGGTTAAACACAAATTATAACTGTTAATAGATAATCATTTGCCATGTAAAACACTTTTGTAACAAATTAAAATAATATTTCTGTAGTTCAATGATAAATTACCAAACAAATACTACCTAAAAATGTAAATGGAAGTGAAAAGATGTGATTTGGAGATAGCCTTCTCATCTCATTCACATTTTGTCTCTGTATTTTCTTTGTAGAACTGGATGTATTTGGAATCTGCCTGTACTCCATTCTGACCTTCATGTCCTGCCTCTCACTGCTGCTGTATCTGGACACCTGTGTGTATATTTACAAAAACCTACCATACCCTAAAAAGATTACTGTCATCTGGATCAATGGAGCAGCACCTGTAAGTTCTATTTATAGATTTGAGGTGATGAAAACTGACGACTGTTGTCACTTGAAGAAACAGTTCAATACACTATATTTTTATGTTTTTCTAAACAAATATTGGTATCCATAAGAAGTGATAAGACTGGGTTAAGGTAATCCAAATACATTTAAAATTTAGTAAAAACCCAAATATGCTGTAGTTCAGGACTTCAAGAAGAGTGGAAAGTAAAACACATGCTCATCTTCTTGAATTTAATGATGTCATAATTTCACATGGAGGGCATTGAACCTTAGCATTATTTGTTAGGGATTTGACCCAAAAACTTGCCATATTGTTCTATTGGCTCAACTGACAATAATATATCTCTGGGGTTGAGTAACCACTTTATGATGTTATTGTGAAAATGTTTTTATCTTACTTATGCTGATAGTTTTGTTTCATGTGAGTAGGATTAAACTAACCACAAACTAGGTTAAAACATCTGCTATCTGACAGTTAAACAGCAATTTGATAAAGATCGTAATCATCACAATGACTTAAATGCAAATCTCAAATTCATTTCACTTGTCTTTTTCAGTGTATTGCCACCATGTCTTGTTTTGGGCTGTGGATCCCCAGAGCAGTCATGTTCACAGATATGACATCAAACTGGTGAGCTGACTCCCTCTCTTCGTTATTTCAACACATGATACAAACACATAAAATAGCTTGTTTTGTCCTTGAGATTATGTCCTCAAATAAAAAGTGGATGAATCATTACACAGAACTTGTACAAAGATCTTTGTTGAGCATGTACAAAGCATTTTTATAGGCTTTTCTCTGGATGTGCTGTACAAAACTATTAATATTATGACACTGTAAAACTTGGTGTGTGCAGTTATTTCGCAGTGGTGGTGTACAAGATCCTCATGTTGATAGTGGAGGAGTTGGGGGGCAGCAGTAGCTTCCTGAAAAGGTTTTCTGGTCAACCCTTTTCGATCAGTACAGGACCGTGCTGCTGCTGCTGCGTCTGCCTGCCCAAAGTCCCCATGTCCCGGTAAAACACATTTAACATAATTTTTAAGAAATCCAATATTTTCTTTTCAAACCATAATAAAAATGGCTGTACATTGATTTGATGAGCATAAACCGAAATTTAACACAAAAAACAGCCCAATTTCTTCTTCTGCACTCTCCTCTAAACCACATGCTTTCATAGACTAAGAACTGGCTGTAGACCGATCACTGATCATTAGAAATGACCTGGAAATGAACTTGATAAGTTGCCCAGCCTTAATTTTAGGTGTAATTATTAATAATAAATAAATATCACTCAAGTCAATTTGTAACAATGGTGGTCAATCTAGAATACAATTAGATAAGATAGCAGTCACCAGTCCTTCATAATGTAGTGCTATATTTTTGTATTTTTGTAGACAATAATATAATTCCTATTTTGATATTTGCCTTTGTAGACGTATGCTGTTCTTGCTGAAGTTGGGTTCTCTACAATACGCCATTCTTAAAACAGTCCTCTCGATCATCTCCATTATTCTGTGGACAAATGGAAACTTTAATCCCGCAGATGTAAGTAAATAAAACGGGCACAGTGTAAGTTTGACAACTTCTGTCTGGAATATTCCACAGAATGGTATTAAGTATCTGGTTATCCTTTATTCAATTTCACCCCCCAAAAAAATAAATAAATGAAAATATTTGTGGTATAGTCCGCTATAGAAGAAGTTTGCTATATCGTATGCCATTTTGTGGAACATTTCAGGTAAAACATCAATCACCCCCAAGGAGAAAATACATTTTTTCTTACATAGTGCCCGATTTAAGTATTGTTGTGACAAGATTAAACTGGATCTGATTTGTGTCTGGTTGTAGTTGAGCATTACTGGAGCAACCATTTGGATAAACCCGATGGTAGGAGTCCTCACCATCATCTCCCTTTGGCCTGTGGGCATCACGTTCATGAACACGAGGAGGCTGCTGCGTCACCTCAAGATGATCCCCAAATACGCCATGTACCAGGTCAGTTATATGCATCAAAGATTGTGCTAAACTTCTGTGTCTGTTTATCATACCATTTTATATAGAAATACAGCTCAATTCATACATACAATTCAATTCACAAATGTTGAACCTTATCAGTTTATGAATAACTAGTCCCAAGAACTCACAAAAAGTTCAACAAAAACGGTATTTTAATATTTATTTTAGCTGCTTCCATCTGTATTAAACAGTATTGTCTACAGACTGTTGTAATGTCATCTGAAACTCAGCAGTTACCTAATTTATGTCTCAGTGTATCTAACCACATAAGATTAGTGTTAAGAAGTGTGGATAGTGGCTTGGATGGTGGTTCAGACCTTACAATAACCTTTGGTATTATTTTTGGCCTGTGTAAATGTGGTCTATAAGTTGGTAGTCATGATTGTGTCAGCCCCAGAGCAGCTATGACAATAAAAATAGCTTACCACCACCAGATGTGTACAGTGATAAATAAAAAATACTAAGTTCGAGTAGCAATATAAATCAGGACAGTATAAATCTGTGCTAAATATAAATGTTATGCACTCAAAGTGGGGAGATGAATTATTGTGGTAATCCTCAAGAAATTAAGATCTCTAATTTCCTGTGGATCAACAAAAAAACAAAGTCTACAAAAAAGTCTTAAGGAAAAGTAAGGTCTATTCAAAATGACAACAAACATTATATTTAAGAGAGCTTTTTAAAAAAAATATATATATATATATATATATTCCATTAATACATTTCTTCTGTTCTCAAGCAACAGAAACAGTTTCAGTTTGAAGTTAAAATCATCCATTACTCATAGTGTGGTTGTTGTTTGTTGTCATTTTAGCTGGTCCTGGTCCTAAGTCAGCTGCAGGCTTCCATCATTAACATCTTGTCCTTGAATGGGACAATTGCGTGTTCCCCTCCCTTCTCCTCTGTGGCCCGTGGCTCCAGTAAGCACCTTTACATATTTTTGTAATGCTTTTTTTGATAAATAAAGTTTCCACCTGATCTGTGTTGTTTCTTCCCCAGTGCTCAGTCAGCAGCTGATGATCATGGAGATGTTCATCATTACACTGGTAACTCGTTGTTTATATCGACGCACGTATGACTCCCCCGAGGAGCAGGACAACACCCACAATGGCAGCATGGCCCTGAAGGCACCCTCTGAGGAGCATGATGTATAAGACTCATGACTATTTTGGGACTCTAAATGTCAAACTTTAATATACATATCTTATATCCTAACCCTAAAAGCTTCTTTTTGTACTGTGAAACAATTGTAAGACAATTCTATGCACAGGTAAATGTTCCTTTATATATAAAAGTATTTATCTTTTTGGTCACTGAACAGTAAGTATAAAATACAAACTGAAATAAATATCTGGTGTTCAAATTGCTTTGATACCACTGTTATATTTTTAGAGTTAGCTGCTCCAATTCTTTCTTTTATTAAAGCTGTAGGATGACAAAAGGGTGCCATAAATAGCACCAAACTCTGCTTTTGTCAATTTTTTCTCCACAAGAGGGAGTGCTTGCATCTCATCCTGCCACACTTTCACTTAGGGTGGCAGTATACTACAATGGCCCAAATGCATTACACATTACACACTTTACGCAGACCAGAAAACACACAAAATAAAATTCTACAGTTAAGTTACACAAAACACATACAAAAAATCCCAATAACAACTTCAGTAAGTGGAGTGTACATTTTCAAAATTTTAGAATATATAACTGACAATAGAAATGTGGTTACCCAAAATCTAAAACCACAAATTCTTAAAAAAAAACTGAAAATAATAAGAAAAATAGTTTAGTTTACAACATCACCCCAATTTCTCAAGCAGTGCAAGTAGATGGCATAAAATTTATATAATGTGTTTGAATGCCTTCATTGTTGTCTGACACTGGTTACACTATCAAGATGTTCAGAAAGTCACAACTCTCAACAGCAGATTTCTCATCAGATTATAAAATACAACAACAGTATCACTATACCAATCCTAACTATGTATGAATGTGATGTGTGAGTGGTTGGAGGGGCCAGTGGTGCAGTTAAGTAATCTCTCTTCCCTCTTCTACCAGACAGGCTTTGAGAGGATTTGTTTGGCCTGTAAAGTGCAATACAAGTGTAATGAATTATTAGTATTAATTAAAAGGTCACCAGTTTTTTTGCAATGCAATGCCTTTGATGGTAAAAAGTGTTATCCACAATTTGCCCATAAACTTCAGCATTAACCAGAATAAAGGCGTTTATATAAAGCCGGATCAATGAGAAATCCAGAATTTGGCTGTGTTAAAGGAGTGTTTGTTTGTGGCCGTTATGTAAACAGTCATCAGACAGCGATGGAGGGAGAAAGAGAGGAGAGAGAGAGAAGTGTTCAGGGTGCCTCCTTGATTGCCCCTGGCTCCGCAGCGTTGACGAAAGCTGCTTAGCCCCTCAGTTTCCATGGCGACCCACAGAGAGCAGCCAGACAAAAAAACGAGGCAAAGGGGAGTGGCTTCGAGGGAGAAATAGAGGAGAAAGAGCTGGATGGCAAGATAGACAGAGGGAGGGACACACACAGACTGTAACGTTGTGTGCTGCTGAGGTAACATAAGGCTACACGAGGATAATAAAACTGCATTTCTCCCTAAGGAATTATTTATATTTACAACTGACTGGAGGACAAAGCATTGAAGATGGATGTGCAAACGGAGAACGCAGAACCTCCACCATCTGAGTCGCAGTCCAGCGGAAAAATCAGAAAGGGATTCAAGCTGTTTGGGAAGCGCAAGCCTGGTAACATCTTTTCTATCCGAAGCAAAAGTGAAGGAAACAACAAGTCCCCACTGCACAGGAGCAAAACCCTGGACGTACCAGACTCTGCTGCTAATGACTCAGAGGACCAGGAGAGAGAAAAGGCTGACGGAGATGAGGAGCAGACAGAGGAGGGACCACTGGGTGAAGATGGCGTTCTGGCTGCCGCTCATGCTCGCACCTCCATCTCCTCTGCCAGCTCAGCCAAGTCTCTGGGCTTCCTCTCCATCCTCAGAGGGGGTCGGAGGGGAGTGGGGGACCGCAGAGTACAAACCGTGTCCCAGCCTGCAGGACGCCAGCGCCGGGGGATTAAGGGTCTATTTGGAAATGTTAAGTTTCGCTCAAAGGATAAGGATGAGAAAGAGGAGGTACCCCCAAGTCCGCTGTTAATGTCGTCAAGAAGTAACAGTGTGGAGATCATCAAAGAGGACTTGACGTTGACCCCCAAATCTCAACCACGTTCACTGGACAGCCCCAGCACAGAAAGCTCAGAGCCAACCAACAAGAGTATAACAGCCCAGGACAGCTCCACCACATCCCCTTCTAGGACTCCGGGCGGTGAACCAAATGAGTCACATTGTACTATGCAGGCCGCCATGGTTCCCGGTGAGACCAGCTTGAGCACGCTATTGGCTGACATCTCCTCGCTCCTGACCTTTGACTCCATCTCGGGAGGGGGGGACATCATGGCGGATGTAGAAGCTGAGTGGGGCAAAGCTAGCCTGGCCATTTCCTCCGCTGCCTCACCTTCACATACCACGTCATTTTCAAAACCTGTCTCTTCAATCTCACCTAAAGCTGTTAACTCATTTCACACCACGCTGCCTTCTTCAACCGCACCGTCTTCTCCTATGAAACCCAGCAGCATCATCACCACTTTAACCAAATCTACAACTTTGACAACACCAACCATCAAACCAACAAATGAGACACCAATAAATGTCACAACAGCTGCCACAAAACCATCAACAAGCCCATTAACAAACATTTCCGCACCAATTATGTCTTCCCCGACGATTACGATGAAAACTACTTTGGGCGTAACCATATCTACAACAGCTCCTCCTAATACTCCCGCAAGTGCTACTAAAGCACCATCGGCTAGTCCAACTTTAACCTCATCAGTGAACAAGCGAGCCTCTGAGACAAGCGAAACTCCCAAAACAGTATCATCGATGGGCTTTGTATCCACATCACCTCCAGCAATAGTTAACCCTCCTAAAACTACACCATTCTCTCTGACTTCAGCTTCCAAACCGGATTTGTCAAGCAGTTTACCAGACTCCTCTTTCAACAAAATCCCAGTGACAGTATCAATGTCATATCCTTTTACAGCCAAGCCCATGCCTCCCGCACCACTTATTTCTTCAAAGATTCCGTCAACAGAAGTTATCTCTACAACAGTATCAGTGTCTACAACAAGTATAACTACACCTACTCAATTTTATACAGCAGATCTGAACAAAACATCACCTTTTGTCAGTGAGTTTTCAAGTTCAACAGCTACAACTTTCACTAAGCCCCAAATAACTTCTGTATCAGCACTACCTACAGTGTCCAAAAGTCAAGCCTCTTCCACTTCTGTTTCACCTGTTTATTTAAATGGGACAATTCCGACTCATCCTGCAGCTATTTTGTCTTCTAACTCTATACCCATGCCTGCTTTAACCCAGATCTCTTCGGTCCCCCCCTTCTCCTCACTTTCTGCATCTAAAGAAGGCTCTCTATCTATCTCACAACCTAAAACTTCTCCAGCACCTCCTGAAATGCCTTCTTTCCTTTCAAAGATGCCCATGCCGACGTCACAAATGTCTGCATCGTCACCTCAAATACCTCTCTCTTCTGCTACTCCGTCCACTCACCCTGCACTCTCTCAAACTTCCTCTTGCCCCATCTCCTCTGCACCGCTGTCTCGGGATGGTCTGGGTAAGAAAAGAGAAAGTGACCCATGTTCGATAGATGGCAATTTGATCCAAAGTCCTAAAACTCCAGAACCTCGTGACATCCTGCAAGAAAATTCACATCAGATTAAAGAAGATAATAAAAAGAGGACATCGCAAGGACATAGCACAGGGCTGAGCAAAATACCTGTAGTTGGTGGGGGCAGAGTCGGTAAGATCCCTGTACGCATTAACCAGAATACAGAGGAGGAGGCAAATAAGGACACGACTACATCTGCAGCCCTGGAGGAACCAACCTCTCCTTTAAACTCACATGATAGTGGAAACAAAGATAAAATCGCTATCTCTGAGGTTGCAGTGGTCACCTCTAAGCATAGCCAAGAGGACAGCCAGACGCAACTAAAGGCTCCCACCTGTTCTCCGCGTGACTCCAAAATCCCTGTAAAACATGGTTCTCAAATCCCACAAGCAAACAGAACCAAGATCCCAGTGTCTAAGGTTCCAGTGAGGAGGGCAGCAGGGGCCAAACCAGCAGTTCAAAGTGGTACAACGCAAATACGGAAATAGAATAATGGACAAGATCAATGATTCTGAATGCAAGTCTTTTTAAGCTATTTTTGGCTCATTTCTCAGCTTCTCAACAAAACAGGAACAGTAAATATAGACTCAAGCACAAATCATCTCTCTGGGCAGCCTAAGGAAGTCTAAATTTGGACATGTCTCAGGAAAGATTTGGGTCAGCATTGGTAACTTCAGTGAACAACACAGTCCTGGTACAGTATTGCTTATAATACTCACACGCCTTTGTAAGAGGTGCTTTTCCAACAGACAAATGTTTTTTACTTTGTTAACTTCCATTTTTGTAGGAACAGTTTTTGTCTTTCTTTCCAAAAAGTCCCTTTGATAAACTGTCTACTGTCTACTAATGATTAACTGCAGCCAAAATCCAAACATTCCAATCTATCTGGATGTACAGTATGTAGCAGAAAACTTACAATTATGATTTTTATTTTTTGCACATTTTTGGATTGTACAGCGCCTATGTGTTTGTCTGCTGGTACTTACAGTAAATTATGTGATCAAATCTCAATGTGAACTGCGTGAAAGACTTGCCAATACCTCCTCCCAGTTAGAAGTGGACAATATAAATGGCTAAATGGACACTGGATATAATATGGGAGAAGCTATTGAACCAATTCATCCTTATCTTAACCACACTTATTCTCGGACAAGAGCAGTATCTGTGTATTGTCTCTCCGCTATGTTGTTCTGTTTACTATTTAATCAATAAATATTACAAGTCGTTACTAACATGATATCTTAATTAAATACAACCACTGAAAATACTGACCTTTACAGTTATATATTTTAACATCAATCAATTTGCATTAAAGGTGCTATTGTGCAAAATTGACTCTTGTGAGCTTTAAACCATGTTGTTACCTCCTCAAAAACATACCTGGAGTGTTTTGTTTCATTCACACATGTTTAAGTAAGTTTATTATCAGTCTGTCTACAGCTCCAAAGCTCAAAATGCACTGTTCCACCTTATGATGCCATGTACTGGTAATTTTCAAGTTAACATCTATTACCTTTAACATCTTTTACCTTTATCTCAGTAGAGATTGGCAAGTCCAAGGCTGAAATTATCCAAATGATTATAGTGAACGTGTATGGAGTTTAAAAACACAGTGGAGCACTTCCTGTATTACCACATGACATCACAAGGTGGAACAGAGTGTTTTCTGTGTCTGAGAGAAAAACAGCCTGTGAATGAAGCACAACTCCTAGTATGTTGATGAGGAAACAACAGTATAACAGAGATAAGAAAATAGCATAACATGGGGCCTTTAACCTAAATAATAAAAAAAAAAAAAACTATTCAAAAGCATAATTTAAATATGAAACAAAATAATACTAAAACAATCTGAAAACAATCATAAAGATGTGTACAGGTCAAATAAGGACTAAGCCTTAACAACTGTTTATTTAAGCAGTTGATTGTGTTATTTGACCTAGTTACTCCAAAATATATGCTTTAATGAAGAAAAAAAATATTATTTCTTCAAGCCAAAAATATCCTGTCTTCTTATGTAAAAAATCAGCTAACCCTGAAGTTTAGACCTCTAAAAATAAGTTCTAAAATGCATGGGATTCTAATATTAGTTCACATTTCCCTCAAATATTAATACTTGTGGACATGTTTACAATGTGAACTTAACCGATTCCCAAAACGAAAATATAATTGCCATGCTTATCAGAAAATTCGCAATTAAGTAATTTCTTGAAGTCGTTCATGTGAACATTATTTCACTTGACTTTCCTCAACAGATCCCGATTCTCTACAGTAGCTGCGCATCCTTCTGTCAAATGGCCCACAGAGCAGTATCATACTAACTTCATTCACAGGCCAAGCTCACTGACCTGAATAGACAGAGCCTGAATGTTAGTAGCGGCTGTCCAATCAGATGTGAGGGAACCACTTAACATGCATACCTCATTTGAGACAACTATGGGAATGTGTGTCACTGCTATTCTTAGTGCAACATTTAGACAATTGGGCTGCAGAATAATGCTACTAATTGAGTTTAAAGCTTAATTCTGTGTTTTTCAAATTTTGGTACACACATGCTGGTTAAGATTTATTTTAGTGATTAGTCCTGGTTTAGTCCGGATAAAGACCCTATTTATTCTTGGTTGAGTCCTGGTTTGGTCCTACTTAAATTAGATTTGTTCCATCTTAGTCCTGGTTTAGTCCAAACTTAGTCCTGGTTTGCATGCTAGTTTAGATCCTTTTAAGAGACTAGTCCTGGTTTAGTCCAAGTTATTCTGATTCTGTTAGGGCCCAATATAATATTTTTTAATTCTGGATGAGTCCTACTACAGTCCTTCTATAAATTTGTTATTGTTGAGTCCCGGATTGAGTTCTGGGTTAGTCCTGGTTTTGTTCAGATTTAGCCTGTGGTAGCCCTGGTTTGAACTTGTCTGATGTGTGGTGTACACATGAGCTGGTTTAAGATCGAATTTACATAATATTTCCTGTTGAGATGATACTTGATGTGAAAAGTTTAACCACCACACATAGAAACAAGGGCCAGTTGCTTTAACAGAGACTTCTATTCAAAGTTTCAAAGTTCAGACCGAAACTAATCTCTAGTGGTGAGAGGAAAACCTCACATATAGAAGCTGAAAGGGGTCATGAGGATGGATGCAAAGAAGAGCCTGATGTCAAGAATAAGAAGTACAAAGAGTTTTTTTTTTTTTTTAACAAATAAAAAACACAGCGGAGGTGACACAAAAGGACCTCTGTGTATCATTGGGCCAGAGGCGGCAAGCTGAGAAGAACACAATCATTTGGCAGAGGAAAAAACATGCGGTTATGAAGGCGTCAGGTGCTGTTACAGACCATAGAGATTGAAACCGTATCCCTGAGAAAAGAACAGAAAACCCTTGAGGCCTGGACACAACTCAAATAAAGCTTGTATTCAGCAAACACCTGCAATTGAGGATCAGAGCGTTTTTTTATGGGCACCTACTGTAAATGTGTATCAGGTCTCACTCAAGAGGGTAACAGATAAAGGGCAATTACTGAAAGGATCATCACAAATAACCTTTTATCTTTGGAAAACAGACTGTAAACACAATACAATTCAGCCATACAAATATACAAAAGAAAATTATGAAAAGGTTTTGAAAAGTCCTTTTTTACATCAAACATTTAAGAGAGCTGTGTAGTTATGTTTTGTTCATATTAATAATACTAAAGTGTCATTAAAGTGTTAAAATAAAGCTTTGCCTGTATTTTTAGGTACTAGTGTGACCAAAACAAAAATATGGACCTGTGCTGGAGATATCAAGCCCATAGCCAATAAACTAAAAAGTCTAAACATCATCCTGATATATCAGCCAACCAATATTAGCAAGTATTATAAAAAAAATAGTACTGAACAAATTGCTAATAGTTAAAATATATTCAGTCAAGTTAGCATTACAAATCTCTCCCATAACACGGGATACTGTTCAAACAGATACTTGAATGCAACGCTTTGTCATGATGCATTCACATGATTAAGAGCAATGTGGTTGTCACACTTCTGCTAATAAGACAGCACAATGCTCTTTATGGCCACTTTGCATAAGCTGTTTGATGATATCCCCTCTTATGAATATCTACTGTGATCTTAAACCCAGCCATTGCTAAACAAATTACAGTACCCATAATGCAGTGGGGCTATCCTGACACTCTGTTTAAACTCTATAAAGTGTATGTGTTTGTGTATGTGTTGCCTCTGGAGAGTCTTTTAGAGCCTAATTTAGCACGCCTCATTCTGAGTATCCAAGCCAACCTCACTAGGTCAACCAATAGGAGGCTAGAAATGGTAAATAGGGCGGGGCTTTGGAAGGGTCTTACTCACTGTATAGATGCGTATAGGTCATGTAGAAATTAGCAGTCAATATAGATTTATGTAGAGCAATAAAGAGGGAATGATTAAGCTATTATTGGATTTCCACATCAGCACATTTTAAGTCCTTGAGTTCAAAATGCAAAATAGACTTAATCATAAGAATGTTTTTGCAATCATATCATCACAAATAATGAAAATATTTATTCTCATAATCAATTAAAAAACATTGCATCTTATTATTAGAATGGCTATTGTTTTGGTAAAAACATAACATAAAAACATAAAGACATAAAAATATTAAAATGTATAAAAAAAACATTTCTTTTGTCTCAAGCTGTGTCATACTGAGGGCAGTCTAAGGATAAGTCATCTCCTAAAATAAAAATTCAGCACAGAAAACAACTCATCCACAAATTGTGTCAGCAGCCGCTCTGGGTCAACAGCTGCTCACTCTGGGTTAAAAGTGACTAATACAGTTATACACATCAAAAACATACAAATCTGCTGTTAGACGATTATTCTGTTAAAGGATAAATGCTAACAAAAACTAGGATTTTTTTTTTCTAAAGGAAGTACAATGTCTGCTAATTCCCATAATCGATTCTATGCTCATTTTTGATCCTTTTAAAACGTGACGCATCATTTACAGTTGAACGGTCAGCCAAGCATTACGTCATTTTAGTGCAGACGCAGCACTGAGGCCCTCTGCCGGTGAACAGCGGTAGTGCAATAATGGGTGTTAAGACATTGCAGTGTCGACTACTCCATTGTCTACACGTACTAATAATAAAAGGCACGGGCTGCACATTTGTCAAAAGTTATGTTTTTATATATAAGTCTAAAATACAACTTACAAAGTGCCAGATAATTATAAATACATGTAAAATAAATGTTAAACATAGTATCAGAAAGATACTGAAGATAATGAAGGTTCAATCAAAATAAGGTGAATTTTAACACTGTTCATGGTAACTGTAAACTCTGTGTGAAAAAGTCCTGATTTGGGTGGAAGTAATATGAGGTAAAATAGAATATGTGCATTTTTGCAACAACGTGGTCTAACATTCAAATGAAGCTTATAATATAAATGCAAAGAATAGAATAAAATATGAAATACTGTAACATAAAGAATTGTGAGCTGTAAGGCAGTTGGATACTGCGATGAATGCCCTTTAATATACACAGCCATACTTAATATTGGCTGAGTAACTTACTTAGCTTAAGTGGTGTATAACGCTCCCTATGAGTTTTTGTAGTGGCATTCAGTGAGCTGTAGTCACAGTAAACATGACTGTACAAGCTCTTTCTACTGTGCTCCAACAAATGAGGCTTGTAAAGAGAGTGGTGTTCTTTGCCAGACAATGTTCATGTGTTAGACCATGAAGTGCATGTGTCCCTCAGCACCTGTGACTATTACATCCATCCAGATACGCATGGCCTCTGGAGATGGAGCCACCATGTAGTATACTCGATCATGTGTCTTCACGCTGAAGGTCAGAGAAGGGTTTGGGCTCTGGAGAGAGACAAGAGACTTATAGATGTGGACTTATAAAATGACAGATAAATAGTTACACAAGTGTGCTTACTTTGTGTGCGTTTTTTAAGTGGTCATAGTACACCTCCTCTATGGCCTGGAAGTAGATGACTCCTTTCATCTTAGTCTCATGTTTGTCTGCGGTAGAGAACACAAACACAGGGTGGTTTGTGTAGGACTGATAAAACTCTGCCATGGTCCTAACCACTGCTTTATAGACATGTAAATGTTGTGATAATTTTATTTGTATAGTTTAAGCAATAAGGCAGGATAAAAGCACTCACCTGCATAGTAAGTGAGTGTCCTGCGGTTTTGGTCAAAGACAAACCAGCGCTTCTTCCAAGTTTTGATCTTTCCGCCCATTTTGACCAGGAAACCCCGGCAGGTTTTATCAGTGATGGCCAAATGAAAGCACGCATCTGGATTGTGTCCAGCTGCTTCGATGTGTCCATGTAGATCAAAGTCATCTTTCCTGACCGGGAGGTAGCGTGACAGGAGGCGGGACTGTAGAGGCACAGACACATTGAAATACAGTTTAGAGCATGGATTCTTCAGGTTTGTTTTATGGTCTTTATTTCATTATTAAGTTATGTTGCATTGTTATATCTTTCATTTTAACACTGATATTTATCATATTTTATAGTATTACATTCTTATATTAAGAATCATATTCTGATTTTGTCAAAGGTTGTGCTGTTCTTACAAATCCACTTTCCCTGCTACTTAAGATACTTACCTTCTGGTTCTGTTCTTAATCTGTCCTTGTTTTGGGTATGTCTGATGTGGGTGCGCTCTAGTTCAGACCTGGTATTATCCCTTAAGAAACTGTGTCTCATATTAGTTCTTTGCTGCCATTAACCTGCTTTATTTCTGGTCTTTAGGCAAACTGGATTAATCCTGGGGTATATGTTGTTCATTCTAGATTAAGTCTTTGTCAAATCCGTGCAGAGGATTTTTGCATTTAAACATTTAGAAATCTGCGTCACTTTTTGTAGTGACGCAGATTTCGACATTAGTTAAAAATATATCTAGATTTTGATTCCAAGATTTGGATTTGGAAAGTCCAAGTCCCTTACAGTATTACAGGATCTACTAAATCCATCATCTAAACCTAAGTATCACATGTAAAGTTACAATACCTGCGACCTCTGCTTCTCGCGTAGTTTGACCTCTCTCTCCACTAGTTTCTGTCGTCTGCTTGTTTCTTCTTGTAACCGTTTCTCCAGTTCTTCTCTCCTCCTCCTCTCCTCCTCCAGGGCCTGTTTGCGAATCTCCATCTCGCGCTCCTACACATAAAGTAAACAGGGCTTAACATCAAACACTCACATGTATACAGTTGGCATATGGTCACCAATTACAGAATGATAGTTACTCGATGCTCCAGCAGCCTTTGCTTCTCCACCTGGGCCTCTCTAAGTAAACGCTCCATCTCCTCTATTTTGGCCATGTTGGATGTGCTCGCACTAATAGGAACAAGATTGTCAAACAATGGAAGAATGTAACTGTCAGAACAAAGGAAGTGTAATACATTTAATACATCACATATATCTTGAATGTAATTCAGCATCAAAATGGCCTCTAAATGTCCAAGTAAGAAATACTTGTACACTTCAAGTTTTGATGAAGGCAAAATCCAATTACAATAGATGCTAATTTTATGTACAGATATATTACATACTTACAAGAAATTATACTTTAGTGAAGCTCAGAAACCTTTTTTTGATCATTTGTAAGAGAAAAGTAAACTTGCTTATGTTTTTAGCATATAGATCTTAAGTCAGTTAATCACTAAATTAATTTTCATTTTTATTCCAGATGCCTTCATTGTAGGATTTTGAACTTTCTGATGAAACACCATTTTTAAAGTAATTGTATTGGTCAAATGCATGTTTGAAAAGAACAGCTGGACTAAATAAGTGGGTTATACAGAAAATCAGAAACATTCTTCTTGAACTTCAATCTTTCTTATACACATTTCCTGTGCCTCAGATCTTTTGAGACATACAGACATGTCAAAGACCTTCATGATAACTCCCATAGTGTTTCTGACCTGGAGATATTGTCCGGGGAGCATGCTGAGAAGCTGGTCTCCAGGCTGTCCGAGCTGTCCACGCTGACTGTGTCCGAGGTTTGGCTGTTGTCGGCGAAAGAAAAGTCCAAAAACACACTGGGCTCGGATACCATCCGGCTGCAGAAATCGCTCCGCCTCTGTCTCTCGTCGCTCATCTGGATGTGGTTATTATTGTCTGGAAGAAAAACAAAATATTGTACAAATAAATCAGGCACAGCATTGAACCTAAAATGCAAGCTCTATTCTGTCTGAAGTTCTTTAACCAAAATATTCAAGATCAACAGATCAATCATTACTAGTCATTGATTTTGAATGATCTTCAAATATACAAACATTGGCATGCAATTAGTTGTATTCGCCTGTCTTGAAATTACACACAATAAAACAATCATCAGTCAAATTTGTTGAACACAACTGAAATGCTTCACATGAAAAAGAGAGCAGTTGCCCCATCTCTGGAGTTTTAGACTTGACACAATGCACTCCACCATGTATTTATATGAATATGAATCATATTTTTATAACATTAAAGGGGTCAGTTTGTGACTCACTCTTCTGCAGGCGGCGGGTGTTGAGGTCTCGGGATAAGAGGGTGAATCCTGGAGGAAGCACACTGCCACAGCTGGAGCTCTGAGACAGAGGGGGGTGGGCCTGAACAGGGGCAGAGGAGGGTTAGGGAGTTTTTTTTTTTGTTTTGTTTTTAATAAATAAAAAAATGCTTTCTTTTACCCCTAGGAAGTGTCTCAGTGAAAGATTTTATGAAAGACAGAATGAGATAGAGTCTAGGGTAGTTGCAACACCTGCACTTAACCAGATCTCCAATATAGAATGAAAATTTGACATATTGCATCGGTGCATTTGCAATCCTGTATCATTATTATTATTATTTTTAATAGTAATTTTTCCCAAATTAATACAATTGAACTAAATATAGTTATTCCCATAAGGACACATTTCAGACTTTTAATAATACTAACTTTAAGTAATTACTTTTATTAACTTTTGGTAATATTCCTTTAAGTGTATGTTCAACCATCTCTGCACCTTCACAAAATTACACATAAAACAGAGAATATAAAAGTGTAGTAACAGTACTGACCTTTGGGGGCAGTGTATGTCCCATAGACCTGCTGTAGGATGTGAGAATCTGCTGGCTCCTCTTGTGAGGTAGACTGTCACTTTGGTGGGATGAGTTTTCCTTGCTCCTTCTCCTTTCCTTCAGAGAGTGCAAATGCTGGGACAATCCCAAAATATTAAAAACAAACACTCACCATCTTTGCCCTATGACTATATTTGATTTTAGTTCTACCTCTTTAATAGGGTTGTTAGCAAAGGCGTGTCCTTCAGATAACTCAGCATACTTTTCTTCCAGAGATGCTAATTTGTCTTTTTCCTGCAAAAACCCGCATAATAAACACATATATTAACAACATATATTTTCATTTCATATTTTTAATATTCACATTATTATAAGCACTCTGGAGTTCCAGCTTACTTTTTGAAGCATGACAAGCAAATTGTTTTTCTCTTTTTGGAAGTTGTCTCGTTCTTGCTGTGCTTGCAAGGTAATCTGTGTGGACTGTTTCTTCAGTGTCATAATCCTTTCCTGCAAAGAACAACAGTGAATGGTGCTCTGTGTGGCCTTTACATTCAGAGGCACTGAAGGAAGACACAACCTGCTAAGCTCTGGAAAAATGCATAGCTCTATCCACATACCACTCAAAAACACCATGATTACCATGACTTTAGGGTTAATTACAAGTTTTATTTTCCAGTACAAAAATGATAATATGAATGTTACCTTACCTTGCGTGTGACAGAAATGCGCTGGTACTCTGCAATCTCTCGCAGCAGCTCTTGGCTTTGATTCTCTTTTTCCTCGTCTTGGTTAATTTCTTGCTCTAATTTCTGAAAATCCAACTCCTCCAAACTTTTGGCCTGTTCTTCAACCTCCTGAAGAAGAAATACATATTCAAATTCACATAACTCAGATAAAATTCCTAAATAAAATACATAGAAGATTCATTTCTGTTTCAGGCAGTGAGCCATGTAATATCCTCTGTCTCCCTGCAGGCTCTGTACCTGATTTTTTACCTCTTAAAACACGTAAAACATAACCCGTTCAGGAGGAATACCTCATTTACCTTATGCCCTCCTAGCATCCTAATTATTCACCACGATGAGTTTATAAGCACTTTTCAACTTTCACAGACCAGAGAGGACTTTTGCTGTCACAGTAAACAACTAGCATACTATTGCATATTTCCTGATTGGATAATTTGATGTAGAGAGCACACAGCTGACCTATCTTGACATCTCAAGACCTGTTTATACTGTACAAAATATTTATTAAAAATCTCTCTATATAAAATTCGGTACTGGGCCTTTAATGCTTCTCATAATTATATATATATTATTACTCACTAAATATACCAGAAATCTACTGCCCTACACATTAGAGTCAGATGCAGTGACTTTTTTAACACATGGCAACTATTTGGGGCCCTTCTTTAGGACTCTTGGTCTAAATTGAGAAAGTAAAACAACTGAAAATAGGATTATGCAGAACAAGGTCAAAATCTACATACATACATATAATTGTGGTAAATTATGTATAAAACTTCTTAAATCTAAGTAGTTCTTGTGCTTTATTTAATCCCCTCAAATTACAGACATTCATTTAAATGCCACTTGGTCTTGATATAGAGTGTGACTATTCCTTTTTTTAAATTAAATGAAATGTATTCTGAAACCTTTGAATGTATTCTAGTGGCACAAGGTGTAATGATACCAGGTAATAAAATAGTAGTAGTATTACTTGTCCTGGCAGTATTTTGTTTCGTCAATCTAAAGGCTCAGTATGTAACTTTTCTGAAAGAGACAATCACCACTGTCTGTCTTCATGGCATAGTGGTGCCAACTGCTTGTCTACATGGAGATAGGCGAGATTAATGCCATATTGCGAAACAGTTGAGGCAAAGCAATAACCCTTTACCAAAAAAGTTACAAACTGCACCTCTCAAAGACCTTTTCATGCAGAGGACATTTATTTCTGAATTTCTTTTGCAGAACCCTCTTGCTGTATTCATAATCCAGATGCACATTTTTTCTTATGTAACTGTCTCATTTTTACCTCTGTCTTCTCGGGACCATTTGGTTTTTCAATGCTGTGAATCTTTTCTTTGAGTTGATCCAGGAGCTCTTTCTCTCTTTCTAATTGCGACACCTCAGACTCATGCTCCCCGTCCAACAATGCACGCTCCACCTCCATCTGCAGCACATCAATACAACATCACTCCACTTATGAAGAAAGACCATACTGCCCTTTTCAAACAAAGCATTAAAGTGTCTCGCTGTTTCACACATGTGGTTGAGGCAGAGCACCCCAAAAGGTATTTGGATTTCAAAGGATTTTTATATTCTACAATACTATTAAGCATTATTAGGCATCACATAGATTGGATTCTTCTATATTTATAGTGTTTGTACATTTTTGTTCTCCTTTGGGTAAGTTCTTGTTTAGAACTACTGCAGGAAAGGTGTAATTATATTCTAGACCTGGTTTAGTCTTAGTTTAGACCTGTAATGGTCCCCGTTTACACCTGGTTTAGATACGGTAATTATGCACATCATGTTTTCTTATGCCTTACTTGTGCCACAGTACAACCCCTAGCCTCTGCCTCATACCTCTCTGATGGACTCCTCCATTTGGTTGTCCAGGTCTTTGATCTTCTGCTCCAGCTCCTCGATGTTGTTTAGAACCTGGATGCGCTCTTCTTCAATCTGTGTTACTTCCTGTTTCAGCTGCACACTCTCCAAGACCTGCAGTGAAATCAGGAATTCAAATAAAAGCTTCGTTTAACTCTAAAACTACTCTCCTCTACGGTTACTGCATACAGACACATGTGCCGAGACCCATAGATTTTAGGGTATTAGTTGACAACAGCTGAACATTTTTATCTCTGCCAAATTTGGAGCACTGACAACAAGAGATTCTTTTCAGCTTATTGCAATGGAAATTTTGTGCCTTCCATTGCCAGTCAGTCAAAAAAAATTCCCACACATCCCATCATGGCAAATACTACATCAATAGCAACCATTCATTCCCACAATAAGACACTTATTTAATTTAAATCTAGCCGTAGGAGATCAATGTACTAGGATCAGGCTTCAGTCAAAAAGGGCACCTGGCTTACAACTAATATTGGTAGTGAAGATCTCCCCAAAAAGGTCCTTTTGTAATAGTTTATGCTGTTTAACTGTTTATATTTAATTAAGATGGTGCAAATTATAATCTTTAAAAGCACTTTCATGAGGTATATCTCATGCTCACAAGTTTGGAAAATACTTGTTTTTATTCCTCATTCCTACAGTACAAATCAGTGTACAAATCACTAAATGCCAGTGAGCACATGATATGCTGTTGCACGCCCAGAAGGAAAAGGCCGAGAGTAATCACAAAAAACTTAATCATTTGAAGTAACTACGACAACAAAGTGGCAAACATTAAAACCATTGGAGTACTATTGTGAGAGGAGTAAGAGGACTGGAGTCCTGGGCTGTGGTGGTATTTGGGAGATGAAGAGGAGGTATCAGGAATATGTAAACATCTGTCACTATTGACACATAACAGAAAATCGCCTTAGCTTCTCTAAAGGACGTGTAGATAGATCAGGAAACATGTTGATTTGGTGATGATGTGCAAACTACAAGTTCTATTTTGTTAAGATTGTTCATCTGTTGGTTTAAGGTATAAAGTTTACACATCTGGAAAAGGCGCAGGTCCTTCAACGCACACGCTCACACACACATGCACAGGCCAGTTCTCTGTGGGATAAAGTCATTTCCTGTTCCCCCTCCTTAAAGGGTCTGAAAGGCTGAGCAGCGAAGCGAAACTAGGACTTCATCATTAAAACCAGACGCGCCATTCGGTTCTGCCCCAGACTCAGAGGAACAGTGCTATACACTGCACAGCATACAAGCACAGTGACACTAGGGCTAAGAAAGTGTGTTACCTTAGTCTATGATCAAATCCAGGTGTCTAATATTCTTATTATATTATTTCACAGTGGACATAGATGTTTAACTGTTAGGATATCCTTTTTGTTTTTGCATGGAGTCACCACAATTAAACATGTGAAGAGGTTTGAGGATTGCATGATATTTTTGCATATTTAACACCCTCGGAAATACTGAAGCACAGGATTGAGTCAATGTCTGGATTTGAACTTTGTGTCAGCTTTTTACTTCTGATAAGGCCGGGATAGTATCTTCCTGTAATTTTTCAGAATAATCAGTGTTTTTCCGGATTACACATTTTTCAAAACCACATAAACAGGAAGCCCCTTGTGGAAGACCACCACCACAGCATCCACTATTATTATGATCATTATATTTTCCACTGTATGCTACAACTTCTGAGCAGCTTTGAGACATTTTCCTTTAGCTCAGTTGAAAAGGCTGTTGAAAAGTCATAATAAATACAATGTGCTGTTTTCTGGTAAGGGGTCTGCTAAGATTCAGCTCAGTGTTGAAGTTAAAGACAAACATTACACATTATCAAGCCCCTTGATTTTAGTCAAGCGTTTTCTCATGTCTAATATTACTGTCTACAGCCCCCATCAATTTGTCATCAATATGTGCAACTAATGCCACAACAAGAAACCAGTTGTTCCTAGTAATAGAACCAATGACCATTCCCTGAAAAAGCATATTATTTACTACTAATAGAACCTGCTATAAAGACTTTAGTGAAAGAAAAACTTGAGGTACATAACTTGGGAAGTACAAGACACAAACTAATATAAACAACAAAGTATGACAGCAATAATAATCTTCGGTTTACTAAGACAACAAGAAATTGTGATAATTTAAAAAAAAAAGCACCAAAAATCTTAGTGATCTTAGTGATTACAAATTAAGAACAGACTTCTTAATCATTATTGTTGAATTTTCTGGTGTGTGTGTGCTGTGCCCTTACTTTGGTCCTGTGGTGTGTGGAGGGTGAGGGGGCACTGCTGTTAAGGCTGACTGCAGGTGAGTGTGACCGGACCCCGCTGTATGCGCTCTGTTGACCCCTCTGGCCCACCGCAGGGTCCTCACACAGGGGGTAGTCTCGGGTCTTGGGAGTGAAGCAAGTGTCAGGAGCACTGCTGCTGGGCGAGTCTGAAAACACAGAGTCGTCGTCCGAGACCTGCAGTTTCTCCAGCTCTTTGTTGATCTTCTGAAGGCTGGACACGGCTGAACTGGAAGTGTCCCTCTCCAGCTCTGTGCACAGGTTTAAAATGGTCTCCAGGCGTTGACACTCCTGCAACACCCCAGAGCTTTAGGTTCTATGTGCTGTTGTCAGTTTTGATATTCAAAAATATAATACAATCTTTAACTCTTGATTTTTTTTTAAACATGACAAAGAAACTCACCAGTCTTTGAACTTTCTGCTCCCTAAGTCGCTCGTCTCTTTGGTGCTGATGGTAGTCTCTCAGCTCCTCTTTCCCATTCAGAGAGCTGATGCTGCCAACTCTTTGTCCAGGGCTGAGTCCCCCCTTCCCAAAGGACATCCTCCTTTCTCCAAAGCCCAGGTCTAACCCTGTCCCATCCAGGTCTGCACCCAGAGAGCTGAGAGACGCCATGCTTGCCCTCCGTGGGGTGTTGGGCATGCTGGCTGGGACAGTCACATCAGGCGGCTGCTCTAAGGAGGATAGACTTCTCCGAGCAGAGCCCCCTGCCTTGTGCGACACTGCAGGGCTACGTAAGGGCAGTGACAAAGTGGGGGGGTCAGCAGGGTTGTGGAGGCGAGGCAGAGAGCGACTGTGAGTACCTAAACTGGTCAGTGATCCGGTGGAGTACTTCCTCTGGCGGGACTCCCCTGCTTTAACCTGGGAGTAGAGTCTGCGGCCCATACGGGGACTGGAGGGGACACTGGCTGCACCACTCTTGATCCGAGGAGAACGTGGCACAGGGTCATAGGAAGGGGAGAGCAGAGAGCTCCCATCACTGGACAAGAGCAGGCTGTCCTGGGACTGATGGCGAGAGTGTGAGTGGCGGTGAACACCATTGGAAGTGATCTGGCGCTCCCCCTGGCGAGGAGAGGGAGGTACACTGCTTCCACTGGACACATAGGCGAGCATCCTAGATGTGGAGGGGGGCCGGTCCATGCTGAGGGCCGACAGGGGCCGAGGGGGCTGGGCTCCCGAGGCAGAGGGCACACTCAGGTACTTCCTGCTGCACTCGGCTGCCCTCAGACTAGCCTCCAGAGCACTTTTCCTCCGCTGTAGCGTCTCCATCAGCTCCTGCAGTTCCGCCTTAGAGCGACCGCTCCTCATGGCCCCACCCACAGATGGACCACTGGGCTCCAACTTCACACAGTCTACAAGAAAAGTATGATAACGTAAGCTCTAGATTGTGACAGGTTTTGGAGTGTTCCAGCAATAACTTGGGTGGATCCCAGTTATGAGTAACAGTGGTTCTTTATATCTAACAGCATTTTGTTATCTGCATTAGTTATTTCCATGTAATTTCACAGCAGTAACTAGAGTACTAACTTGTTAAAAAAAAGACAGATGCTGGGTAAATATCTCAGACCCTTGCTTCTTTACCAGAGCAGATAATGGTGTGGTTTACTGTAATGGTGATTCAGCGGGACACATGCAGGGTAAGAGGGGAATACCAGGGAAGAATATTCTGTCATACTCTTTAAAACCTAACACAAACAGTGGCCGGAGTGCGTCTTCTAAAAATGGAAAAGGCTGATGGAGGCTGGTGGACAAGGACACAAAAATTTACAGTTAAGTAACACTGAGGGCACATTCAGCCACAGTGGATACCACTTATGGACCTATGACCATACTGCAATATGAAAACAGACCTGACTCAATGTGAATACAAGTCAGGACATCATGGGAAGGTGTTAAAGGTGCACTGTGTAACTCTTCTGGTAGGGAGTCACAAACCTGTTTACATGAAGATATCATTGCTTTGCCAGAAAGGTTTCAAAGTATGACATTAATCTAATCTATGTTGCATTTATTCAATTACAGGTGTTTTACTGCTCAGAAATACTACAAAAAACATGCATTCCTACAGTGAGTGAATGCACCTCTCCGCAGATCTGACCTGTAATTTGGCCTGGAGGCATTGTGGGCTTGTCTTCATGGAAACAGATGAGTGTTATTCATCCTACACAAAGCAATACCATTTCTATGGAGACAAACAGGTGGCGGACCCTCCACCAGAAAGTTACAAAATGCACTTTTAAAGGACATCATCAATAGTAAAATGTGAACAAAATCAACATTAAGCCATTTAAAAATGTTGAGTGTAATTTGAATAAAGGGCACTATATACTATCGCTATTAACTTTTGATCAGTGCTTTCTGTCATGTTATTAAGTGTAAGGAAAAAGTCACAGAAAAAATACTTGTTATGTTATACTTCACCATAATTATAAAAAAAAAACTCAAGATACAAGAACTTATATTATCTTTATATTATATAGATGATGCTGAAATGATGCTAGTCTTGCGGTACCTGTGCCGTAGCCAAGTGTGTTCATTGAACTCCTCTGAGGAAGCATGCTGCTGTTCATGTTGACCTCGTTCCTCTGATACAGCCTCGTACTGCAGATTTCAGCTGGACGAGACCCTTACTGTCTGAGGGGAAAAACAGATATAAGGGAGAGAAAATGAAATCTATCCAAAATAAATAAACTGTTAGCTGTGAACACCTTAAGTTCTGATATGTTGGAAGATGGTGAGAAACGTTGCCTGATGTGTGTAGGTTACTTACAAATGCACATTGTACTTCTAATAAACAGGTGTGAAAATCAGAAATCAGATTACTTACGACAGATGTAACTGTGACATTTCAATCATCTCCAGAAATCAGATAATGATCAGATTTGTGGTGTTCATGTAGAAGCCTGTCCTGTTCCATACTACTTCACACATTAAACCAATTATTATTATTTTTTTTTTTCAAAGAAAGTCCCAAACAAATACAAATTAGTAAAGCAGACACAGAGGTCGTCTTTTTAGAAACTTGGCTCAGTGTCACAAATAAACACTTGAGGTCTGGACTGCAGCATTTGCCTTGCAGCTTAATTGATCTTTTAGCCCCAGACACTTGAGCGCTCGTCCAAAGCGTTCCCTCAGAGACCCCAAAACTCATTGAAAGAGCAGCGAAAGTCAGGCCAGTTCCAGTCTGGGAATACTGAAGGAGCTGGAGAGTCCTATAGTCACTGCTGCTGGGGTGAAAAGTTAATTTACAAGAGAAACAAAAAGGTTTTGTTCTAGCAAATATTCTGATTAAGATTCACACTAGAGCAGATAATATTAGGCATCCACTGATAGTAGGTCATAAATATACAACTGCATGGGAAATTAGAACAGGGATGATATTTGGTCATAGATAAGCAATTATGGAGAAAAGCCTCAGTGCAAAATCAATTATCTATGTTGAGCTATGAACTCAACATTTATTATTAGTATGTTTACATCGACAAAGGTCAAAATGCTCTGTTCCACCCTGTGATGTCAAACAGTGGTAGCTTTCAAGTTAACAGCTACCTTTTACCTTTAGTTCAGTGGAGACTGAAATCAACCAAATGATTCTAGTGAAAGTGAATGGAGTTTAAAAAAAGGGCATTATCATGACATCACAAGGAGTGTTGTCTCTTTGAGAGAGAATATGCAGAGTTTGTGTGTTAAACATGTGTGAATGCAACCAAAACACAACTTAGGGTATGTTTTTTTGATGAAGAAACAACATTATAACATCAGAATAGTGTAAGAGGGACCCTTTAAACAGCCTCAATTTTCTCTAAAACTGCAACAAAATGCATTATAATCATATAATAATTTGATGTAATTAGTAATCATATAAGTAGTAACTGACAGACCAGGGTGCAAACCCTTCATATAATCTCTATCTAAATAACATCCAAAATATAAATTACTGCATATCACAAGGCTGTGGTGATGACCCCAGGGGGAAAGGTCAAGTGAAAGAATAATATTATCTGACCTATTTTGGACATTTCAACAAAGTGGAGAAAAGAATATCCGTGGTAAAACAACTCGATTACATAAAAATGATGCAGTTTCTTGTCTATCCAGACCACAGACAAGAGGGAGACAGACAGAGGGAGAGATGCCCAATCCAAGGTTTTCTGGTGAGCCGTCTGGAGCAAGAGCCTATACAGGAAGTGGGGTATCCTTTTACACAGTCACACAATCAATCAGCGTGAGTTCATTCTGCAGACCTCCTGGAAAAAGAGGGAAGAGCGAGCCCCTGCCACATGTGAGGAGCAAGAGTTTTTACTGCATCACCCGGACTACAGACCAGCAGGGCAGACTCACCAATAACATAAAGGAAAGACCCACGGTGATAAACTGCAAGCATCTCATATAGGGTGCTGTCTGTTACTATGTGTGAAGTGTATGCTGGAGCAATGACAGTCAAACGCTGGGTCTAAGAGTAGATCTGGTATGGGTGCAATCAAGAAAATGCAGAAATACTGAAATGATTAAGACTTAATTTAGTAAAACTTGGGGTCACACTATATAGGCACTGGACTGGAGTGACTGCAGGACTGCTATGGCAAACTGGCTCCATTTGATTAAACTAGCATGAACAATTAGGTTTAGATTTCATTCATATTCAGTTGTTATTTGTCTATTACCACCATTATGTTCTCCTCCTGTGAATGATGCTCAATTCATGTGACTTTTGACCCACTTATTTTGCAACAGCTCAAGTTTTTTAACACAAAAATGTGTAAAGTTGCGCAAACCAGTTGGGTGGAAGAATAACATTACAATAACAATAACAGTTTGTTGGCTGAAAAATCTGTGATGACTTACCTGACAGTATTTCCAGAAATCTTTACATATCCCACAGCATCTTCTGAGTATCGATCAGCCAATCAGACCCCATTGACCGCGAAACTTTCTTCTCTTCTCCTGGCCATATTCTTGACTTTTTGCGCTACATTTGCACGATTTAACTCATGATAATGTATTTTTTTCCATAAGGAACCGCAGAGAAGTCCAAAGTCTTCTCATGACAAAGAGAGACAGGAGACCCTCTGCCCTCCCACCTCCTCCCACAAAATGTGTTCCAGGAGGGGAGTGTTTACAGCCCGGCATCAGCGCCAGTGCACCAGTGCGCCTCCTACTGGCGAACTGTGAGATGTGATCAATAACAATAGTGAATACATTTTATAACAAAACATGACTAAAAGTTACACAATTACATAATTACAGTACAGTTTTTTTCACATCTTATGGTCAGTACATTGCCTTACATTCACTACATAACAATCAGTATTTTCAAATGATTGATTGTGCTCTTTGACCCCAAGGACTAATCAATAAGATAGCCTACCATCTCACATTCTTATCATATTACATATGCGCACGAGGCATGTATTGCGCTTAAAGCTCTTAAACATAAACTGTAAACTGTAAAAACACTATTATTATATTGCTCAATCAAGGGTTATTCACACTTGTTCCTGAAATTCCTTGCTTCACTAAGTATTTTGGTAAATAGTCAAAATTCTATATAACGCTATTCCACCTTCAAGGCACTCAAAGCACTTTATGCCAAGGAGTCACTCACGTACACCAGTGTATGCAGACACTGCATGATCTTGATGTCAAAAGCAGGATGGTTCACCCCATTGTTTTATTTATTTATTTAGCATCTCAATATCAATTCAATTCATGTTTATATTGTTTTGTTGACAAAGATAAGTTTATATTGCACAGAATAGACATGTCCTATTCTATTGTAATATTGTAACTGTAAACCAAAGCCACAGCAGGTTTTTACATAATGTATATTTTCCACAGTGGAGAAGTATTCCCATGTACTGGAAAGCGGTAAAAACTGCAGACTCCTGAGTTTGTTGTTTCAGCAGTACTGTAGAGTGGAGGCAGTCTGGGGCCCATGCATACTGTTATAACTATGTTTGAGAAAGAGCCAAGATCACTCCCCCTCCTCAAAACAAACTGCTGAAAGAGCACAGAAATGACTTCAAATCAACGTTGAGTGTTGAGAGTTGACTTTTGATCTGACTGGGAAAAAATGTTGAATTATATCAACAGTCTCAAAATAAAATGGGTTAGCTTTGAGAAAGGAATGAACATGAGACCTTTTTGGAGACAGGCCCTCATCCTGACTGCGATCTCCGACCATTAGGCACAAACCTTCAATGACATCATGGGGAGAGGGGCTGTGGGGCGCCGCAGGACTACATGATTACTTCCAGACGTTACTGTGTCGTAAAAACACACATACATAAACACACTGTTACATCTGTCTCTGCTCTTCCACCATCTCTCTTCTCTCCACAACCCAAATCAAGCGATAAATCTTTGTCAAGTGTGACATACTAAATGAGCATCACCAACATGTAAAAACCAAGAATGTTGCATTAATAGTGCACTAACAATTTTGGCTAAAAGTGTGTATCTGTAAAGCAATGGGGATTTCAAATGACTAAGTGCTCTTGGTCCAAACCCTACATTATTACATTCAGATTTTGGTATTCTGAGGAATGCTGTGGTGCAATAAGCCACAAGAAAATAAATATAACTTGATGAAAGTCTTACTCATGCCCCCAATACTAACATCCTATGCATTTGATTTGGTTCTCTGATTACACAGTCTCTACTCACCCAGAAACTATGGACACTCTACAGCAGCATTCCACTCCTGGTTAAGACTGGGTGTAGTTCTGGTTTAATCCTGCTTTAGTTTTGACCTGGTTTATCCATCACTGGTTAGTTTAGTCTAGTGTAAATTTAATAAAGATTTTCTGATGCTTGCAGGGTCTAAAACTGCTGTGATAGAAAAACATGTAAGGGTTTAAACTATTACAAGTCACATTTGGTTTAAATTTTAAGGGTTGAGGAATGAGTTATGTCAATGTTATCATAAGAGACATTGAGACAACAGCCAAAAACGTATGACCACCCAAGAATGCATCTCAACCCTTGTTATTCTTAGACATTTTAAGAAACTTCAAGGTATCCACTGCAGATGAAACAAGCTTTAAATATCTCTATAAACACAATCAAGGTTGGGTAACTTTTCCTAAACTTTTTCTACAGCATAAATGGTCCTCATAGGGATAGTGAAACCTATAGTATGTATGCGAGGCTTGTATTTGTAAAAAAAAAAAAGAGTAAAACCATATGTGGAGTAATTGTGATTCTGGCTGGAGCCGTGTGGAAAAAGAAGGTTGGAGGGAGAACAAGTGGAGAAATGGGTGTCACATTTTGGGAGTGGGATGTGCAATCGGCTGAGGCAGTTGTTGGGAAGACTGAGTCACGCCATCAAAGTCATATCGAAAGTTATAAGTGACCCTCAAAGTAGAGTAAATTAGATTAGTAACTTATGACTAAAACTCAAATACATGAAAAAATATATAGTGTGTATTGATTATAGAGTAGACACTTGCTTTGGATGTTTTTGGCTTTTCTCTAATTGGTTGTGCAGTGATTTGCATAGAATTTTAAGTCAGATGCCCTACCATACCCACATTTATCTAAGTTATGGACCAGCAAAAAGAGCACAGTGGCATGTGGCTGTTTAAGGCTATTAATAAAATGACTACATACATTGTAATATCAGTCTAGTACAGTTGAAAGCAAGATTTGTGTTGGAAAATGCACAAATTACTTCTTGTAATAAACTAAATAACACATGTCTAGTAATGCCGAAACTCTACATAAACAGCCCAAGGAGAATACAGTTGAAGTGACCACTAATTACTAAATGAGTCCCAAAGCCTATTTGTGGAGCACACTAGCAATTAAGCCAATTAACATAGTCAAGACTTTTTTAGATAACTCTCATAACCCCTAAGCAAAGGTTATCTTACTCAGGCAATTGAGTTAATTAGATGAAGAGAATAAGGGTCAAAGTTTAAATCACCATGCAGGAAGTTTGAGGCAAAAAAGCACAATTTTTATTGGCTACATTTTTGTTGCTTTAATAAAAAGTAATTTTAGAAATCTTTGAAGTAAAAGTTTAGTATATTTATTATTTCTAAAGTTTAAAAATGTAATATACTTTAGCACAAGCAAGAAAAAATGGTTCTTGCTTTGTAATAAATACATATAGTCCTTTATGTGGTGTTTATATGTCAGCTTGAAGTCCCATATCAGTGGAGTCCAATATTTCATTACCATCTAACTGAACTACATGATTTCTGTTCATTATAATAGTGTTTTCTTCTTGTTCATTTGCTTCTTGTGTCTCTGGTGATACATTCTCCAAACCTTCTGGTGAAAGCACAATTCGTACTTCTTCATCTATTTCCACTTTTTCCACATGAGATTTCCCATCACCGTTGTGCACAATTTGATATGAAACTGAGGCGTTTAGAACTTTATGGACATCTGCTGATCCATTGTAAGTGTGTGAAACTGTCTGGGCCGAGATTGCTGTAAAAAACAACATATATAAATAAATAACAATCAGACATATTTACTGTTTATGACACTGCATATTAACAACAGATGTGATAAGTCAACATAAAAATATATGTTGCAACTTTTATAAATAATATCTGTTTACCATCTGACCATGATTGCATTTACTCAGCTGAATATTATCAATACAGTTTTACAACATATCTGCAATCTCACAGCAAATTCCACTTTTCAAGAGGATTTCAAGAGTTTTATGAGGTCACATGAACACAAACTATTAGTTTAGAACACTTCAGATAGTGCTAGACTACATACCCTTTTGTCTTATGCACTTAGGAAGAGCTACAATGACGACCGTCAAGACAAAAACTACAGACGCAACAGTGCTCCACCGTGAACGCTGCATTCTCTGTTCATTTGTACCTGCCAAAAAGAATAAAACATAATTTAATACCAAAATATTATCCCTATACTACAAATGCAGTCAGTATTGTCTTACTTATAGGAGCTTCTGTGATGTTGACATGGGTAATCACAGTGTGCCTGCTTTGGTCATTAGAGAAGACACAGGTGTAAATCCCCGAGTGCTCCACTGTATCTGCTTTGTGGACCAGGAGAGACCCATCGCTGATCCGGAGCCGGTCTGGGTCCAGTTCTGCCAGTCCATCCCAAAGGTTAAAGGTTAGTCTGGTGTGGTTGTCATAGCGCAGGATCACCAAAGGTTCACAGGAAGAGGTAAAAGTCCAAATAAGGGAGTAGGTATGGATAATGTGCGGGACAACACAGGGAATGGACAATGTATGACCTTCTTCTTGTATTATAGTCTCTGAAGACAAATACAACAAAATACGCATTAATACACAGTATTTCAAACTGGGAAATTATAGTTAATACTTGTTTGAAAAAGATTACAACACAATTTTGTTAAATTTTTGTTATAAGCATTTATTACATAATCTCAATTCAGAATCGATGATTGTATTGAACGATTCTCTCCTTTTAAATTAACATTTAAGTCAGATGGTCAAATTTAAACCCAAATAACATGAATACAACTATACTATACTATAAAATAACCACTACAATGGGGGCACAAAATTCTTCAAACTTACCTAAAATTACAGGCTAGAGTATCCAACATAAAACCAATTGCAAATCAATGTGTGGCCTATTACTACAGGAACCCATCTGTTTAAGGGCTGCTGTGGTTCACAGGTGGTCTTCTGCAGACCTTGGTTGTAACAAGAGGTCATTTGAGTTACTGTTGCCTATTATCTGTAACCAGTCTTAGTAGTAGTCTCCTTCTCCTCAAACCTCTGGGATGACTAAGGCTGAAGCATATTTTGTGTATTTTTATGTAAGTTTTTTTAATTAATGTTTACCCATGCCCAGTACAAGTTATGATTTAAATCTAACTTCTTTTGTTTGTTGAATTTCAGTAGTTTTGTCTTACACATAGTCTAGTTGAAACTAAACACACAATGTTATAAGCTGTCTAGATATTTGTAATTAGCACCATCAAAATGTGTAGTAATCACAATCCAAATTTACCTTGTATTTTCTGAGAGGCTGTCCACACTTGGATATTGTCCGCTGATGTCAATGTGCAGATGTAGGTGAAATCAGACAGATTT